CAGTCTTGACCAGCCGGGCTTCTTTCTTTTCACGGCTTTTGGTCGATTTACAACCGGCTGATGTCTGAGACCGGAAACTTTTTGAGAAGTTCAAACTTGAGATCATTAAAATAGTACACGACATTACGACCAGTTGGGTAAAGGTTAGGTAGGAGAGAGAGTTCAAATACAAATACATTACGACGAAGATGTGTACATTTGCGCTGCTCACTAAAATAAGTTTTTGAGTCAGGTTATTTAATGGATCATTTTCCCAAGACAGGTGGTTTATAGAAGAGTAGAATAAATAGGTGGACAGTTCGAAAGCGTAGACCACTCCAATGGCGACCAACATTCGTTTTTGTGTGATGAGCCGCTTGGCCCTGAAGGGACTAAAAACACAAACACATTTCTCCAGCGATAACAGAACAACCGTGCCAGCACTGACGTCATAGAAGAAACTACACGGGGCTGTTACAGCCACGTAGATGAGAGACGGCAGGTCGACAAGTTCTGTAGGGAACATGTCCAACACCTCCATAGACTTGATCACGGCACTTCCTAACGAAATCAGTTCCAGCCACAGGTCGGAGAAGCTCAGCGCCACCAGACCTACTGAGATGCTGTCTTTGTTTTTCTGGTTCAGGAAAATGATCAGGTTCAAAACGTTGGCAAACACGCCGAAAAACGAAACCACAAAGCTGATTGGAATGGACAACAGCATATTAAATAAGTAGATCGAATTCAATGTTTCCAGACTGTATGACAGATTAGTGACACTAGAAAGATTTAAATCCATTCCTATAGAAATCAAGAGATGGAAGGCAAGTTGACTTTTCACAAATTTTACAGAAACTCTTTTAAAAGCCATCACAAAATTGTCATTCCTTTTTTAAAATAAATAAAATTATAGTCCTAAGCACTGATGAATAATTAAATAGTTTTTAAAATTATTTTTAGTTCTATTCATACACAAATTTAGTCAATAGAGCGGCCAAATGGATATACGGTCTTAACAAGATGGATGTTCTTTCAAAGAGCTATTTTTTTCCCCGTAATCAAGGTTTCAAATTATATATTTAGTATTCAAGAAAGAAACAAATGATAACACAAAGCGTCTGTTAAAAATCGTTCCAATTTTTTTAGAATAATTATAGATACTAGTTCCATTGTCTTCAAGATAAATACGTACACTCAAATATTTGTTTTAGATAATTATAAAAGAGCACTGCGCCGGGTTGTAATTATTGCAAGCAACTAAATATTACAAACCTAGCCCAACCGTGAATTATCATATTGATGTTTGAAGTGTTTTAGAGATAAAGTATTGGTGCTGTGACCAGTAGTGTTAGAATTAAATAGAAGGTTATTTCAAGATGCTATATTATTTATACAAAAATTATCCAGAATAGCTGTAAAACAAATGTAACGTTACTTTAAAAATGTGGTTGAACTTTGATGTAGTCAGTTGACCAACCAGCACTTGCGAGCACTAAATATGTCAGTTTTTATTTAAAACTATGTTTTCATCATCTTTTGAACAAGGGCAGATAACTTGATTTCAAGTACATGTTTTGTTAGTGAATTTAGACCCAATGGTTTGACGAGTTTATAGACAACGATTGTTGATTTCTCGCAATATTAACATTAGACAGTAGGCGTATATAACAAATATTACATGCTAAGGTAGCAGACTTAAACAGTGTTAGGTGTGTTAGGGAGGATAATATTTTTAAAAACCGTATAAATCGTCTACATAAAAACTATTCAATTACATCAAAATGATGAAGTTTAACATCTAAAAGAATGAAAACGTGTTAAATGTAGTAGTTTTATGAAAACTTTGGGCAACTGTCATTATTAACTTATTATATAAGACCCAACGTTCTTTCACTACGGCGAAAAAAACGACAGTGGGAAAACGGTCACCGAACACTGACCTATCATTCCGTGTATTTTAAATTTTCTGTGACCCAAATTTGACCCCTGGCAATGTGGGTATGCTGACTTTGATCAACCCACAAGTCTACTCCATGTCAGATGGAAACTGAGTGGGGAAGAGGTGTGTATCTCTTCTTGACATTTAGATTATTGGGTAGGGGACAGGTATGTATTTTCATCAAAGTGGAACATATCTGGAAAGTTTGAACCAAATCGCTAAATTAGAAGTGGGTCAAAATTGAGTTTCAAGATTTGCTACAAACCCACAAACAAACAAGCAAACAAACAAACAAACAGACGTTGCGAACTAAATAAAGCTTGTAAAAAGTATCTTCTTTATTACTTAGTTTATAGTTCTTGTCATTATAACGGATTTTATACTTGTTTTATTTTTTTGAAAATCATTTAGATGTAAGAGTAAATCGAAATTAAAGTTTTAAAAAATTTAGCCCTATATTTTTCTTGGCATTCCTTTATTCTCAGTTAGGAGTTCACCACACACCAGTACGGAAATATTTGCACCGTTCAGTAACTCTAAAAGACAATTATCTGCCCCTAAGCGAGATCCTTCGTCATCTTTCTAAAACATTCGCGACGACAACTCGCCAGAATCATCAAGTTTCTAATTGTCTCCCCTTATGGTTATTGAATATAGTAATGCTAAAGACGACTGGGTTATCAATCTATATTATACTAAAACTCAAGTTTGTGTACATGTTTGAATATTTTTTTTTTGTTTGTCTGTTTGGTTACAGGAGAGAATCTGCACTATATGTAGAGCTGTAAAATACGTATTTAGGTAGAGAACAAAGTTCTTTTGGACCAAACTGTGAATCACAAATTAATTTAAAAACGTTAATTCATTTATTGATAGATTAATTTATTGGTAGATTAACCACATTAATTATAAAAGTTTACAATAATGACTTAAATTATAGTGACGTCACATCATTTATTCACTTTTTTATCAATAATGGCGGCTTCCATCAAAGATTTTCGTGCCCATTCAAAAGTTTAATGCACTATAAAGCTAATTTTCTGTCGGCTATAGATTTAACGATACGTCCGTTTGCTATTTTTATTAGGTTCCAACACTATTATCAATTTTCAACAGTTCTTTTAATTTGAGTATACAATAAATTTCTCTAGATCTAGATCTAGAATCTACAGATCAGCTGTCGAAGAAAGGAAAAGTTATAGATCTAGGATCTAGATCAAACCAAAATTAATTAGTTAAAAATAAAAACCTTTATAAAATCACAATAAATTATTGAGTTTCTTTATTAAACTATTTTATATAATATTTGATAGTATTTGATATAATTCTTTGCTTTTTAGCTTCAACGATCATCTAATTCAAGAATACAAGGAATTTATCAATACATATATTATAACACACTATTATTTAAATAACTATAAGAAAAGCGGTTCTTTATATTTATTTTATTTGTCCATCACATTATTTGTCCTGATATATGTTGTCATGATATTTTTCGTCTCAGAGATTATTTGTCCTAGACATTATTTGTCCTTCAGATAATTTTTCCTTGAGATCATTTGTCCTGAGATCATTTGTCCTGAGATCATTTGTCCTGAGATCATTTGTCCTAAGATCATTTGTCCTGAGATCATTTGTCCTGAGATCATTTGTCCTGAGATCATTTGTCCTGAGATCATTTGTCCTGAGATCATTTGTCCTGAGATCATTTGTCCTGAGATCATTTGTCCTGAGATCATTTGTCCTGAGATCATTTGTCCTGAGATCATTTGTCCTGAGATCATTTGTCCTGAGATCATTTGTCCTGAGATAATTTGTCCTGAGATCATTTGTCCTGAGATCATTTGTCCTGAGATCATTTGTCCTGAGATTATTTGTCCTGAGATCATTTTTCCTGAGATCATTTGTCCTTAGATCATTTGTCCTGAGATCATTTGTCCTGAGATCATTTGTCCTGAGATCATTTGTCCTGAGATCATTTGTCCTGAGATAATTTTTCCTTGAGATCATTTGTCCTGAGATAATTTGTCCCAAGATCATTTGTCCTGAGATAATTTGTCCTAAGATCATTTGTCCTGAGATAATTTGTCCTGAGATCATTTGTCCTGAGATCATTTGTCCTGAGATCATTTGTCCTGAGATCATTTGTCCTGAGATCATTTGTCCTGAGATCATTTGTCCTGAGATCATTTTTCCTTGAGATCATTTGTCCTGAGAAAATTTGTCCTAAGATCATTTGTCCTAAGATCATTTGTCCTGAGATCATTTTTCCTGAGATCATTTGTCCTAAGATCATTTGTCCTAAGATCATTTGTCCTGAGATCATTTGTCCTGAGATCATTTGTCCTGAGATAATTTGTCCTAAGATCATTTGTCCTGAGATCATTTGTCCTGAGATAATTTGTCCTAAGATCATTTGTCCTGAGATCATTTGTCCTGAGATCATTTGTCCTGTCACCATCAACAGTAATTGCATATCTATAGCCAGGTTCTAAGACCCGGCTACTAAAACGTATGTATCACAAAGTTTTGATCTTATCTAGAGATTTAAAATGGAGTTATGATCAGTAACTAAGAAAAAAGTACCTATACACTTTCTTAGCTATAGAGGATTGTTTGGTAAAATTCAGAAAACATATACAAACAAAAATGACAGATTGAGTAACCTTGTTTCCTGTGTGGTCAGAATTTTGCCATGTAAATGAGGCACTAAGTTAGATCAACCGGGTTTCAATATTATTATTGAATTATGAGTACGCAATTTAGTCCATTTTGTCATTCCATGTCTTCTCAATGAAAATGTATCCTAAAATAACCTAGACATAATAAATCGAACAAAACTTAAATAAACTATTTGCCTGTCATCCCACTGGGTATACTTTAGATATCAGATAAAATATTTTTTTTAAATATTGGTTTCAAACATGCTGTGAGACGTTTAATGAAACCTAATTAACATGAACTCCAAACGAATGTAGCTCAACAGTTAGTACACTTTAATATAACTCACCGCAACTTATAGAAACATAACAGCATTATTTATGTACATCTATTCGTCTGTGCTGTGAGCTAAAGATGGTATCTAGGCAGAAGTAGGAGCTAAAGATGACTTCATCTCGTCGAAAGTAGAACCTTTAGAAAATATTATCAGGGCAGTAGTGGGTGCTAAAGGTGTCTTCAGTTCTCTTGAACTTGCCAACTTGCCACCAGTGTGAACAAAGCTAAACTTGTCTAGACAGTTCTATACAATTGATGTCAGTTAACTTCGATACAGGCGAACGTAAACCAGCTATTCGTCTCAAAATCACCCGATATTTGGAGTTTGTTTTGTAATAAATTAACATGGTGATACAGCCGTTTAACGACGTCATTAGAACTTCGACAGACAGAATCAGAGCGTCCACTGGTGACCTGCCGAAGTTTGTTCCAAACTGAAGCAACAGATCTACGATAACAAAAAACAAATTACAGACACAAAATGAGACAGCGATGTACAGAACTGTCTTGACCAGCCGGGCTTCTTTCTTGTCTCGGAGTTTGGACGATGTAGAACTTGCTGCTGTCCGTGACCGAAACCGTTTTGAGAAGTTCAAACTTGAGATCATTAAAATAGTACAAGACATCACGACCAGCTGGGAAAACGTTAGGTAGAACAGAGTATTTAAGTATGAAAATATTAGAAAGGTAACTTCTAGTCTTTCTGTGGTCTGTAGGATAAGCCACAGGCTATAATTGGTGAAAGGATTAGGTTCCCAGCCCAGATAAGTGCTAGAAAAAAATGGAATATACGTGGACAATTCGAAAGCGTAGACCACTCCGATGGCGACCAACATTCGTTTTTGTGTGATGAGCCGCTTGGCCCTGAAGGGACTAAAAACACAAACACATTTCTCCAGCGATATCAGAACAACCGTGCCAGCACTGACGTCATAGAAGAAACTACACGGGGCTGTTACAGCCACGTAGATGAGAGAGGGCAGGTCGACAAGTTCTGTAGGGAACAGCTGCAGCACCTCCATAGACTTGATCACGGCACTTCCTAACGAAATCAGTTCCAGCCACAGGTCAGAGAAGCTCAGCGCCACCAGACCTACTGAGATGCTGTCTTTGTTTTTCTGGTTGAGGAAAATGATAAGGTTCAAAACGTTGGCAAACACGCCGAAAAACGAAACTAGAAAGCTGATTGGAATGGAAACTATCATGTTAAATATGTACAGCAAGTCCATTGTTTCTAAAGCAAATCCCTGAACAGCAGAGATATTCGATTTCATTTCCTCGCTCGTAAAATCAAGCTGTTTTATTTCAGATTGGATACACCAGCTTAATAACTTAACCAAGCTGTGTTTTGTGATTGTAGTTTTTCAAAATTAAGTATAGTCCTCTAGAACTAGATTAGAAAATAACTGAGTAAAATAACTATACAGCCTTTTAATAACAGCTCTGATAATTATAGAACAAATCTGATAAACTAGGCAAATTGAGGTTTATATGTGATTGTGGAGATGAGAAGTACGACTTAAAACTAATTTCGGATAAAAATATGATTGCTAGAAAACTTCTTGTTTACAAAATTTTTAAACGTCAAGTTTCTAATCGCTCGATTATCTTGAATTTAAAATGTCGGCCTACACTATTATGTTGTATCGACTTGTTAAGTAGCCTATAATTATGTAATTATTACTTCCAATGTTTTATACAAAAGTTACAAATTGATATTTCTTAAAGGGTAAAGTATTAAGAAATTTTACACATCAACAACTATGACATACCTTTCATTTAACGTTCATGCAATTGTTCTAGAATACTATAAACTTGTTTCAAAACACAAGATTTACTCTAAAAATATATATCTACTATTGTTATAACAGCATGGATATACACCAGTTTACCGCGTAAAGCATATAGTAAACAATATTTAATAACAAATATAGACATTGAAGTGTATTAACATATTTGAGGATATGGTGTTTTATTTTAAATAAATTACATTCAATTTTTACCAGTTTTTTTTACTCCTGCTTCAGAAACTATGACCTTTTCGATGGGCGATATAGGCTAGTATCAAAATTATTATTCCGAATTGACACATGTTGGGTGAAACTTCATATAGATTACTTTTTTCAAACTTTAAGGCGGTTTTATTTTTTTAAATTTTGTTTCAGATATAACTAAAACATTCATAAAAACGTTTTAATAACAAGCTTTTATGTAATAATGAACTAAAAAGTAGAAAATAAATCATACACTGCTATTTATATAACTATAAAGAAAAACGTGGGTCACTTTAGTATCTATTGGATACCTTTACTAATGTTTAGGAAGAGACCCACGCTTTTCTTTATAGTTATTTAAATAGTAGTGTTTGATTTATTTTCAATTTTGTAGTGCATTATTACATAAAACGTTTTTTATGAATTTTTAAAAGTACTTTGAATGTTTCAAAATTACAATAGAGTAGCATGACTAAAAACCATTGCGCACCTAATGAACTTGATAACGCGTGTCGAATAGTGCGGAATAGTTTGATGAGACAGCCTATTAATTTGGACAAAATTTTAATTATTTCATAAAAAATTAAATAGGCAACCAATTAAGACAAATTTAATGTCATGTTGCATTGTCTTCATGTCTTGACCCACGTTCCAACTACGAACAGTATCTGTCAGTTAGAAGTGCCAGGAATTTCGCTCGGGCGTTTGGAACTGACGGACAGCTGACGGACGACAGAGGAAGTGAGTTAAATAAAAGCTTGTAAAAACATCAACATTTGAACAAATTAATGCACCATTTCAACTGTAAAAGAAAAAAAGATTTTTTAAAAAAAAAAGTGTTCTATCGGTTTTACTGCCTCAAGTACATAAAAAGAAAAACTAGTGAAAGTTAAGTTCAATTCTATAAATAATTCAAAATTAAGAAAGTAAAAAAGTTATGCCAAGGTTTGTATTACAAAACGTCGAACTGAGAAAAAAAAATGACGAAAACATACTAAAAATTGCTTACAAAAGTGAACAAATATCAGATCTCATCCATATATTAGATCGAAAGTCGATTGTCTATTATTTTAGTGAATTGAAACATAAAATAGAACTTTTGGTATTAGAGTCTGCACTGCTAAGACACGGGACGTCAAAAAGTACGAACGAGGTTCTGCACGTAAAGGTAGCCGCACGTTTTACTTGTTTGTTTCATCCAGAATTTCTAGTTCTTCACCCTGTGCTTTATGCACACGATTGGGCGACATATTTGTTCCTCCAGGTACCATACTTGTGACCTTAAAGCCAGGATTCTACATAATTATAGACCAAGACGTCCTTTGGAGCATTACATACGAATTATCATTTACTTGATCCTGTGGTCGATTTCCACGATTATGGTCATGATTGTAAAAATGCACTAATATCAAGAGCTAAACTTATGCCATTGGATTGTACTGTGCTGAACAAAGTATACTTTAAAATTATTTTCAGATTTTTAGATACCACGTTTAATTAGGTTAGAAAACCACCAATAAGTGAGGACTTCGGATGATCATAGACAGCTTAAAATTTAAACATAAAACGCGAATAGAATTATTAACTGACAAATTAAACCCTGACGACTTTCATAATTAGTTCGTGGTACATACTCTTTCATAATGATCATCGGAAGTGCTTGGCAGGGACGTTATTACAAAGGTCTTCGTTACTAAGTTAGTTGATTCTTCATATTTTTAATATAACTTTTGTTAACCAATTTTACATTTTTATTGTGTTTGTTGATGTTATTGTATGTTTGTATGTAAAACCTGCAAGGAGGATTGGAAGTGTCATAACTACCATTATGCCATTTGGCTAATACAGCTGAATATGTAATTTATTTAAATGGTTTTTTTTTTTAAAGTTTGTGTATCGTTAGTTGTTATCTTTAAAACACTGAAATATCAGTAAAAATGTTACTTTTAATCTATTTTAGAAGTTAAACAAATAATATAATTAAAAGTGTTACGAATCAAAAATGTCGAAAATTGAAACTTTACTTTTGATGATTTTTCACATCGAATAACCTTTCTTACCAAACAGATGCTATTTTATCTATCCAAAAGGATTTAAAAACTCCAACTCTGTTTAAAGACAAATGCACGTTTGCACGTTATTTAATAAGATTCCAAGCACAACTTATGCAACGCTCAGTTAGGATTTGATACAACATAAACAAAAAGTTGTAATATATTAAGTAGCGTTGTGTTGATAAATAAATTTGGTGTCAGTTGACTTTGTAAAAGGCGAACTAGAACCAAACATTCTCCTCAACATCCCCCTATACTTGGAGTTTGTTTTGTAATAAATTAACAAGGTGATACAGCCGTTTAACGACGTCATTAGAACTTCAACAGACAGAATCAGAGCGTCCACTGGTGACCTGCCGAAGTTTGTTTCGAGCTGCAGTAACAGATCTACGATAATAAAAAACTGGTTGCTGAGACAGAAGGAGACAGCGATGTACAGGACAGTCTTGACCAGCCGGGCTTCTTTCTTATCCCGGATTTTGGTCGATTTACAGCCGGCTGTTGTCTGAGACCGGAACGTTTTTGAGAAGTTCAAACTTGAGATCATTAAAACAGTACAAGACATTACGATTAGTTGGGTAAAAATTAAGTAAAATACAGTATTTAAATACAAATACATACTAAACATAATATCTGTATTTTCATTCCTCTCTAGCATAAGTTTTAGAGTGGAGTTGTTTAAAGGGTCACACTCCCACGACAAATAGAAGGTGGTAAAGTAGAACAAATAGGTGGACAGTTCGAAAGCCTAGACCACTCCAATGGCGACCAACATTCGTTTTTGTGTGATGAGCCGCTTGGCCCTGAAGGGACTAAAAACACAAACACATTTCTCCAGCGATATCAGAACAACCGTACCAGCACTGACGTCATAGAAGAAACTACACGGGGCTGTTACAGCCACGTAGATGAGAGACGGCAGGTCGACAAGTTCTGTAGGGAACAGCTCCAGCGCCTCCATAGACTTGATCACGGCACTTCCTAACGAAATCAGTTCCAGCCACAGGTCGGAGAAGCTCAGCGCCACCAGACCTACTGAGATGCTGTCTTTGTTTTTCTGGTTGAGGAAAATGATCAGGTTCAAAACGTTGGCAAACACGCCGAAAAACGAAACCACAAAGCTGATTGGAATGGAAACTATCATGTTAAATATGTAGAACAAGTTCACTGTTTCTAGAGCGAACCCCTGAACAGCAGAAGTATTCGATTTCATTTCCTCGCTCATAAAATCAAGCTGCTTTATTGCAGAATGTTACAGATATTATAACACTCATTAAAATACTTTTCGTTTATTGTCTCCTCATTTTCCATTGGATACACCAGCTTAACAATTTAACCAAGCTGTGTTTACTGATTGTAGTTATTTCAAAATTAAGTATAGTTCTCTAGAACTAGATAGTTTAGAAAATAACGTAGTAAAATAACTAGTTAGCCCTTTAATAGCCCTGATAATTACAGAACAAATTTGATAAATGATGCAAATTGAGGTTTATTTGTTATGGTGGATCAGAAATACGACTTAAAAATAATTTCGTATCAAAATATGATTGCCAGAAAACTTCTTATTTACACAATTTAAAAATGTAAAGTTTCTAATCGCTCGAATATCTTTAATTAAATTGTAGGCCTACACTATAATATTGTCATTAAAACAGTATCGACTTGTTAAGTAGTAGGTAATTGCTGTACACAGCTATTATCCTCGATAATGTTCAGTTTATATGCATACACTGTGATTAAAAAATATGTAAACTTGTTTGAAACATAAGATCTACTCCAAAAATATATATACTATCTTCATACATGCAGAGTGTAAGTTAACTTATTAATGGATATTTAAAAACCGATATAAATATTCAAAGTGACTAAGGTTTAATTAAGCGATAGATAAATATATATTGAAATCTCTTTTCATCTACGTAAATAATCGATATTTTCCTTACGGAATGAAAATAAAAATTAGAATAGATGAGATAGGATAAAATATAATTGTAAGTAATCATAGCTAACATCTTAAGCCCGACTTGAATACGATTCTATTTTTGTTCAATTTAACTCGATAATTTTACACGAAGAATGTAGGAATTAGAGTTTGTCTTTGGATTTGTCTAACTAAGAAACATTCGAAAATAGCCATTTTAGAAAAGAAAATCTCTCTAAAAATTTTAATTAGTTAGAACTATTATTTTCAAAGATACTCCGCTCCATATAGTAGAAATGATCCGCTTTGTATTTGTAATAAGATTCAGATTTCTGCCAAGGCTTCTAAGTATCGGTACATGGTAGATATGAATTTTTTTTTACCACTAATTTAAAATACTATCCTGCTGTCTTACAGAATAGCCAGAACAACAGTATGTAACATTTTTACTCCTCCCAAAAGTATGGTGTAACATTTTGAGTACGATTGTTACAGGCGAATAGGACAGTGATCTGAAAGTTTATTTTACAGCTTGAGTTTTGTTTGTCTTTCTGTTTGGTGAAACACCATGTCCGATCAGGACTTCTTGAAACTATGAGCGCGTGACCTAGAAGAATGATGTGATAAACTAACCATATTGCCGGTCTCTTTTGTCGCGTGTCTTGATACATACATCTGTTTTTCATACATTGTCTACAACTTTGGAAATCACGTGTGTTATTATTTTAAACGTGAGCTTGGAGCGTGAAGAAAGAACAAACACGGACATTTACCTACAGAAATAAGCAACATACAGGGCTATTTGTCTAAACAATTAGATACATCTACACAGCTATTTGTCTAAACAATTGGGTAAATTTACAGGGCTATTTGCCTGTATAGTTATGTAAATATACAAGTGTATCAGTCTACACAAATAGGCAAGTAGGCCTATAAGTGATAATTGGTTAAATATTTGCAACATGTTAACATCAGGTAACAAAGATTAAAAGTTTCACATCATTAGTAGTGTTCTGGACCAGGATGTAAATGTTCTAATTATGTCTTGTAAATTTAAAAAAAAATGATTAGATTCCTGTGTTTAAAGAGGTTAGGATCTGACACACAATCCATATGAAACATATTTTACTAGATCTAACTCTCATCGTTCATCAGTCTCATAACAATGTCTGTCTGACATAAATGGCTTCTATACAATTACATTTTGATTAGTTCCCTAGTTAACAGTCGCACAGATAGCCCTAATCTTGTCCGGAGTTATCTGTCCCTAACATTTTTAACCTCTGACCCTCTCAAGAGTTATCTAACACTACAAGGCTGGCTAATCTTGTCAAAAAACAAAGTAACATTTTTTACGTCTAACAACGGCTGTGTAACGAAAATTCAGGAGAAGATAAGAGATGTGTTCATGTCCGACCTTAATCCGATAGAATTCGCTGCTTTATTTATAAACAATTGTTTCAACTCGTTTTTCCCCGTGTGTTCAAACAAGCAGATCTGTGTTGTAGACATTTAATGTACCAGACAGCAACTGAAGTTCTAGTACCGTTTATTTATTAAAACAGAATTACAAAGTTGTGTGTGTACTATAGGGTACAATGAAACAACTCGAACAGAGCTAATATTTTGGATTTAGTATTCTCGTTAAGGACCGGCAAGGTAAATTATGTCAACAACTTAGATTTTTGTCAGTTTTAATTTGAATCCCGTTACAAATATTCTCCTCACTGTTTTATTGTTTACGGCGAATTATTCTTGTGTCTACAGAAATGAAATGTAGAGCATTAATATTCTACGTGTCGTTCAGTTACTCATTAGCGATCCAAGCATCTAATGGACTAGCCATACTAGCAGGTAGATTATATCCTTCAGGTTTATAACTTCCGTCCGTCTGTCGTCAACTATGGGGTCGTCCACATAGGCATTTAGATAATTTCTCGTGCCTTGTTGCATTTAAACATTTCAATAAACATATGAACATTTGAACGTTTCAAATAACCACAAAATAATTTGTGTTCGTGTTCTACCTTGTTCTACTTTGTTCTACCTTGTTCTACCTTGTCCTACCTTGTCCTACCTTGTTTTACCTTGTGCTACCTTGTCCTACCATGTTCTACCATGTTCTACCTTGTTCTACCTTGTTCTACCTTGTTCTACCTTGTTCTACCTTGTTCTACCTTGTTCTACCATGTTCTACAGACAGGTTCTACCCGTATGGCCTTGATGCCAACGACACCTGTCTGTGTTTACCTGGACACCGGCAGACCATCAACAACGACACCTGTCTGTGTTCACCTGGACACCGACAGACCATCAACAACGGCACCGTCTACGTCAGCAGACCGATTCGCTTCAGTTCACCTGTCTCGTTTGGTCAAGGTCACCGGTCACCTTGGGTGGCGCAGGTAGGTCTGGTGTTTGTGGCGAGGTATCGCAGTACCATGGTAACATGTTACCATGGTAACACAATAACACAACAGCACAGGTTTAAAGTAATATAAAGCTGTACTTAATTGTTCTGTATAATTGTGTATTATCTAGTTCATGATTTTATAACTTCTGAGTAAATTATGTATTTAAAAACGTTATATGTTTACATTTGTTGGATGTTTCATTTTCTGAGAATAAAAAAGAACGTTTTATAGAAAAACAACAGGTGTTGTGCTTAGGTTAATTCCATATTAGAACATAAGGAAATTATAAAAAACAATTTTCACCAATATGAATTACGACTGTAAACTTTCAGGTGATGACCAATGGCGTCATTCGATTTGGTGAAGGTCGAGCTGAGGTGACCGGAAGTCCTGATCTGATATTTTCCTTCGAGAGGAAACAGAATATTATTGCCCCTCTCTGGGGGGATTTTAGACCGACGGAAGGTGAGAAATGTTCAAGTTTTCTACAACGTTGGTTTAATTTTGGGGCCATCTTTAATTCTGGGGCCACCTTTGATTCTGGGGCCATCTTTAATTTTAAGGCTACCACAAATTTTCTACAACGTTGGTTTAATTCTGGGGCACGACAAGGCTATGTTAATTATATCAAAGCCTTCAATCCAATCTTTAAGTACTTGAACCACTGCAGTTTTATATATTGAAAATACTTTAGATAACGCATAAACTGCATGTACTTATTCTTAGCCAGGCTGATAAAATAAAATGTTTTAAAATCGTGCTTCATAAACTAAAGTCTTTTTTTCGGAACTAGAAAAATAAAAGTCTTTCTCATTACATTTCATATTCATTAATATACAATTTTTAAGAAATGTCCACTGTGGTAAAGTTTTTAATTTCTTGTCTGTGTAGTTTTTACATTTTCTGACCCAGGTAAAGTTTTTTATCACCTATACGAGAAATGTCCAACAGACGAGCTAGGCGGATGGTCAGAAAACTCTACTGCCACTGCTCGTGTCCTACAGAGGGCCGAGCAAGACGTGAACCGACACTTCAATATGAACGGGTTCGACGCCATCTCAGCGCTGATCGCAACATGGGTGGACGTCATACCTTACGGGAACAAAACGGACGTGAGTAGATGACGTCATACTGTGCACCAACAAAACGGACGTGAGTAGATGACGTCATACCGTACGGGAACAAAACGAACGTGAGTAGATGACGTCATACCGTACGGGAACAAAACGGACGTGAGTAGATGACGTCATACCGTACGGGAACAAAACGGACATGAGTAGATGACGTCATACCGTACGGGCAAAAAACGGACGTGAGTAGATGACGTCATACTGTGTACCAACAAAACGGGCGTGAGTAGACGAACGAACACGACCTGTTTAAGGTGTGTTGAACTGTTTAAACATAGCAGCGGAATAATTTACCGCTGGATATATTATATTTACACCGTGTTTGTCATATTTTCAGAGTGAAACTTTCACATTTCAAGCTATATTTATCACTGGATGGAGAGACGCAAGCATACAAGGTACGTGTTTTAATCAGCCTCTATAATAATATTGTACAATTTCCGTTAAATAGACTTTAAGCCTCCATATTGTAAAAGTTTTGTTTGCGTTTTGTTTAGTTCTAATTTCTTTTTTTTTTACTTAATCGAATAGCCATAGTAAAAAAAAATGTAGAAAAGACATTCCTGAACTGATAGATTAAATGTACATTTTTAAAGATTTAGATATATAACGTACACAAACTACTGACTGTGTGAGCGAATATTTCCTGAAGCAGAGTATAAAGTTGCTGGTAAGCTGTAAGTAATTGAATGTTTGGATACCCTGGCGAAAGACTTTAGACACACGTGTTTCCATTGACACAGGCGATGTAGGCTCTTACGTCATATTTCTCTACGATCTCGGTGAGACGAGCGACTCTTGTTTCCATGGTAACCGGATCACCATTGGGGTAGCGGGGGCCGAGGTCAAGGTCATGTTTGACTCCAATTCCTCGTCTGTGTCAGTTCGCGAGTTTATTAAAGGTGAGTTGTGTGTCTATTTAAGTTGCTCAATATATATATTATATATATATAAATAAATATATATATATATATATAAATAAATAAATATATATATATATATATATATATATATATATATATATATATATATATATATATATATATATTTGTGTGTATATATATAACGTCGATATAGACCGTTGCGCATTGGAAATCCAAACAAAAAACCTGGACCTTAACTTGAGAAGAGCTAGACAAATGTTGCTCATCTATCAGCCCCCCCACCCCCCCCCCCCCTCTCCAAACAGCCGATGGACCCAAAGGACAGGACTTAACATGTACAGCTTGTCATCAGCAGTGTAGCAGGAGCTGCCGAAAAACAGAAGAGTTCTGTTTTTCGGCCTTCATACCGCAAAAGGGCTCCACTCCTGTTTGAACCCGGAGTTTCTTCTCCTAGATATTGTATAGGTTTATATACTGGTGTGCTAGGGAGACTCGTCAGTGACAGATATCATCTCATGTACTGCCCAGCGCAGTGTAAACCGTATCAATTCTGTGATCCTATCTTTAGCTTGATCAAGACAACACAACCTAATTAAACACTTTATCTCTTGATGCTCGATAACACTGAGTAGGAAGTAAAAACAATCACGTGTAAAATTAGATAACATTAGATAACAATCACTAATCAACGTACGCAGGTCGGCTCTAAAAAGATGTTCTGTACGCGACTGAGTAAACATAACGAGACAGTTGAGCAACTTGTTAGCAGAAGTACTTTAAGATATCATATAGGTCTTATATGATATTTTCGGAGGTCCATGTGGGAAATAGAATGGCTTAAACTGTACTAAATGGGTGGGTTTAGTATTGACTGGCATATGTGGGTGGGACTAGTACTGTCTGGGCTTATATGGGTGGGGCTAGTACTGACTGGGCTTATATGGGTGGGGCTAGTACTGACTGGGCTTATGTGGGTGGGGCTAGTACTGTCTGGGCTTATATGGGTGGGGCTAGTACTGACTGGGCAAAGACATCTCTCCTTATAAGGTATACCCTCCCACATTACTGGTAATATAATTTTGTTTGATGTAGTCACAACCTGTGAGCGTCCAACTCTGTCCTCAGACAACAGCGGCGTCGTCACATACCACACAGGGAACAGCAACATCCCGTCTGCCGGCTGTCACCGCTACCTCTGTAAACACGCGGACCTCCTGTCCAGCGACACCTACCAGCGTGAGGTGCTCCAGCTGTTGCCGTGTCCGTGTACGTTGGACAGGCTGGGGTTTCCATGGCAACTGTTGGAGAAAAGGGGAGTGAACCGGAACATCCACTGCTACGCCATCAACCCTGAGGCCAAACGAAGATTTCTGCCACCAAATACTAGGAATAAGGTAGGAATCTGATGATCGTGTTACATCGTTAATTTATGGCATCATATCTTAAACAGTGAGTGTTAATTAGTGACATCATATCTTAAACAGTGATTGTTAATTAGTGACATCATATCTTAAACAGTGATTGTTAATTAGTGACATCATATTATTGGCTATAAACGACATATAACTGGGCCCAAACGAATTTTTGAATTATTCCAACACGAATATAACAACACCTATTATAATGTGTTTTATTTTTAGACTGTACTATAACATACTTGGCACTAGAAACTTATCCCTTTACTTAACCAGTATCTAAGCAGCTAATCTTCTTTTATTTCTATACCACAACCTTTGGTATTGGTAACAAGTGAAATATTTTTATTGTAAAACTAAATGTACTAATAAGACCCTGACCAGACTATGAGCACGGTAGTTTAGCAAGACGAGCTAACGTCTACACATTCAAACAAGATTTTACATAATTGTGTCAGTACAATATGAGCTAAACAAGACAGTAACGAAGTGTCTTGTATTGTATGAGCTAAGCGAGGCAGTAACGAAGTGTCTTGTCTGTATTGTATGAGCTAAACGAGACAGTAACGAAGTGTCTTGTATTGTATGAGCTAAACGAGACAGTAACGAAGTGTCTTGTCTGTATTGTATGAGCTAAACGAGACAGTAACGAAGTGTCTTGTCTGTATTGTATGAGCTAAGCGAGACAGTAACGAAGTGTCTTGTCTGTATTGTATGAGCTAAACGAGACAGTAACGAAGTGTCTTGTCTGTATTGTATGAGCTAAACGAGACAGTAACGAAGTGTCTTGTCTGTATTGTATGAGCTAAACAAGACAGTAACGAAGTGTCTTGTATTGTATGAGCTAAGCGAGACAGTAACGAAGTGTCTTGTCTGTATTGTATGAGCTAAACAAGACAGTAACGAAGTGTCTTGTATTGTATGAGCTAAGCGAGACAGTAACGAAGTGTCTTGTCTGTATTGTATGAGCTAAACGAGACAGTAACGAAGTGTCTTGTCTGTATTGTATGAGCTAAACAAGACAGTAACGAAGTGTCTTGTATTGTATGAGCTAAGCGAGACAGTAACGAAGCGTCGTGTTATCTTACAGCTGTGCTGCTACAAGGTGCCCGACCAATCGTGTCACGACGACCTCCACCTGAAGCAGAGCCAGTCCTGCTACATCCGGCAGTCGGCTGAGTCGGGTCACGTGCTGGTCAGTGACCCGTGGCCAGCGACCCGCCGTGTGGAGGACAACATGGCGGCCCAACGTTTGTGTTGCCTGAACTCATCCTACACTATGTGCAACACGTTCTTTGGCTTGTTCCCGGCGCAGGAATGTTCCAGTGATGTGGACTTTGTTACAGGTAAGGTTGACCATTGTCGTACATATATTACATAGGACTATAGTTGCTTTAAGTAAACAGAAAGGAAATGATTTTGTTTCATATCTTAGATTGTCGAAATTGTCACTTTTTAAAGCAAATTAGCATTCGCACATACACATACAGACACACACACACACACACACGCGTGTATATATTATTATATGTGTGGATATATATAATAAAATATACGTAGACATATATATATATATATATATATATATATATATATATATATATATATATATATATATATATATATATATATATATGCCTATATATAATATTTAATTAAAATGTATCAGGTTATATTATTGACTCTACCTAGCCTACGTGTTTGGAGACCCCCACATTACAACATTTGATCAACTGAGCTACAGTATGAACGGCTGGGGCGAGTTCACATTGATGAGCGTCACAACTCAAGATTTTGTACTGCAGGTACTGTCAGAAGTTATGCCTCTCACATTTGTTAAAATACTGTCTCGTGTGGTAGTTCTGGCTCTAGCTCCCCTGTAATCCTGCAGGCTAGAACTGGTAGAGCAAGGACGCCATACGGTACATTTGTGAATGCCACCGTGCTAACAGCTGTGGCTGCCAGCGATGGAAATCACTCACATTTTCAGGCAGTTCTTGATTCGTCTGGCACAGGTAATAATGTTAATAAGTTTAACATTTTTTTATGACGGGAATTTATACATATATATATATATATATAAATATATATATATATATATATATATATATATATATATATATATATATATATATATATATATATATATATATATATATATATATATATATATATATATATATATATAATATTTATATATTTATATATATATATATTATATATGTGTGTTTGTGCGTGTGTGTTCATACATGAGTAAGTATTTTTGTATACATGTGTGTTTATACAATATTCGACTGAATACGTATATATATATATATATAATATTTATATATATTATATACTTATATATATATATATATAATATTAATTATATATATATATATTAATATGTATATATATATATAATATTTATATATATTATATATGTGTGTTTGTGTGTGTGTGTGTTCATACATGGGTAAGTACACAATATTTGACTGCATATTTATATATATATAAATATATGTATTTTTGTATACATGTGTGTTTATACAATATTCGACTGAATACGTAAATATATATATATATATATATATATATATATATATATATATATATTTATATATATATATATATATATATATATATATATATATATATATATATATATATATATATATAATATTTATATATATTATATACATATATATATATATATATATATAATATTAATTATATATATATATATTAATATGTATATATATATATATAATATTTATATACATTATATATGTGTGTTTGTGTGTGTGTGTTCATACATGAGTAAGTACACAATTTGACTGCATATTTATATATATATATATATATATATATATATATATATATATATATATATATATATATATATATATATATATATATATGTATTTGTGTATACATGTGTGTTTACACAATATTCGACTGCATACGTGTCCACTTGTAGGTATGATTCTACACGTGAATGGCCAAAATGTGACTGATGACTTCTACAAGAAAGATGACTTTAACTGGACACCCAACAACACAGTCAGTGTGTGGAGAGAGTGTGGACAAAACAAAACCTTCGTCCTAGCGATGTTTCCCTCTGGTAATTATCTTTAGATTTCTTCCAGCGATGTTTCCCTCTGGTAATTATCTTTAGATTTCTTCCAGCCATGTTTCCCTCTGGTAATTATCTTTAGATTTCTTCCAGCCATGTTTCCCTCTGGTAATTATCTTTAGATTTCTTCCAGCCATGTTTCCCTCTGGTAATTATCTTTAGATTTCTTCCAGCCGTTTCCCTCTGGTAATTATCTTTAGATTTCTTCCAGCCATGTTTCCCTCTGGTAATTATCTTTAGATTTCTTCCAGCGATGTTTCCCTCTGGTAATTATCTTTAGATTTCTTCCAGCCATGTTTCCCTCTGGTAATTATCTTTAGATTTCTTCCAGCCATGTTTCCCTCTGGTAATTATCTTTAGATTTCTTCCAGCCATGTTTCCCTCTGGTAATTATCTTTAGATTTCTTCCAGCCATGTTTCCCTCTGGTAATTATCTATAGATTTCTTCCAGCGATGTTTCCCTCTGGTAATTATCTTTAGATTTCTTCCAGCCATGTTTCCCTCTGGTAATTATCTTTAGATTTCTTCCAGCCATGTTTCCCTCTGGTAATTATCTTTAGATTTCTTCCAGCCATGTTTCCCTCTGGTAATTATCTTTAGATTTCTTCCAGCCATGTTTCCCTCTGGTAATTATCTTTAGATTTCTTCCAGCCATGTTTCCCTCTGGTAATTATCTTTAGATTTCTTCCAGCCGTTTCCCTCTGGTAATTATCTTTAGATTTCTTCCAGCCATGTTTCCCTCTGGTAATTATCTTTAGATTTCTTCCAGCCATGTTTCCCTCTGGTAATTATCTTTAGATTTCTTCCAGCCATGTTTCCCTCTGGTAATTATCTTTAGATTTCTTCCAGCCATGTTTCCCTCTGGTAATTATCTTTAGATTTCTTCCAGCCATGTTTCCCTCTGGTAATTATCTTTAGATTTCTTCCAGCCGTTTCCCTCTGGTAATTATCTTTAGATTTCTTCCAGCCATGTTTCCCTCTGGTAATTATCTTTAGATTTCTTCCAGCGATGTTTCCCTCTGGTAATTATCTTTAGATTTCTTCCAGCCATGTTTCCCTCTGGTAATTATCTTTAGATTTCTTCCAGCCATGTTTCCCTCTGGTAATTATCTTTAGATTTCTTCCAGCCATGTTTCCCTCTGGTAATTATCTATAGATTTCTTCCAGCGATGTTTCCCTCTGGTAATTATCTTTAGATTTCTTCCAGCCATGTTTCCCTCTGGTAATTATCTTTAGATTTCTTCCAGCCATGTTTCCCTCTGGTAATTATCTTTAGATTTCTTCCAGCCATGTTTCCCTCTGGTAATTATCTTTAGATTTCTTCCAGCCATGTTTCCCTCTGGTAATTATCTTTAGATTTCTTCCAGCCATGTTTCCCTCTGGTAATTATCTTTAGATTTCTTCCAGCCATGTTTCCCTCTGGTAATTATCTTTAGATTTCTTCCAGCCATGTTTCCCTCTGGTAATTATCTTTAGATTTCTTCCAGCCATGTTTCCCTCTGGTAATTATCTTTAGATTTCTTCCAGCCATGTTTCCCTCTGGTAATTATCTTTAGATTTCTTCCAGCCATGTTTCCCTCTGGTAATTATCTTTAGATTTCTCCCAGCCATGTTTCCCTCTGGTAATTATCTTTAGATTTCTTCCAGCCATGTTTCCCTCTGGTAATTATCTTTAGATTTCTTCCAGCGATGTTTCCCTCTGGTAATTATCTTTAGATTTCTTCCAGCCATGTTTCCCTCTGGTAATTATCTTTAGATTTCTTCCAGCCATGTTTCCCTCTGGTAATTATCTTTAGATTTCTTCCAGCCATGTTTCCTTCTGGTAATTATCTTTATATTTCTTCCAGCCATGTTTCCCTCTGGTAATTATCTTTAGATTTCTTCCAGCCATGTTTCCCTCTGGAAATTATCTTTAGATTTCTTCCATCCATGTTTCCCTCTGGTAATTATCTTTAGATTTCTTCCAGCCATGTTTCCCTCTGGTAATTATCTTTAGATTTCTTCCAGCCATGTTTCCCTCTGGTAATTATCTTTAGATTTCTTCCAGCGATGTTTCCCTCTGGTAATTATCTTTAGATTTCTTCCAGCCATGTTTCCCTCTGGTAATTATCTTTAGATTTCTTCCAGCCATGTTTCCCTCTGGTAATTATCTTTAGATTTCTTCCAGCCATGTTTCCCTCTGGTAATTATCTTTAGATTTCTTCCAGCCATGTTTCCCTCTGGTAATTATCTTTAGATTTCTTCCAGCCATGTTTCCCTCTGGTAATTATCTTTAGATTTCTTCCAGCGATGTTTCCCTCTGGTAATTATCTTTAGATTTCTTCCAGCCATGTTTCCCTCTGGTAATTATCTTTAGATTTCTTCCAGCCATGTTTCCCTCTGGTAATTATCTTTAGATTTCTTCCAGCCATGTTTCCCTCTGGTAATTATCTTTAGATTTCTTCCAGCCATGTTTCCCTCTGGTAATTATCTTTAGATTTCTTCCAGCCATGTTTCCCTCTGGTAATTATCTTTAGATTTCTTCCAGCCATGTTTCCCTCTGGTAATTATCTTTAGATTTCTTCCAGCGATGTTTCCCTCTGGTAATTATCTTTAGATTTCTTCCAGCCATGTTTCCCTCTGGTAATTATCTTTAGATTTCTTCCAGCGATGTTTCCCTCTGGTAATTATCTTTAGATTTCTTCCAGCCATGTTTCCCTCTGGTAATTATCTTTAGATTTCTTCCAGCCATGTTTCCCTCTGGTAATTATCTTTAGATTTCTTCCAGCCATGTTTCCCTCTGGTAATTATCTTTAGATTTCTTCCAGCCGTTTCCCTCTGGTAATTATCTTTAGATTTCTTCCAGCCATGTTTCCCTCTGGTAATTATCTTTAGATTTCTTCCAGCCATGTTTCCCTCTGGTAATTATCTTTAGATTTCTTCCAGCCATGTTTCCCTCTGGTAATTATCTTTAGATTTCTTCCAGCCATGTTTCCCTCTGGTAATTATCTTTAGATTTCTTCCAGCCATGTTTCCCTCTGGTAATTATCTTTAGATTTCTTCCAGCCATGTTTCCCTCTGGTAATTATCTTTAGATTTCTTCCAGCCATGTTTCCCTCTGGTAATTATCTTTAGATTTCTTCCAGCCATGTTTCCCTCTGGTAATTATCTTTAGATTTCTTCCAGCCATGTTTCCCTCTGGTAATTATCTTTAGATTTCTTCCAGCCATGTTTCCCTCTGGTAATTATCTTTAGATTTCTTCCAGCCATGTTTCCCTCTGGTAATTATCTTTAGATTTCTTCAAGCCATGTTTCCCTCTGGTAATTATCTTTAGATTTCTTCCAGCCATGTTTCCCTCTGGTAATTATCTTTAGATTTCTTCCAGCCATGTTTCCCTCTGGTAATTATCTTTAGATTTCTTCCAGCGATGTTTCCCTCTGGTAATTATCTTTAGATTTCTTCCAGCCATGTTTCCCTCTGGTAATTATCTTTAGATTTCTTCCAGCCATGTTTCCCTCTGGTAATTATCTTTAGATTTCTTCCAGCCATGTTTCCCTCTGGTAATTATTTTTAGATTTCTTCCAGCCATGTTTCCCTCTGGTAATTATCTTTAGATTTCTTCCAGCCATGTTTCCCTCTGGTAATTATCTTTAGATTTCTTCCAGCCATGTTTCCCTCTGGTAATTATCTTTAGATTTCTTCCAGCCATGTTTCCCTCTGGTAATTATCTTTAGATTTCTTCCAGCGATGTTTCCCTCTGGTAATTATCTTTAGATTTCTTCCAGCCATGTTTCCCTCTGGTAATTATCTTTAGATTTCTTCCAGCCATGTTTCCCTCTGGTAATTATCTTTAGATTTCTTCCAGCCATGTTTCCTTCTGGTAATTATCTTTAGATTTCTTCCAGCCATGTTTCCCTCTGGTAATTATCTTTAGATTTCTTCAAGCCATGTTTCCCTCTGGTAATTATCTTTAGATTTCTTCCAGCCATGTTTCCCTCTGGTAATTATCTTTAGATTTCTTCCAGCCATGTTTCCCTCTGGTAATTATCTTTAGATTTCTTCCAGCGATGTTTCCCTCTGGTAATTATCTTTAGATTTCTTCCAGCCATGTTTCCCTCTGGTAATTATCTTTAGATTTCTTCCAGCCATGTTTCCCTCTGGTAATTATCTTTAGATTTCTTCCAGCCATGTTTCCCTCTGGTAATTATCTTTAGATCTCTTCCAGTGATGTTTCCCTCTGGTAATTATCTTTAGATTTCTTCATACTTGTCTCTGCAATATTTCTTGCAGGCCTTTATAAAAAAGTTGGATATAACGACGTGTTATTATGTATAACCTTTTCTATAAATTTTTATTTTCAATAGGTGTGACTGTAAAGATTAACACGGCTTTACAAAACCTTGAGCTTGAGATCCAAGCAACTAAATTTCTAATGAACAAGACAGTTGGACTTCTGGGGAATTTCAATAATATTTCAGAAGGTTTGTCCTATCGGATTTACCATCAGTAGTCTCATTGATTATTGATATACACGACAGCCTGTTTGATCAAACAAATATTATTTCAGAAGGTTTGTCCCCGACTAGCGGTTTTACCATCAGTACTCCCATAGATATATGTGATAGCATGTTTGATCAGACGAACATTATTTCAGATGATTTGTCCCCGACCAGTGGTTTTAACGTCAGTACTCCTATCGATTGGCGTGATAGCAAGTTTGATCAGACATACATCCAAAAGTGTAAGTAAAGTTTAACTACAAAGTTTTTATACTTTATTCTGATTTAATGTGTAATACTTGTCTGTTGGTTATAGCATGGTTCCACGATTTACATACGTATCAGAAGTAATTTAAAAAACAGATTTCTTGTACACAAGCAGATGTAATGGGTCATTCTGCTCTCTTGAAACAATAACAGGTAAAATCACTGGGATAACAATGTTACCCAGTACATTAATTTAGTTGTCTTGACTGCATGACCAGCACTTAGCGGACTGCATTGAAGTATTTGTTTATAAAGTTAACTTAGATTTTCTATTTCTGATCAAAAGGGAGAGTAAACCGAACACATTCGGTGTTTAAATACAGGGATAAAGAGGATCTGAGTTCTCTTCAAGATTTCCGACCAACGTTTGCTAAGGATTTGAACCTGAACAATTCCTTGGATATTTGTGGCAGCAGAGATGAGCTGTGTAGCTTTGATAACCTGGTTATGCTGGATTGGGTGTTTGCAAAGAACACACACAATTTTAGATCGTATCATAGTAACAGGGATGATAAGTTGAGTAAGTATATCAGGTAAATTATGAGCTATGTGACAGTACGTATGGCAGGTAAATCATGAGCTATGTGAAAATGACAGTAAGTGAAGTTCTGATGTTTTCACCGATTTATGAAGAAACTAAAAGTTGATATTCTTAGAAGAATAATCATGTATTGTATTGGTATGTTTAATTAAATAGACTTCTGCTGATATTTCAATTGCTAATTGGTAGACCGTGTTTCGATCACTCAGTCAAATTAAATATGGATAATGTAGCAGTCCAAGTCAAACAATCATAGTCTTCCTAACAATTAGTAATGGCATCCAAAAGATAATATAATGACCCACGATTTCTTCATTATATATTTAAAGAAAATCATTTATTTTGTACTTTTTAGTGCACTATTACATAAAAGCCTATTATTAAAACTTTTAAACTATTGTTTTATGCATTGTTTTATTCAGTGCTTTAAAGTTTTTAATACAATAGAGTTTGCTTGACTAAAAATTATTGCGCAACAAATAAACACGAAAATGCGCGTATAATAGTCCGGAATAATAGTAGGACCTCCACCTTATTTTGTAAATTTTAATTAATTCATAAAAAAAATAATTAGGCATCCGATTAAGTCAAATTTGATGTCAGATTGCATTGTCATCGGGTCTTGATCAACGTGCCAAGTTTGAAACGAATCGGTCAGTTAAAAGTGCTCGATATTTCACTCGGCAGTTTCGATCTATGACGATAGACAGACAGAAAGACAGAGGAAGCAAGTTTGATAAAAGTTTTTAAAAAATCCACATAAATAACGGAAGCAAATGATCAACTTCAGGAAACAACCCCCCGACCCTGTCGCTGAGAGACAAAGATATTCTGGTGGATGGCCGGTGGATCGTCACAGATGGTCTGGTGGAGCACCTGGAGCTGGCCACGTCAGACAAGGATGGCCACCAGGTGACGGTGTCGTGGGTGGATGGCCCACCTGAAGCCAGGCGCGTCACAAACCTGACTCTAAAGTATGTGCCAGATGTTCGGGTACCTACACGGATAGGGTGAGGTGGACTGTTTTAAAATTGTGTAACTGTCTTGTTGTGGGGGGTAGACTTGGTGTGGGTGTGTGTGTGGGGGTGTGGATGTGTGTGGATGTGTAAATTTGTGGGTGTGTGTGTATGGATGTGTGTGGATGTGTGGGTGTATGGATGGTGGGTGTGTGGATGGTGGGTGTGTGGATGGGTGTGGATGTGAGGGAGTGTTTGGATGTGTGGATGTGTGGATGAGTGGATGTGTGGGTGTGTGGGTGTGTATTAGCTGGGGTGAGAAGTGAAAGAAAACTTTCAATGAGGAAGTCGACTGTGATATATTGTAACTGCCAACATCTGGGAGGAAAATTTATTCTTTCCTGACTGAAAAAAAAAAAAAAAACGTCTAGCGGATTAGAAACATACCTCTATTCCGACTAGGAAACAATACGTACCCCATACCGACCAACACATAACTTAACCCCTCACCCCCACCCCACAGCTTGAGATCACGTGACCGCCAGGGCGCCTACAGCCCAGTGCTCTACATCCCAGTCTCCGTGTGTCCCCAATGTGGCCCTCGGGGTCAGTGTGACGTCAATGGAACAATGCAGGACACGTTCTACGACGGCTACTTCCAGGTACTCAGGTGTGTCTGCAGCCCCGCCTACACAGGTAAGTCTATATAGACACACGTCTATAGACAGACACGTCTATATATAGACACAAGTCTATACATCGATACAAGTCTATATATAGACACTTCTATATATAGACACACGTCATATATAGACGTCTATATACAGACAAGTCTATACACAGACACACGTCTATATATAGACATGTCTATATATAAACGATTCTATATTCAGACAAGTCTATATACAGAAACATGTCTTTACCTAGAGACAAAACTATATTATCACCTGTCGCGATAGGGATATATTACATTTATCTAATAGAACGGAGATGAAACATGTTTCTGTTAACTAAAATTCATCAAATGATGGAAATCAATTGTTGCATTATTTAGTGATTGAATTTTAAAAAAAAAACACAAGCAGATCTTCACTAGGTCTATGCACTACTACACTAACCCGTAGCGAATATACTGATGTTAATCTATATAAGGAACCTGTAACTAAAAGCTCCGCATCTAACCTTAAGGTTAAATAGCCCTCTATGCTGTATCTGTATAAAACCCATGCCGACCATACTTCATAGTTCCAACTAAAACTGTCTGGCCAAGATAACTCTATACTCCCCCCCCTACCAGGCGTCAACTGTGAGTCTGAGATCAACCCCTGTGACACCATGCCTTGCTCCTGGGGTCAGGCGTGTCAGCCGGTGCCACACCAAGCTGACAATGACACAACCGTGGACACTTACCCTAGATACACATGTGGGGCGTGTCCAGAGAATTATGGAGATGTTCTTGGCAAATGTGTGGGTAAGAACTCTAAACTTTAAAAAGTATAATTTTTTTTTAAAAAGTAAAACGCATTTTTTATGTCAATAACACAATTGGTCTATTCAATCTGCTTTAGCTGGCATTTGTATTTGATATATTAAAATGCTATGAGGCTTCAAGTCCTACATATATTTTGTAGCTGTAGTGCAAGACGGATGCCCCACCACCATCGCTACAACTGCTACAACAGCTCCAGGTAACCCAGTCACAAGTCTGCCAGTATGTCGGGAAGGTTTCCATTTGGACAAGGATAGTTTGAATTGTACCGGTAAGTGTATGATAAACAAAATGTCTGCCTTGAAGGTCGAACGATTATTTTAACAGTTTGAAGGATTATGTTTTTTAGTACTGGTAAAATTAGAATAAAAATTGTGAAACAAATATTTGCTTTAAAATAATTGGAACCAACAGCGTGAGGTTTATGTATGTAAACACTTAGAGAATGGAAATAAATTCCGCGAGTAACACAATCCCAATCCTATTCCAGATATTGATGAGTGTGCTTCAAGGGAGACGAATGGGTGTAGTTACCTTGATGGGTGTGTGAACACGATAGGCAGCTTCACCTGCTCGTGCATGGATGGCTTTTACCTGGACCGTGATGGACGTGCATGTGTAGGTGAGTAGAATGTATTTAGTGCGCTTTAAACTTGGCTAGTCAAACATTGTTTTAAAAGTCCGCATAAAACATGGCTAGTAAGTTTTTTTTAGAGAAATGTAGTATATCAAAGTTCTAATTTAATGTATCAGTTTGTTGGATCGGGTAATACATTGTTTTATGTTATTTCATACATATAAATATACTGTTCTTTAATATATATATATATATATATATATATATATATATATATATATATATATATATATATATATATATATTTATTTATTTATTTATTTATTTATATATATATATATATTACATTTTATTAAATAAAATATATTTTTATCACCGCTTTTGTAAATAAAGAAAATAGATAGTTGCATAGCAATTATTACTTCACAGTAAAACCATGCATATTGTTTAATTTAAATCACTATGATTCCCTCATTACTCATATTTAACTGTGTTAATCCGGGTTTATTGCCGAGGTGTGATATTTATATATACGACAATTTTAAGCATAATTACAACACATTTTGATGGTATCAACCTGACACATATTTAAAATGGACTGAATTAGAACTTGTAGGAAGCGGCACAGGTGAGATGAAAGAATCAAAAGCTGAACACGTCAACCTTATCATCTACCTGAGTCTGGGAGTCTCGCTGTTTGTTCTTCTGTGTGTTGCCGTCATGTTTGCCGTCAAACTCTGGATAACCCGTCACCATGTAAAGGGAAACAATCGTGCTAAGTCACCCGACCCTCAAGAGAAGACAACCGGGGTAAAACGGTAACAGTGGAAATTGTATTTTTTCCTTTTAAATTTATTTTCCTGTAAGTGCGTCTGTCATTTAAGCAAATAAAATGGTGTTAATTTTTACCAAAAACAGTAACATTTGTATAAGAAATAATTATTTTATCATTTATTGATTTGATTGAGTAAATAAAAAAAAAAAACCATAACAAATATGTTTAGGGCTAAAGTCTCTCCCCAAACCAAGGGAGAAAACCCATACTACTCCGAGATTCCAGAGAGAGCCCTGAGTAAAGTCCTCCCACACAACGAGGATGTATGTGAGTTTCTGCTTTATGTTTTCATATGTTGAGGTAGATTACGTCATAGTTAGTAGCGAGGTGGGGTTTCTATCGTCTTACAATACTTTTAGTCTGCCGGTATGCTCAACATTAAATAAATTTGATCATTTTATAAGCCTTGTTTTAATTACCAAATTTTGAGTAAATGTTAGTTCAACAGTTCTTTAAAAAATGCTGAAAAAAGTTATCCGTCATAATTTCAGACGCCCATATACAAAAGCCCGTCAAAAGTGTCTTTGATCCCCCTCAAGTAAAAACACAGCCAAACTTTTATGTACGTGACTGGGGACATGTACAGGAGAATTTCTATCATGAGGTAGTTGTCTTATATCATTGTACCTTATGTTAAATCATTGTACCTTATGTTATATCATTGTACCTTATATTATATCATTGTACCTTATGGTATATCATTGTACCTTATAGTATATCATTGTACCTTATGGTATATCATTTTACCTTATGTTATATCACGGTACCTTATGTTATATCATTGTACCTTATGTTATATCACGGTACCTTATGTTATATCACGGTACCTAATGTTATATTATTGTACCTTATGTTATATCATTGTATGTTATGTTATATCATTGTACCTTATGTTATATCATTGTATCTTATGTTATATCATTGTAGCTTATGTTATATCATTGTACCTTATGTTATATCACGGTACCTAATGTTATATCATTGTACCTAATGTTATATCATTGTACCTTATGTTATATCACGGTACCTAATGTTATATCATTGTACCTTATGTTATATCATTGTACCTTATGTTATATCATTGTACCTTATGTTATATCACGGTACCTTATGTTATATCATTGTACCTTATGTTATATTATTGTACCTTATGTTATATCATTGTAGCTTATGTTATATCATTGTACCTTATGGTATATCATTGTATGTTATATTATATCATTGTACCTTATGGTATATCATTGTACCTTTCAATGTAAAATATATATTATTACTTTTGTTATGTTATATCATAGTATCCTTCAATGAACACTATATAATATTACTTTTGTTATGTTATATAATTTTATCTTTGAATGTACACTATATAAATTAGATGTGTTATATTGTATCATTGTATCTTGCAATTTACAACATATAATATTACGCATATACTTACTCGCAATTAACATGTATATATTTAATTACGCATACACAAACAAAAATTTATATATATATATATATATATATATATATATATATATATATATATATATATATATATATATATATATATATATATATATATATATATACATATATATACATATACATACATATATATATATATATATATATATATATATATATATATATATATATATATATATATATATATATATATATATATATATATATATATATATATATATATATATATATATAATAAATATAACTATACAGACACATATAATCTAATTATTCCTTGATTTTTGCTTATCTTTAATTATCACCATATGTTTCAGATTCCTGAAGTGAAAGGAAAATTACCATATGACAGAGACACACTTTTAGAATATTAGGGGATATCACATAAACATACAGTTTTAATAAAATATTAAAAATATTTTCTTATGAAATGGATATTACCAACATATATACATTTATGTTGTTTTATTGTATGCTATTTTTACCTTATCTGTACACATTTTTATTAACGTGGGATTTTTGTTTTTGAATAAAATGAGAAATGTTATTTACTTGACATTGTTTTTAGTCATTTTGCAGGTACGTGGTTGGGTACTATCAGGATGGGGTGGGGGTGGGGCTGGGGTTTGTCCATCACTATTGCTCACTAATACTGCTCCTAGATATATCACGCACACGTCTATATATGCATATATAGCACACCCGTCTGTAGCTAAACTACACACACACATATAGCTAAACAAAACACGTCTATAGCTATACGTCACACGTATGTAGCTATACCACACATGCATATAGCCATACCATATACGTCTATAACTACACCACACATGTATATAGCTATACCATACAGGTATATAGCTATACCACACACACACACGTCTATAGCTATACCACACACACACACGTCTATAGCTATTCCACACACACGTCTATAGCTATACTACACACGTCTATAGCTATACCATACACACGACTATAGCTTTTCCACACACACGTCTATAGCTATACTACACACGTCTCTAGCTATACCACACACACACGTCTATAGCTATATTACAAATATGTGTATAGCTAAACCACCCTTATGTCTTCTAGCTATATCATACACACACGTCTATAGCCATAGTACAAATACGTCTATAGCTATATTACAAATATGTGTATAGCTAAACCACCCTTATGTCTTCTAGCTATATCATACACACACGTCTATAGCCATAGTACAAATACGTCTATAGCTATATTACAAATATGTGTATAGCTAAACCACCCTTATGTCTTCTAGCTATATCATACACACACGTCTATAGCCATAGTACAAATACGTCTATAGCTATATTACAAATATGTGTATAGCTAAACCACCCTTATGTCTTCTAGCTATATCATACACACACGTCTATAGCCATAGTACAAATACGTCTATAGCTATATTACAAATATGTGTTTAGCTAAACCACCCTTATGTCTTCTAGCTATATCATACACACACGTCTATAGCTATAGTACACACACGTCTAAAGCTATATTACAAATATGTGTTTAGCTAAACCACCCTTATGTCTATAGCTATATCATACACACACGTCTATAGCTATAGTACACACACGTCTACAGCTATATTACAAATATGTGTTTAGCTAACCACCCTTATGTCTATAGCTATATCATACACACACGTCTATAGCTATAGTACACACACGTCTATTGCTATACCACAAATATGTGTTTAGCTAAACCACCCTTATGTCTATAGCTATATCATACACACACGTCTATAGCTATAGTACACACACGTCTATTGCTATACCACAAATATGTGTTTAGCTAAACCACCCTTATGTCTATAGCTATATCATACACACACGTCTATAGCTATAGTACACACACGTCTATAGCTATATTACAAATATGTGTTTAGCTAAACCACCCTTATATCTATAGCTATATCATACATATGTATAAACCCACCTTAAATCAGTTTTTAATCTTCCAAACATCTAATGTGTTATAACAACATAGCGACATTTTAATTGCTATGGCAGTGAATTAAGTATTGTTTTATCCCAGTAATAATTTATTTTTCAGATTTTATTCCTTATCTACCTATCAAATGTGGCGAGCATTTTGTGCATGAGAGTATTAAGTTTAATATTATTTTATTTTTTCTACTGAGCCTCTAAAGTTTGGAGCTCAAATTTACAATCAACAGGTTGTTGATAATCGACAACATTTTATAAATTAATGTAAGATTTTAAGCAAACTTAATTAAAATTAAATAATCATAATAGCATACAATTCAAGTTTTAAGAACATAATTTCTTTTCTACTCCACATTTCTCTGTCTGACTTAAATAAAAAAAAAATAAAATATATACAAATCTGAGATTGATCTTCAACTCGTGTATTGAACTTTTCCAGCCAACATTATTTGTTTTAATTTGCCAGTTAATCCGAACGTGGTGTCGACTGGGTTAGTTGCTTACTGCAGCCAATCTAACCGATGACGTCTACATGAATTATTTGGTCTAATTGTTCCTTATCAGTCGACATTATGACAGCGAACACTCAAAACTTGCCCAGCACAAAGCAGAGGGTTGACAATATTTCTTGCCTCGTCGTGCAACTGTTGTTTCTGTTGGACGTTTGTTACTGATGTTTCTAACGGACGGTTGCTACTGTTGTTTCTGATGGGCGGCTGCTACTGTTGTTTCTGATGGACGGTTGTTACTGTGGTTTCTGATGGACGGTTGTTACTGTTGTTCAATGAAAGCTGGTTTTGTTGGGCCCATGAAAACTACGGCTAGTATGGGCGATATGCTTGAATTAACACAACTTTGTAGCAACTAGTCATTACTAGTCAAAACATCAGTTGGGTGTGTAGGTTATGTTTATTATCTCTGCTGTCTGCCTGTCAGTCATAGATATGACGTGTTTTGATACATTATCTGTGATAACTAGATCAAGGTGGGTCTTGTTTTGTTTTATCTTGTGTCAACCATTTCAGTTGTTACGTTAAAGCCAGTGTCTGCATCCTTAGCAACATCACATAGAGGTAAGGTTCTACTCACTTCACTGTCAACATCACATAAGGTTGTACGCAATATACTCATCACATAGAGATAAGGCTGTACTCAATACACTGTCAACATCACGTAGAGGTAAGGTTGTACTCAATACACTGTCAACATCACATAAGGCTGTACTCAATACACTATCAACATCACATAAGTTTGTACTCAATACACTGTCAACATCACATAAGGATGTACTCAATACACTATCAACATCACATAAGGTTGTACTCAATACACTATCAACATCACATAAGGATGTACTCAATACACTATCAACATCACATAAGTTTGTACTCAATACACTGTCAACATCACATAAGGATGTACTCAATACACTATCAACATCACATAAGGTTGTACTCAATACACTATCAACATCACATAAGGTTGTACTCAATACACTATCAACATCACATTGAGGTAAGGCTGTACTCAATACACTGTTTCATTCTTACTCGAATGTTTTAAAACTTCAATAGATTGTTTTATACTTACTCGAATGTTGTAATACTTTAATAGATGCTGAAATTTGCGAAATATTAAATTACTACCATTATGGGTAGCTAATCAATACGACATGAATTAAAACATATTTTTAATAAATATTTTTTTCAAATAAATATTTTAAAATGTGTAGGAGGTTTAAAAGTTCAATTTTCTTTCGAATAAAATAAAAATTACAAATCTATAATCGTATGATGTAAATAATATAAAACTAGGCGTGTAAAATGCTTTATCACTGAGATATGATATCACGCAGCACCCTAACCTGTTGGTAAAATATGGTGATGTCAGCCAATCGTTTTCTTGGAAAATAGAAGCACAGATTTTTGTTCTTTAACTTCGTTAGTCTTACAATAATCTCGAATCAAACTTTAAACTATCCATCTTTATTTGATTCAATAGTGTATTATTACCTAAGTTAACTGATATCTCTAAAGCCTAATTTAATATATTTTTTTCAAATCGTAATGCTATAAACAATTATGTTGAAGATGTTAACATTCTCCAGTCCTTGTTTCACTGCCGGGGTCTGTAGTGCAGCCCCGAGTCACCCCCTCCCCCCTCACCTCACATGGGCACCTGACTTTAGTCGGTCAAAATAAAGGTGGCTGGGCATAGAGTTGACAAAAAAATCTAAATGTAGTGTAGGTCACAGAAGCTACTAGTTTCGTTTAGCTGGCCTTACAAAGCACATGTTGCAGTAGGAACAATGTCTTATGGGGAAAAAATATTAAAATATGTAATTAAGAAACATGCGTTAAAAATGGTTATCTTAACTTTATTTATTTTGCTGGATTTTCAGTTGAAATTTGCGTAAAATACAAAATTAAATGAATCGGCAGAAGTGACAAGGAAATGGAACCAAGGCTCACATGTGTGGTTCTGCTCGTGATCTCTCTTTACGATAACTTCATGAGATCTGTCGCAGGTACATACACATTTTATAGCAAACTTTCTGTGTTTAGTGATGGGATAAAGGCAAAAAATAACTACTGTTCGCTTCTTTACGACATAGTTCATTCAGCCTTATGTTACAAGGTTTAACACAGCTTTAGTGCCACATACACAGCCATATTATTTCTTTCCAGTTGACCTTTACCCCCATGGTTCCAGCAGTAACGATGACGTCATCAAGCCTGACCATCTTCCTTTAAACAACAACACGATATTTGCCAGCGACGCCATCCACTTCAGTGCTGGAGTTCCTTTCAAACGGAACCAACATCTCGAGACTGTCGCCCATGTAAGTAGGTGTTCAATATGTCAGATCTGCGGGAATCTCTTGTTCTACTATCGATGTTAGGACTGGATCAGGGAGTATTACACAACATTTGAACGCAAGTCTCACGACGTCAGCTTTAAAGTCAAGACATCAAGTTTAGAAATTAATGAGCTACAAATCTCTCAGATTACTATTAAGGTTAAAGACAGCATGTCGACTGATAAAACGGAGCCTTTAAAACATCCTCATACACATTGATTAGCCGGTCAGAAAAAATTGTGTTTTAACAGCACACATATGATTATTGCTAACTTTCATACACGACTTACAGTAACGTAACACATTTCACAATTTCCTCATGTGTCTACATAAAAAATTGTGGAACAGAAAGAACTGTGCCACCCCGCCCAACCCCGCCCACCGTATAGATGCCTGAAAGAAACTCTGGAATTAAATATTTTGATGATTGACAAAATGCTAGAAATATTGACTAATTGTTCAATAAATGTTACAGGTCTTGACTAATTGTTCAATAAATGTTACAGGTCTTGACTAATTGTTCACCAAATATTGCAGGTCTTGACTAACGGAGTCATTGTGTTTGGGGAGGGCCGTTTGGAAATTTCTGGAAGTCCTGATTTAAAATTTGCCTTTGACAGAAAACAAAGTATTGTTGCTCCATTCTGGGCAGACATCCACCCTAGTAGAGGTTAGTGTAGTGTGATCACCCTATGTTGAGTGTCGAGGTTAGTGTGATGACTATATGTCCAGTGTAGAGGTTAGTGTAGTGTGAAGACCTTATGTCTAGTGTAGTGGTTAGTGTAGTGTGATAACCTTATGTCCAGTGTAGAGGTTAGTGTAGTGTGATGACCTTATTTTGAGTGTCGAGGTTAGTGTGAAGACCTTATGTTGAGTGTCGAGGTTAGTGTAGTGTGATGACCTTATTTTAAGTGTCGATGACTATATATCCAGTTTAGAAGTTAAGGTAGTGTGATGACCTTTTGTCTAGTCATGAGGGTAGTGTAGTGTGATGACCTTATGTCCAGTGTGAGATTTTAGTGTAGTTTGTAGTTGCGCTTTTTTCCTTGGCGCTTTTTTCCGTTGCGCATCTTTCTCGGAACCATTGTCGTCTATATTCAAATCAAACTTTCCATGCCCAGGTAAGGTCTACTACCACCTGTACGAAAAATGCGAAGCACAAGCATTTGATAACGTCACATCTTCGGAGTCTTCTCCCAGGAAAGTTGACGTCATGAGTCGAGCTGAGAAGGACATCGTGACCTACTTTCAGCTGGAGAGTTTCGAGACGAGTACAGTTTTAGTGGCCACATGGGTTGGGGTCCAGCCTTACTCAACTCATGTATGTAGCTTTTTAGTTTTATGTATGGAAGGGGTCCAACCTTACTCATGTATGTAGCTTTTTAGTTTTATGTATGGGTGGGCGTCCAACCTTACTCATGTATGTAGCTTTTTAGTTTTATGTATGGGTGGGCGTCCAACCTTACTCATGTATGTAGCTTTTTAGTTTTATGTATGGGTGGGCGTCCAATCTTACTCAACTCATGTATGTAGCTTTTTTAAGTAGCTGTAACTAAATATTTTAAAAAATTAGAATAATAAAAGTGTGCTTTGAATTCAAACTTTAAAGTTCGTAAGTGATAATGTCCACACATAGTTCTCCAACAGCTCATAGAAGAAAAACTAAACAAAATAAAGATTTAAAAAAAAAATGTAGTTAAATATTATGTTTTTATATCTGATGACCAGACAAACGAGAGCAACACATTTCAAGCAGTTTTTGTCAGTGGATGGCCCAGACGGAAGGTTAACGACATGGAATGGCTCGGTAAATTAGTTCACTCACGATGTAGTTTGAGTATTTTAATGCTGATCGTGTGTTTACGATTTCCTGCTTTACAAATTCTCTATGACTAATTTAAGATTTCCTGCATTACAAAACCTCTTTGACTCTCTACCACAGAGGACGAGACTTCCTATGCTGTGTTTGTTTACCAATCCAACAATATGACGTGGCCGTACCTCAAGGGTCGGCCAATCAACATCGGCGTCACTGGGGATCAGGTGAAACAAATGGCCAACACCAACACCTCAGCTGTCAGCAAACTAGACTCGATCACAGGCAACACAGGTACACAGTCTTTGGTGGTCTTCGCTAGCTCATGTTAACTTAGGCCTCCATACCTTCGCTAGCTCATGTTAACCAAGGCCTCCATATAACAGTTAATACATGTTAACTTAGGCCTCCATATCTTAGCTAGCTCATGTTAACTTAGGCCTCTATATCTCAGTTAATACATGTTAACCTAGGCATCCATATCGTAGCTAAAACATGTTAACATAGGCCTTCATATCTCAGCTAATACATGTTAACTTAGGCCTCCATACCTTAGCTAATACGTGTTAACATATTTATCTTAGCTAGGTTATTTATAGTGATTTATTAAATATGTAGGGCATACATGGATATCAAATAATAACAATATGTTCTCGCTTTTTATTACATTTTACATTGGAAGCAACTGCGAAATTAGCTTAATGGATCATTGAAATGTGTAAGATTTTTGCATACAATGAATCAAGAAATACTTTAATGAGAAATTGATTAGTATGTAAAATATATTGGAGCCTTTTGTATTAAAACTTTTTTTAATGATGCCAATGCTGTTTTGCCACCTTGCTGTATAACTGCACATATTGCACTTATAAAATTCACGACCAACCTAACAGACCAACAATGTCTCCAGGGTTGAAAGGTGTTTTAGCCTACCAGCTCGCGAGCAGCACCAGCCCAGCCTCCAAGTGCCACAGGTACTTGTGCAACCACGTGCAGCTCCTGTCTAACGCCACCTACCAGACAGACGTGTACCAGCAGCCGGCGTGTCCGTGTACACTGGACAGGCTGGGGTTTCCATGGCAACTGTACGAGAGGCGGGGAGACATTCACTGTTACGTCATCGGTGCTGTGGACAAACTCGAATACTTCCAGTTTCACTCAGCCAACAAGGTAATGTCACGTGATCACTTACATATCTGGTATCTGTAACTAAAGGGAAATAATCGTCCGGCTTACAGTAACATAAAAACATTATTTTTATATTTAACTAATTAAATGTATAGTTCTTTTAAACTCTTATGTAAAAAAAAAATTATATTAAATGTATAATATAAAAAGTATTGTTGGTGTTCTTTATTGTTGGGTTTTCAGAAACTTTTAAAATTAAGTTAAAATGTTCATTAAAAAAATCTTGATCCTTCTGCCACTGTTTCCAGTTGTGCTGCTACAAGGTGCCCCACCACGACTGTAGCGCTGACCTTGGCAGTGAGAAAACAAAAAGTTCCTACATGTCCAGATGTCCAGACTCAGGGCATGTCGTACCGGGGGACCCCTGGACACAGCCAGGTCGCTCCACGGTGCAGGAAAACGTCGAGGCACATCAGCTCTGCTGCGCCTACTCGTCTGATAGTCTGTGTGGAAGATTTTATAAAATCTTCCCTGAATCAGGATGTTCTACTGCTGTTAGCTTTGGCTCGGGTAGGTTTCTATTTGGACTTTCATAATATAAATATCACAATTTTTTTTTTAAATTTCAGCACTGGAATTAAAAGTGTGTATATTGAAAACGGTGCACATCTTTCTATTTTTGTAACCTTAGCTAAATTTTGGGAATACTAAGTCAAAAACATAAGCCCAAGCTATATTACTAATAGTTGTTACTTAATTACGTAACACTTTATCATTAAAAAGGGATATTATTACAATTAATTTTAACAGTAATTTTGTATTTCTTACATAGACCTACCTAATTTTAATTTGTTAAAAAAAAATAATGAATGTATTTTTTATCCATAACCTATTTATAAATATCCACTAAGAAATTACCCTAGACATTCAAAGGGAAACAACTCTATTAATATTTTAGACAAAGCTGCTGAAGCTTGTTTATATCCCCTAAAGAAAAAATAAAAATAGGCGAAATCGGCTCAAAAGTTGCTTTTCAGAGTGTGTGTAAGGGGCGGGGGGGTTGTTTTTACTATTTTTGACTCTTGGCGATGAGGGGAGGGGGTGAGGGATGAAAATTGTCACAAATCGTCATCGTTAATTATTGTAATTGAAATTGTTTCAGCATATATATTTGGCGACCCCCATGTCATAACATTTGACAGTTATACGTACACATTAAATGAACTGGGCGAGTTCACGCTGATGAATGTCTCGTCACAGAATTTTGAGCTACAGGTAAAGGCAAATTCCATTTTAGACTTCATTCGTCCACATACACATCTGAGATAGATAAATATTGTACTGGCCTTACATTGTAAAGTGAACTAAAATCCTGAAGTATGAAAAAATTTACCGAGTAGGCCAACTATGCTTATATTTGAGACTTGTATTACAACTTACAGACAAATAGTTAAAATGTATATTTGTTTGGCTATGAACATGTATTAAATATTTTTAAAAACTTGCTAGGGTAAAAAAAAACACGTGCTATCTAATTAAGTTTCAGCTAATTACGTGTAATGTTTTAAAACTAATGTGACCGTCCGGTGTTTGGTATTTGGCTAGATGAGAACAGAGAGAGCGAGAAATGTGAATGGAACATTTACAAACGCTACGATCGTGTCAGCTATAGCAGCCAGAGAGGGGGACAACTCTATACTTGTCGAGATTTCACCAGCAAAAACAAGTAACATAAAACAATTAGATCTAGATTCTAATTCTCTTCACGTTCACGTATAATTAAGATTTAGTGGTCAGTTAATTTTTAAAAACATATAATGTAAAGTAAACCATGTAAATGTAAAGTGCTTTGATTACAGTATTTATTTTTATAAAATTTTAATTTCGTGAATACAAAATTCACATTTCTATTTTAACCTATTATTTAAAAATTATGTTAGGTATGCTCGTCTCTTTAAATGGGAAGGATGTGACACACAGTTTTTACCAAGATGAAAATTACCATTTGTTTTTAAACAATATCAGTATCTTGAGGGAATGTAGTAGAAACAAGGCAAGAATAAGTGTAACATTCCCGTGTGGTAAGTTCCTTAATTATGGGAAGCTACTGTAAGACTGTAAGACTATGTAATATGTAATGTAGTAAGGTACACATGTTGGCCTACTATTTAAATTTTATAATGCAATATCACTAATGTAAGCATGTCTTTCACGTGTGATTCAATAAGATATAATCATGATGTTAGCATTAGGACATACAATAGTAAGAGCTAATTTTATTTTTATATTTTACTTACACCTGTAAATATTATTTAAATTACAAAAACAAAAAACTACCTTTTAATTTTTGTAATTGCAGGTGTTACCATAAAGGCAAATACAGGTGTAAATAACCTTGAACTTGTCGTGGAGGCAGATAAAAAATTGATGGGACAGACCAAAGGACTTTTAGGAACATTCAACAACAACACAATAGATGAGATAATCATGTCAAATGGTGCATATGTTGATGGGGCTGATGAAAAAACCAGATTGACTCTTTTCGCAGGGAGTTGTAAGTATAAGCTACCTGGTGCTGAACTACTAAAAATGTTAATGTTTGTACAGTAAAACTAAAATGTTAATGTTTGTACAGTAAAACTAAAATGTTAATGTTTGTACGGTAATATCTACATTTTATCTACTTCCCAGGGCGTGTAGGTCCAGATAACTCCACCTTTAAATATGTAGGCAACCATGCCTCACTTCCCTTCAACCAATCAGACTTCTCGCCACTATTCTCTTATCAAATCCAAACTAATGCTGCAGCCGACTCAGTAGAATACAAACTATGTGGTGCAGACAATAAACAGTGTGTCTTTGATTATCTGGTGACCCAGGATGTAAAATTTGCAACAAATACCAGAGACTTCATGGCTGCTGTACAATCTAGGAATCAGATATTAGGTAAGAAAATAGGCATGCAGGCATACATTGACAGTTTGATGTACAATCTAGGAATCAGACATTAGGTAAGAAAATAGGCATGCAGGCATATATTGACAGTTTGATGTACAATCTAGGAATCAGACATTAGGTAAGAAAATAGGCATGCAGGCATACATTGACAGTTTGCTGTACAATCTTGGAATCAGACATTAGGTAAGAAAATAGGCATGCAGGCATACATTGACAGTTTGATGTGTGATTTATGCAATAAAAAAACTTTGATTGTAATTTATCTTGTGTTTAATTATACAATTAACAGAGGCATCTTTAAGTACAATAATGTTGCCAATGTATACAATATACATTTTAGGGATACATTACTAAATTTGTTACTAACATTTAAAGATAACTATAAATAAAAACATTTTACACCCAGAATTGGTCAATTAAACTACTAAATTTAGCCAACTAATGATTCTCTTTAATGTTGGGAACAATTTTAAACAATAATGTTCACTATCTCATTAGCAGCATTTAATCACTTAACCTGTTACACTGTAAACTGTAATTAGCTTCTTCTTCTTTGTTCTTAATTTTTAGTGTTGGAAGGAATCCCCAACACAATTAAGTATACGCGTCAACTGGTTGTGCGCCATTGAGGCCATTGACTCTGATTTCAGCCTGCTTTTCTTTTTGGATTTGCTTTTATAGTCTTTGTCCAACCAAGAACAAGCTACAAGGCAGCAGTTGTTTGATTTTGGAGTTGTCTCTCCTTGAAGAGTGTCTGTCCCCAGCTAACGAGCCTCATCTTATTTAATTAGCTGTAATTACCTTACATAAACTATTTTTATGATGTTGAAATAAACTTTCTACTTTTTAAAAAAACTTTATCAATGAAGGAAACAAGCCACCATGTGTGTTATTACCAAATGAACAAGACCTCAACAGCGAGAAATGGATTGTAACTCAAGGCAAGAAGAACATTCTGACGCTAAATGCTACAGATTCAGACCATGACAATGTCATTATTGAAGTCATGGACCTATTGCCTGATCTAAGTTATAATACATCAGCCAGAAGAATTGAATACTTTCCAAATGTCTCTCAACCAATTAAACTCAGGTAAAATTTAACTTTCTCAATTTGGAATTCTTTTTTGTATGTTTCTTTTTAAAAAAAAGCATTTTATTTTGAAACAAAAAAACTAAATTAGAACCATGTATTTTTATTTTTTGATATTTAATAAAATTTAAATATTTATATAGGACAACAGATATTTCTTAGCTCAATTATTGAATGATCAATTCCAACCTCAATTTCCAATGATTAAAGAATGTGGTTTTCGTTTGCCCAGTTTGAGAGCTAAAGACGAGAGAGGCAGCTACAGCTCCATGTCCTACATCCAGGTGGCTGTGTGTCTGAGCTGTAGTGGACGTGGTCAGTGTGACACTAACTCCACCTTACAGCCTGACTTTTATAATGGATACTTTGAAACTTTAAAATGTATTTGTGACTCAGCTTATACAGGTAAATTTGTCTCTAACATTATCTATATATTCTGGTCTATATATTTCTAGCCTTTATTATTTTAGCCTTTTCTATAGGCCCATTGGAATGTATGTGAGATTACAAAGCTTTGATGAACAAAACAAATATAAATAAATTATATTGTTTTAGCTTTGTGTAATATTAATTAGATCTAATTTTAAGATATCTCTAGGATGTAAACTACATTAAAAATGCCTATAAGCTAGGTTTTGCCACATGTCTATAAACTATGTAATGACTTATGATTATGAAATATTAAATGTCCTATGATTATAAAATATGAGATGTCCTATTATTTAAACTTTAAACTATGATATATCCTATTATATTAAACTATTTAAGCCCAAATGGTTATAAAGTATGTTATGCAAAACAATGTAATGCCCTATGATTAAACATTATGTAATCCCTATGATTATAAACTGTTTAAGACCTTATGACTACAAACTATATATCCTAAAGGTCCTTTAATTATTGTAACCTCTATACTACCCTGTAATTATATCCTCTATTAGGCTGTATAATTATTACCTCCATAAGGCCCATAATAACATCCTTTTTTGGTCCTATAATTACATACATAAGGCCCTATAATTATTACCTCTATAAGGCCCTATAACTACATAACTACTATACTTATAACATCTAAAAGGCTCTATAATTATTATTTCTAAGGCCCTAACTGTGAAACTGAGCTGAATGCTTGTGACAGTAGACCTTGCTCAATGTACCAGAACTGCACAGACCTACCAGCAAGTGACCACGACAACATAGGATACAAGTGTGGACCTTGTCCATCTGGCTTTGTGAATCTTGATGAAAAATGTGTTGGTAAGATACAAATGATTATAAAATTAGCATATTAAATTTTTAAAATTAGCACTTAATCAGCTCTTTAAGATGGTTCATGAATGGCAATTAAGTAAGACAGTAACTTAGTTATTTATAGAGAAGTTTTAAAAACAAATAAAATTAAGTTATGTGGAGTAATATTGCACAGGTCCGATTGTGGTTTTTCACAAGGCTTTAAATTGAACACTACATATTAAAAGATAGCCCTTGTTTGTTTTATTCTGTAGACATAGATGAATGTCAAACCACAAATTATAATCAGGGATGTACCAACACTGAAGGGTCATTTGAATGTTTGTGTAAGTCTGGATTTTTATTGCACCCAAATACTAAATGTTGGGTAGGTAATATTATAGACCACTGAAATAATATTTTAATAAACTACTATTTTGGCCACTTATATTAATAAAACTTAGCAGTTATAAAACATTTTATTATTTTAGTTACAGCTAGGTAAAGTCTTTGAGAGATCAGTTTTTTTTTTCAAATTTTATTTCACTGAAAAAAGGTTTAATACCTACAAATAGATTCAACTGACTTCATGTCTTTTTTATAAATATTAAACAAATATATATTTGAAAACCAGTTGATAATAATGAATGTGAACCAGCCACTCGATTCTGCCAATATTTGTGCACCAATAGTTTAGGAAACTTGCATAGCAGACAGCTGAAGTATAATGCAATCTTCTTAAAGTTGTTGTTGCTTTGTAAAATATTTTAACAGCAAAGTTCTTCTAAAATAAAACAGGAAGTAAAAAAGAACAAACAGCATACTAATTTTAAGGCTTTTCAAACATGTTGTTAGTATATTTCAGTTGTTATCAGGTAAAATGATAATTTCTTTAGTATTTGATTAATTGTTTTTTACTCTGTAATTTCAGATTCTAATGCTACATGCAATGATAATAACAAGATAACTGTTAACAATACATGTTCTTGTAATGTTGAACACATCATCAATGTTAACAATCCAATATCCACAGGTAAGAAAAAATATATTTAATTTTTTATGAATATATTTTTACTTTCTCATACTCAAAGTATGAGGAAGTATTATAATCGGGCAAAATATTTTTATCCAGATTTGTGAAACAATTTACACCTCCATGAGTCGGAAAAACATAATTTTGCAGTTTTGTCCATATGTCTGAGTGTGTGTGAATGTGTGTCTGTGAACAAGATAATTTGAGTACTGTTACAGATATGTTGATGAAATGTTCTTTTTTTTGGTTTTTCAAAAGTCCATAACTTGAGTATTGTTTCTGATAAATGAAATTTCAAATGTTGATATAAGATCTCATTCTCTGCCTTCTATTGAATTTTGAGTAATTTCTGTTTACTGGAAGTAGTACTTTAAGCTATATCTGATTTCTTAAAAAAGGCATATGAATTTATAAAGAACTTACATTATACACACATTGTTTGTTGTTTACTTGGTGCGCAATTCTTTTTTCTACGAGATTCTATTTTATTTTTAAAAGTTAAAGTAATTAAACATGGATTAAAAATCATTTCTATATCCCGAGTTGCCATCCCCCATAGTGTTATATTAATATATTTGAGAAAGTTTAGGGGAGATCACTCATGCTTTATTTTCTAAATTATCAAAAGAATTGTATTATAATTTTGAGTTAAGAATTTGCATTTAAAATGTAATGCGTCCATTAGAAGGTTTGAGTGTTGCTGTAATGGAGCATCTAGACTAAAGTCTGATCTATTTTCTTGTTCAAGTCCATGTTAAAGTCATTTTTTTTTCTTTTTAATAATATAAATTTACAACTCCTCATCTAAGGAAAGGAATTCATGCACATATGCAGTCCTTCAAATGTTTATATCTTTTCAGTTACTTATCTTTTAATTTCCAGGTACCCTAAACTAGTAAATCTTACGAGTAGCTTTGCATTATGCCAAATAACATCTACAGATTTATGAATATTTAAAAAACTAGTAAATCTTATGAGCAGCTTTGCATTATGCCAAATATCATCTACAGATTTATGAATATTTAAAAAAAACTTTAAACACAGCATGTGAATTCCCCACCTATGGAGAGAACTGCTCACAGGTGTGTGAGTGTAATGGGCGTGGTGTGTGTGACCCAGTCAGTGGCTGCAGATGTGACGTCGGGTGGACTGGCACCAGATGTGATACAGATGTTGATGAGTGTGTGGTCAATGGGCCATGTCCAGCAGGGCAGTTGTGTTGGAATACTAATGGGTCATTCATATGCTACTGCCCTCTAGGATATGTAATGAAAGATGGCCAATGTACAGGTAATATGTCGCAGTTAAAAGCATTTTATCTTCAACTTTTTTTTATGTTAATTGAGACAATCTTTGTTTTTAAAATAGCACTGATTTGATTACCTACAAATTAAAAAATAATTAATTAACAAAACTTACTAATCTATGTAAAAAGTTAATACACATTAAACTTTCTTTATTTAGATATAGTAAATTTATAATTAAAAACTTAAAGATGATCTCATTCCTTAGGTAATGATAATGCACATAAGGGAAGAAGCTGCTAATAACGTTTTTATAACATTTTTCTAAATTTAGAATGTGAAGACAATTTTTATGGATCCAATTGTCTTAATCACTGTGAATGTGGACCTCAATCTGTCTGTAACAAAATCAATGGATCGTGTGCCTGCATTGAAGGCTGGGAGGGAGATAACTGTGATAAAGATGTTGATGAATGTGCAGAGAAGGTGGCCAACTGCAGCTCTACAGAAGTTTGTGTTAACACAGAAGGAGGGTTTGTCTGTGAATGTCAACCTGGCTGGGGAAGAATCTCTGATGGTTGTCAATGTGAAGGTAAAACTAAGTTTATCTCTCTCAACACTTTTTAAGTGATAGTTATTATTGTGAAGGTAAAACTAAGTTTATCTCTCTCAACACTTTAAAATTGATAGTTGCCCGTGTGAAGGTAAAACTAAGTTTATCTCTCTCAACACTTTAAAATTGATAGTTGCCCGTGTGAAGGTAAAACTAAGTTTATCTCTCTCAACACTTTAAAATTGATAGTTGCCCGTGTGAAGGTAAAACTAAGTTTATCTCTCTCAACACTTTAAAATTGATAGTTGCCCGTCTGAAGGTAAAACTAAGTTTATCTCTCTCAACACTTTAAAATTGATAGTTGCCCGTGTGAAGGTAAAACTAAGTTTATCTCTCTCAACACTTTAAAATTGATAGTTGCCCGTGTGAAGGTAAAACTAAGTTTATCTCTCTCAACACTTTAAAATTGATAGTTGCCCGTGTGAAGGTAAAACTAAGTTTATCTCTCTCAACACTTTAAAATCGATAGTTGTCCGTTTGAAGGTAATACTAACTTTATCTCTCTCAACATTTTTTAAGTTATAGTTGTGAGTCTGAAAGTTTAATTCTATCACTCCCAACACTTTTTTAAAATAAATAAAATATTTTACTGGATCATTCATACCCAATTTTTTTGCATGGTTTTTAAAGACTTGGATCTTTGTTCTGGAAATATTTGTCTGGAAGGATGTGTTGAAACAAAAGAAAATACAAGTTTCGTCTGTGTATGCAATGTTGGCAAGACTCTAAATTTAGATGGAGTTTCATGCTCAGGTGAAGGTTAATTAGTTTTACAGCCACATTACTGGTTCTTTTTTATTTATCAGTTCTGTTTGGTTTTTAATTCAAAGCCACAACATCAATTTAAACTTGTGATAGATTGTAATCACTGACGAGAAGCCGCGTTGGTTGTTAACAGTCTTTATTTACAGCCATGATGGAAAAAGGAAGGAAGTACGATATACAAGGGACATCACTCAAGATAACAATATAAATATAATACTAATACAGAAGAGTGAGTTCCCTTGACCTCACAATTATCTCAATCTATTACATCCCTTTACCCTTAGAACACAATAACACATCTCTCAATAGAACAATTGATAGTATCCTAAAATCACCAATTATATTGTAACATGAACACTATGGTAGATTACATCCTTACAAACAATGCACAATATGTTACAACACAATTAAAATACAAACAATGATGTCAAAGTCCTTTTGACCTTTAGAATCATAGGTCTAACTTATTTGGGACTTTGATTGTCCTGCTTGACCTTCTCAGTGGCTTTTGATTTGGTGACCCAAGATTCTGACCATCTGGATTCTCTATCTCAGGAGGTCTAGGATTTAAATCATTAACTCCAGAATTTACATTTTCTGACTCCAGACAACTTGGTTCACTCATATCAACAGAACTTGGTTGTGGAACAAACTGAGTTGGTGTGAACTGTTCAGATTTGGTGGGATTGATAGATTCACACTTATTATCTGCACAAGTTATTTTTAACTTTATAAGACACAGGTCCTGTACATTGAACAATTTGACCTGGTATCCATTTTTCCCTTCTCCCATAATTTCTTAGATACACATTATCATTAACTGCAAATTCTCTTTCAATGGATGATTTGTCATGATTTACTTTTTGTGTATGTTGATGTTGGGAAACAGACCTTTGAACAGTTGGATGTAGTAGGTCAAGATGAGTTTTAATTTTCCTACCACATAACAATTCACATGGTGCAACACCTGTTGTTATATGAGGAGTTGTGCGGTATTTGGTTAAGAACCTGTTTACTCTTTCTCTAAGAGAAAACTTGTTACCGGTATTCATTTTTACCATAGCGGTTTTGAATATGCCTACCGCTCTTTCAGCCAAACCATTCCCAGCAGGATGATAGGGGGATGTGGTTATATGCTCAATACCATTTGCCACACAAAACAGTTTAAACTCATGAGCTGTGAAACTAGGCCCATTATCTGAAACAATTTGATCTGGTAATCCATGAGTTGAAAATATTTCCTTCAGTTCTATAATGGTATCATTTGCAGTGATTGTGTTCATGATTTTAACTTCTAACCATTTAGAATGTGAATCAATAACAATTAAGAACATTTTGTTCATGAAAGGTCCTGCGAAATCTATATGTATACGTTTCCATGGTTCGATTGGCCAGTCCCAGTTTTGCAAAGGTGCTGTAGCTGGTTGATTTGAATGTTGTGCACAGCTTGAACAAAGTTTTACATATTTTTCAATATCAGCATCCATATGTGGCCACCAGAACCATGATCTTGCTAGACTCTTCATTTTGGAAGAACCAAGATGAGTATCATGTAAAGTTCTTAAAACTTCTTTTTGTAACATTTTGGGGATAATTACTCTTGACCCCCATAGTATACATCCATCTTCTAGACTTAACTCTGTTTTTCTTATTTTATATGGCTTTAAGTCCTCATTCACTGACTCTTCAGGCCAACCATTCTTACAGTACTCATATACTTTTATTAAGCACTCATCTTTTTGTGTTTCTCTCTTAATATCATTCACATTTATATTGGAGTTATCCATGATAGTGAAGAGAACAAATACATCTTCTGGTACATAGCTAAGGCTTTGGTTTTTTAAAGGTAATCTACTAAGACTATCTGCACTATTCTCAGATCCAGGTTTGTATCTCAATTCATAATTGTATGCAGTTAGTGTGATAGCCCATCTTTGAATTCTTGGTGAGGCATGCTCAGGTAGGGTTTTGTTTTCTCCAAATAAACCTAGCAATGGTTTATGATCTGTAAAGATGGTGAACTTCCTACCAAACAGAAACTTATGAAATTTCTTAACACCAAAAATGATGCCTAAGCCTTCCCTATCTAACTGAGAATAATTTTTCTCAGCCTGGTTCAAAGATCTACTGGCAAAAGCAATGGGTCTGTCACCCTTCTCAATCTCATCCATGTGGGACAAGACTGCTCCTACACCATCTGGTGAAGCATCACATGTCAATACAAGTCTTTTCCCTGGGTCATAGTGAGTTAGTAAGGTGTCAGAAGACAAAGCCTCTTTTGCTGTATTAAAAGCAGTATCTTGTTGTTTACCCCAGTGCCAAGTTGCATTTTTCTGTAGCAGCTTGTACAGTGGTGATAGTTTACCAGACAGATTTCCTATGAACTTTGCATAGTAATTTATCAAGCCCAAAAAAGCTCTTAGTTGTTGGGTATTTTCAGGTTTGGGTGCTTCTTTAATGGCTTGTTTTCTCAGGTTGAGGTCTGATGCCTTGTTTGCTCAATATATAACCAAGAAAACTAATTTCTGTCAGCATGAATCGACATTTATCTTTGTTTATCTTTAAACCTTTTTCACCAACAATTTTCAATACTTTATCAAGTGTTTTAAGATGTTCAGTGTCATTCTTACCAGTTATGTACACATTGTCAAAGTAAACACAAACATTTGGAATATCCTTAAAAATACTGTCCATGACCGCTTGGAAAATTCCAGGGCTAGATGATATGCCAAAACATAGTCTTTCATATTGGTAGAGTCCTTTATGTGTGTTTATTGTCGTATAGACTTTTGAATCTGGATGCAGTTCTAGTTGAGTGTAAGCATGACTAAAGTCTAATTCAGTGAATTTGTCTCCTCCTGCCAAATTCAAAGAAATTTCCTCAATGTTAGGTATAGGGTACCTATTTAGCTCTATTTGCTTATTCAGTGTAGTTTTATAATCTCCACAAATTCTTATAGAACCATCCTTCTTTAACACTGGCACAATGGGCGTTGCCCAATCGGAATAGTCTACCTTCTTTAGGATGCCATTAGATTCCAATCTACTTAGCTCATTTTCAATTTTATTCCTCATTGCATAAGGTGGAACTCTAGCTTTGCAGTATCTTGGATTTGTGTCTTTAATGCTTAACTTCACTGTTCTATCATTTAGTAAACCTGAATTGCCAAAAACACTTTTATTTTCAGATATTACTTTATCTAGTGAAGTAAGACTAGATTCTCTTACATTCTTCAATGAACATATTATTATACTCTCCCAATTTAACTTAAGATCAACTAACCAGTTCCTACCTAGTAATGGTGGTCCATTTCCTTCAACCACAAGAAGAGGAAGTTTAACACTTTGACCATTATAACTTACATGAACCATACACTCTCCTATTACCGGAACATTGTCACCAGTGTATGTTGTTAGACACTTGTGACATGGCTGTAGAGGCACTGATCCTCCTGTGACAGCGTCAAAATCTTTCTTTGTTATGACTGTTAGAGATGCTCCAGTGTCAAGTTGGAAGCTGATGCTCTTACCGTTGATATAAACTGGTACATTGATGGGAGCATGACTTATTGATTTCACAGAGAACAGGTTGAAATCCGGCTGCGAATCAGTTTGAGCATTTTCACTGGTAGAGTGGTTCATTGGTTGGGTTAGGTAGTCTTGGTGAGAGTTAACATAGTGCTGCCTTTGGTTGCGGTACTGTCTTGACTGGCTAGATTTAGCAACAGACGAAGACTTTGCAAAGCAGGCCTTGGCAATGTGACCTTGCTTACTGCACTTATAACAAGTTGCTAACTTGAACTTGCACCGATGAGATGCATGGGGACCTTTGCATCGATGACATTTTTGATAATTATTACTAGATTTAGATCTAGGATTTGAACGAGCAGGCTGTTTAGCATAAGTTGGAATGCTCTGATGGGGTTGATGTTTATTGACTAACCTGCTGTTTACTGCATGGATCCCTGAAGGCGTAAGAGATTTCGCCGCATCTGATGACTGCTGGAATAAAGTTGCAAGTTGTATTGCTTTTTCTAATGTTAGATCTGACTCGAGCAGCAACTTTCTTTGAATATCAGGGCTGTTTACACCTGTCACAAACTTTTCACATAGTCTGTCAGACAGCGTATCGCCGAATTCACAAAATTCACTTAAATGACGTAAAGCAGCAACATATTCTGATATTGACTCGTTTGGTTGACGAGTCCTACTGTCAAATCTAGCTCGACATAGAAACTTTGATGGGGTAGGCGCATGGTGGTCTGTTAGCAATTTGCTCAGCTCGTTAAAGCTCTTGGTAGTTAGACTAGCTGGTGCGCATAAGTCCTTTAGTAGCCTAAATTGTTGAGGCCCTATGACTGTTAACAAAACAGCTCTCTTTTTGGCTTCTATCGTCACGTTGTTTGCTTCAAGGTAAAAGCTTAACCTATCTAGGTAATCCTGAATGATTTCATCATTCGAATCAAATTCTTTTATTTGGCCATACAGCGCCATTATTCTAGAAATACTTAGCTAATATGCTCTAGCAAACCTCTTTTTTGCGTAAGTAGGTGCTCTTTCTAGTCGATTTTTATCCTCGTCGCCAAAATGTGATAGATTGTAATCACTGACGAGAAGCCGCGTTGGTTGTTAACAGTCTTTATTTACAGCCATGATGGAAAAAGGAAGGAAGTACGATATACAAGGGACATCACTCAAGATAACAATATAAATATAATACTAATACAGAAGAGTGAGTTCCCTTGACCTCACAATTATCTCAATCTATTACAAAACTATACTTAAACTTTATTTTCTAAATACTGTACCATTGCTTTGCATTGTTAGTAGAAACATATCTAGAACAAAAAGTTATGTCTAATGAACAACTTTAATTTCATGATTATTGAGTGTAAATAGATGTTTATTCCACAATAGACCACCACATAAAAAGAAAACATGACAGAGCAGAGCAGGCAAACAAACACAAGTCATGTTAATATATCCCATGTTTACATAGAATTTACCATCTGTATAATCCTAAGGTTGTGCAAGAGGCTACTATGGCCCAGGTTGTGTTGAAAGGTGTAGCTGTGCAATGCAAAACACAGAACAGTGCAACAAAGTGGATGGCACTTGTGGTTGTAGCGAGGGCTGGAATGGCAGCAACTGTGAGCTAGACATTGATGAATGTCAAGTACACAATATTTGTCAAGAAAATTCTTACTGCATAAACACCAATGGAAGTTTTTCTTGTGTGTGCCATGATGGCTATTTTGTACGAAATGCTAGTAACCAAACTTGTGAAGGTCTTTAGTTTGTAAAATCTTTTTTCTTTAAACAAAATAATTGAGTGTTTAGAGGACAAATGCAGCGTGTCCAAAAAATACAATTTAAAAAAAAATGAGTTTAAAAAACTTCATTCCAAATTAAAATAGTGCAAAATATTATTTTTTAAACATTCATAAAATATTCACATTCTACTTTTGTGACATTGTACATGAGTGTATTATTGACAATATAAGTAGGAATGTAGGCCTACATCCATTTCACAAAAAAGTGAACATATTGCATTTTTTCCTCTATACATTCCAAATGTTCTCTAATTTAATTAAAAATTGTGAAAGAAATAAGTTTTTTTTTGTAGAGACTCTTAATTAAGTAAATGAGAAAATATAAAATAAAAGATTTATAAAGTAAGAATATTTAAAAAATGTTTCCCCTTCTAGAATGTGATGACAACTTTTTTGGCCCATCTTGCCAGAACAATTGTTCGTGTGGGCCACAATCTGTCTGTAACAAAACTGATGGAACATGTTCCTGTTCTGAAGGCTGGAAAGGAGATAAATGTGACGAAGATGTAGATGAATGTGCAGCACCAAGTGACATTTGTAACTCTACAAACTATGAAAAATGTACAAATACACCTGGTGGATTTACTTGTAATTGTATTGAAGGACGATGGAAACACTGTAATGACTGTGAATGTATAGGTAACTTCTTCAGTTCAGATTGTAAACATTGCTAGAATGTGGTTAGTTTATTATTGTAAAGAATATAAGTATATTAATAAGTTATTGTTCATAACTGTTTAACATTTGAGATCAACAGATAAGTTATATAAACTGGAGACTTGAAATGAAAGTTAAAGCTACAATAAAACAATTACTTAAAAAAAACCTTTCTTTTTTTCTGACTGAAGATAAAATTTAGCAAAAAGCAAAATCTAACTTTATGCAAAATTAAATTCGTAGTAATACAGTTTGTTGAAAATATGTTTAAATAACAAAAAGATAATTGCTTAAGATATTTTTAAACATTGAACATAAAATTGTATCATTGAAAAGGAAAATATCCTTGTTTTAGAATGTCCAGAACTTAAGTACGGTTTCAACTGCAGTCAAGAATGTGGATGTGTCAATTCATTGGATAAAATGTGTGATAAGTTTAGTGGTTCTTGTAGATGTGAAGACGGCTGGAATGGATTAAAATGTGACGCAGGTATTACTAAATAGATAGTTACATCACTTTATAGAAAATCATTTAGCATTAAGATTATAGGATCTTTGTAATGACAAAATCATATGTAACATGGACCAGTAACTTACAAACCATTGAAAATAAAAGCTACTTAGCAATAAAGAAAAGTAAAGTTAATTGAGTAGCAGGGTAAAGAAAAATGTCATCATTGCAATTTAATTCATTTATTCCAAATTAATGATATCAGTTTTTTAAAGTTTACTTTTTACTAACATAATAAGTAATACATAATTGGCTAATTTTGCTTTCAAATTTAGAAATTAATTAATGTAACTTACATAACTTTGCTTCACAAAGAACATAGATTAAATTGATTGGAATGATTTATTTAAAAACCCATTATTAATTTTTTTTTTCAGAATGTGAGAATGGAACATTTGGACACAACTGCTCCCAAAATTGTAGCTGTGTTACATCAAACACTGCCTACTGTAATAAAGTAAATGGCTCATGTGTATGTAAACAAGGATGGACTGGAGACAGATGTCAAACTGATGTTGATGAATGTGGAGACAAAATATTTGATTGTCCTGAACATTCTAATTGTGTCAACACAAATGGATCTTATGATTGTGACTGTATTGATGGTTTTAAAAAGACAATTTTAAATAAAACACAATGCATAGGTGTGTAAATTATTTTTCTGGAAAATATATTAAATTTACAAAAGGTCGAAATAGATAATAGACTCATTTAAAGAAGTAAGCTTTATAATTATTGTAAAATATACATATACATATTATATAATAAAAATGATTTTTTATGGACATAAAATATTCATGCAAACAAAATAATATTTATTTAACATGCTATTTTTTGCATCTAATTTTTTTATAAGCTTTTCTCAAAGTGTAGCTTAAAAAGTTTTTAAAATCCAAAATATCGTTTTTTAAAATTTGAAATTAAGAACTCAAATTAAAGTAATCTATTTGTTTTAAATTCAGCTTTTTTTAAAACAAATTTCATTTTAATTTTTACAATTCACTGATTTTTCATTAGCCACTATGCAAAGAATTTATTTATTTATTTAATTTGTTTGTATTTTCATATTAATGCCCATAATTATTCACAGCAGAATTTACCATATCAGATTTTTCCTTTTTTAATTAAATTTAAAGAATTCTTGTTCTTAGATATAGTAAAAAAAATAATGTTTTATCTTTTAAAAACTAAATTTTTTTTCAGAATGTGAGAATGGAAAATTTGGAAACAGCTGCTCCCAAAATTGTAACTGTGTTACACCAAACACTGACTACTGTAATAAAGTTAATGGCTCTTGTGTATGTAAACAAGGATGGACTGGAGACACATGTCAAACTGATGTTGATGAATGCAGAAACAAAACATTTGATTGTCCTGAACATTCTAATTGTGTCAACACAAATGGATCCTATGGTTGTGACTGTATTGATGGTTTCAAAAAGACTATTTTAAATAAAGCACAATGCATAGGTTTGTAAATTATTTTTTTGAAAACATTAAATTTACCCGATGTTCAAATAGATGATAGACACATTTAAAGAAGTAAGCATTATAATTATTAAATAAAATAAATATTTCATAATTATAGTGAATTTTATAATGGACATTATAAAATATTCATGCAAACTAAAATTATTTATTTAACCTCCAACTTTTTATAACTTATTATTTTATAAGCTTTTTCAGATTTTTTCTTAAATGAATTTTACAATTGTGTATACTAATTATATTTATAATCCATAATAATGATACTAATTACATATATATTTGAAATTAAGAATTAAAATTAAAATAAGTTATTTATTTTAGTTTTAGCTTTTGTTTAAAAAAAAAGTCATTTAAATTTTACATTTCACTGATTGTTCTTTAGCCACTATGCAAAGACTTCAATTTTTTTTAAATTTAAATTGCTTAGATATTCAATTTTATGCCTGCAAATTTTCACAGCAGAATTTACCATATCAGAGTTTTCCACGTTAATTAAATCAAATTAAAACATTGCTCTTTTTAGATTTGGTAAAAAATAATCTTTATATTTTGAAAACTAATTTTTTTTCAGAGTGTGAGAATGGAACATTTGGACACAACTGCTCCCAAAATTGTAGCTGTGTTACATCAAACACTGACTACTGTAATAAAGTTAATGGCTCTTGTGTATGTAAACAAGGATGGACTGGAGACCGATGTCAAACTGATTTTGATGAATGTGGAAACAAAACGTTTGATTGTCCTGAAAATTCTAATTGTGTCAACACGAATGGATCTTATGATTGTGACTGTATTGATGGTTTTAAAAAGACTATTTTAAATAAAGCACAATGCATAGGTATGTAAAATTTATTATCTGTTGTTCCTTTTTTTTAGTTTTAGGCACTTAATTACATAATTAACACCAGAAATAAAGAACATATTTGTTTGTATGAAAAATTCAATCCCATAATTAAATATTTCTAAAGGATTTGAAATATTTGTATATGTATTTTTAAAGTTTTTAGTATTTATTTCATTTATATAAATAAACTATATTTGCATAGAATTTATTTATTGAAAATTTAATTGCTTGGATTTAAATTTTTATGGCTGTATATTTTCCCCCCAGTATTTACTGTATCAAATGTTTATAATTTAAATCAAATTAAAACATTGCTTATTGTAATAGATGGTAAGTGAGAATGTTTTTTTTTTAAATTATTCTTTTCTTCAGAATGTGAGAATGGAACATTTGGACACAACTGCTCCCAAAAATGTAGCTGTGTTACATCAAACACTGACTACTGTAATAAAGTTAATGGCTCTTGTGTATGTAAACAAGGATGGACTGGAGACAGATGTCAAACTGATGTTGATGAATGTGGAGGCAAACTAATTGATTGTCCTGAACATTCTAATTGTGTCAACACAAATGGATCTTATGATTGTGACTGTATTGATGGTTTTAAAAATACTATTATAAATAAAACACAATGCATAGGTGTGTGAATTATTCTTCTGAAAAACATTAAATTCACAAAAGGGTCGAAATAGATGATAGATTTAAGGAATTAAGCTTTATAATTATTTTAGAATATAGATATAAATATTATTCAATAAAAATGAATTTTTAATGGACATTATAAAATATTCTTCAAAACAAAAAATATTTATTAAAAATTCTATTTTTTGCATCAAGTTTTTTATCTGCTTTTCTCAAATTGTAGCTTAAAAAGTGTTTTAAAATTGTGTATACTAATCATTTTTAAAATCCATAATATCAATATTAATTACTTAAATTTGAAATTAAGAACTCAAATTGAAGTAATCAATTTGTTTTGGATTCAGCTTTTGTTAAAAAAATTTTTTTCAATTTTTACATTTCACTGATTTTTCATTAGCCACTATGCAAAGAATTCATTTATTGATTTAATTTGTTTGTATTTTCATTTTATCGCCTGCAATTTTTCACAGCAGTATTTACCATATCAGATTTTTCCTTTTTGAAAAAAAAAAATTGTTTCTAGCTATGGTAAAAAGATAATGTTTTATATTATAACATTTTTTTTTTCAGAATGTGAGAATGGAACATTTGGACACAACTGCTCCCACAATTGTAGCTGTGTTACATCAAACACTGACTACTGTAATACAGTTAATGGCTCTTGTGTATGTAAACAAGGATGGACTGGAGACAGATGTCAAACTGATTTTGATGAATGTGGAAACAAAACGTTTGATTGTCCTGAACATTCTAATTGTATCAACACAAATGGATCTTATGATTGTGACTGTATTGATGGTTTTAAAAAGACTATTTTAAATAAAGCACAATGCATAGGTATGTAAAATTTATTATCTGTTGTTCCTTTTTTTAGTTTTAGGCACTTAATTACATAATTAACACCAGAAATAAAGAACATATTTGTTTGTATGAAAAATTCAATCCCATAATTAAACATTTCTAAAGGATTTGAAATATTTGTATATGTATTTTTAAAGTTTTTAGTATTTATTTCATTTATATAAATAAACTCTATATTTGCATAGAATTTATTTATTGAAATTTTAATTGCTTGGATTTAAATTTTTATGGCTGTATATTTTCTCCCCAGTATTTACTGTATCAAATGTTTACAATTTAAATCAAATTAAAACATTGCTTATTGTAATAGATGGTAAGTGGGAATGTTTGTTTTTTTAAATTATTCTTTTCTTCAGAATGTGAGAATGGAACATTTGGACACAATTGCTCCCAAAATTGTAGCTGTGTTACATCAAACACTGACTACTGTAATAAAGTTAATGGCTCTTGTGTATGTAAACAAGGATGGACTGGAGACAGATGTCAAACTGATGTTGATGAATGTGGAGGCAAACTAATTGATTGTCCTGAACATTCTAATTGTGTCAACACAAATGGATCCTATGATTGTGACTGTATTGATGGTTATAAAAAGACTATTATAAATAAAACGCAATGCATAGGTGTGTGAATTATTCTTCTGAAAAACATATTAAATTCATAAAAGGGTGGAAATAGATGATAGATATATTTAAGAAATTAAGCTTTATAATTATTTTAGAATATAGAAATAAATATTATTCAATAAAAATGAATTTTTAAATGACATTATAAAATATTCATCGAAACAAAAAATATTTATTCAAAATTCTATTTTTTGCATCAAGTCTTTTATAAGCTTTTCTCAAATTGTAGCTTAAAAAGTGTTTTAAAATTGTGTATACTAATCATTTTTATAATCCATAATATCAATATTAATTACTTAAATTTGAAATTAAGAACTCAAATTGAAGTAATCAATTTGTTTTGGATTCAGCTTTTGTTAAAAAAAAATTTTTCAATTTTTACATTTCACTGATTTTTCATTAGCCACTATGCAAAGAATTCATTTATTGATTTAATTTTTTCTATTTTCATTTTTACGCCTGCAATTTTTCACAACAGTATTTACCGTATCAGATTTTCCTTTTTGAATAAAAAAAAAATTGTTTCTAGTTATGGTAAAAAGATAATGTTTTATATTATAAAATTTTTTTTTTTCAGAATGTGAGAATGGAACATTTGGACACAACTGCTCCCAAAATTGTAGCTGTGTTACATCAAACACTGACTACTGTAATAAAGTTAATGGCTCTTGTGTATGTAAACAAGGATGGACTGGAGACAGATGTCAAACTGATTTTGATGAATGTGGAGACAAAATATTTGATTGTCCTGAACATTCTGATTGTGTCAACACAAACGGATCTTATGATTGTGACTGTATTGATGGTTTTAAAAAGACTATTATAAATAAAACACAATGCATAGGTGTGTGAATTATTCTTCTGAAAAACATTAAATTCACTAAAGGGTCGAAATAGATGATAGATACATTTAAGGAATTAAGCTTTATAATTATTTTAGAATATAGATATAAATATTATTCAATAAAAATAAATTTTTAATGGACATTATAAAATGTTCTTCGAAACAAAAAATATTTATTCAAAATTCTATTTTTTGCATCAAGTTTTTTATCAGCTTTTCTCAAATTGTAGCTTAAAAAGTGTTTTAAAATTGTGTATACTAATCATTTTTAAAATCCATAATATCAATATTAATTACTTAAATTTGAAATTAAGAACTCAAATTGAAGTAATCAATTTGTTTTGGATTCAGCTTTTGTTAAAAAATTTTTTTTCAATTTTTACATTTCCCTGATTTTTCATTAGCCACTATGCAAAGAATTCATTTATTGATTTAATTTGTTTGTATTTTCATTTTATCGCCTGCAATTTTTCACAGCAGTATTTAATGTATCAGATTTTTCCTTTTTGAAAAAAAAAAATTGTTTCTAGCTATGGTAAAAAGATAATGTTTTATATTATAACATTTTTTTTTTCAGAATGTGAGAATGGAACATTTGGACACAACTGCTCCCACAATTGTAGCTGTGTTACATCAAACACTGACTACTGTAATACAGTTAATGGCTCTTGTGTATGTAAACAAGGATGGACTGGAGACAAATGTCAAACTGATTTTGATGAATGTGGAAACAAAACGTTTGATTGTCCTGAACATTCTAATTGTATCAACACAATTGGATCTTATGATTGTGACTGTATTGATGGTTTTAAAAAGACTATTTTAAATAAAGCACAATGCATAGGTATGTAAAATTTATTATATGTTGTTCCTTTTTTTAGTTTTAGGCACTTAATTACATAATTAACACCAGAAATAAAGAACATATTTGTTTGTATGAAAAATTCAATTCCATAATTAAACATTTCTAAAGGATTTGAAATATTTGTGTATGTATTTTTAAAGTTTTTAGTATTTATTTCATTTATATAAATAAACTCTATATTTGCATAGAATTTATTTATTGAAATTTTAATTGCTTGGATTTAAATTTTTATGGCTGTATATTTTCTCCCCAGTATTTACTGTATCAAATGTTTACAATTTAAATCAAATTAAAACATTGCTTATTGTAATAGATGGTAAGTGGGAATGTTTGTTTTTTTAAATTATTCTTTTCTTCAGAATGTGAGAATGGAACATTTGGACACAATTGCTCCCAAAATTGTAGCTGTGTTACATCAAACACTGACTACTGTAATAAAGTTAATGGCTCTTGTGTATGTAAACAAGGATGGACTGGAGACAGATGTCAAACTGATGTTGATGAATGTGGAGGCAAACTGATTGATTGTCCTGAACATTCTAATTGTATCAACACAAATGGATCCTATGATTGTGACTGTATTGATGGTTATAAAAAGACTATTATAAATAAAACACAATGCATAGGTGTGTGAATTATTCTTCTGAAAAACATATTAAATTCACAAAAGGGTAGAAATAGATGATAGATATATTTAAGAAATTAAGCTTTATAATTATTTTAGAATATAGAAATAAATATTATTCAATAAAAATGAATTTTTAAATGACATAAAATATTCATCGAAACAAAAAATATTTATTCAAAATTCTATTTTTTGCATCAAGTCTTTTATAAGCTTTTCTCAAATTGTAGCTTAAAAAGTGTTTTAAAATTGTGTATACTAATCATTTTTAAAATCCATAATATCAATATTAATTACTTAAATTTGAAATTAAGAACTCAAATTGAAGTAATCAATTTGTTTTGGATTCAGCTTTTGTTAAAAAATTTTTTTTCAATTTTTACATTTCACTGATTTTTCATTAGCCACTATGCAAAGAATTCATTTATTGATTTAATTTTTTCTATTTTCATTTTTACGCCTGCAATTTTTCACAGCAGTATTTACCATATCATATTTTCCTTTTTGAATAAAAAAAAATTGTTTCTAGTTATGGTAAAAAGATAATGTTTTATATTATAAAATTTTTTTTTTTCAGAATGTGAGAATGGAACATTTGGACACAACTGCTCCCAAAATTGTAGCTGTGTTACATCAAACACTGACTACTGTAATAAAGTTAATGGCTCTTGTGTATGTAAACAAGGATGGACTGGAGACAGATGTCAAACTGATTTTGATGAATGTGGAAACAAAACGTTTGATTGTCCTGAACATTCTAATTGTATCAACACGAATGGATCTTATGATTGTGACTGTATTGATGGTTTTAAAAAGACTATTATAAATAAAACACAATGCATAGGTATGTGAATTATTCTTCTTGAAAACATTAAATTTATTAAAGGTCGAAATAGATGATAGACACATGTAAAAAGTAAGCTTTATAATTATTACATAATATAAATATAAATATTATATAATAATAATGAATTTTTAATGGACATTATAAAATATTCATCCAAACAAAAAATATTTATTCAACATCCTGTTTTTTGCAACTGATTATTTTATAACCTATTCTCAAATTGTAGCTTAAAAAGTATTTTAAAATTGTGTATACTAATTATTTTTATAATCCATTATAAAAATATTATTTGTTTAAAAAAGAAATTAAGAACTCAAATTAAAGTATTCTTTTAGTTTTAGATTACGCTTTTATTTTAAAAATTCATTTTAATTTTTACATTTCACTGATAGTTCTTTAGCCACTATACAAAGAATTGATTTATTGATTTAATTAGATTGTGTTTTAATTTAATGCCTGTAATTTTTCACAGCAGAATGTACCATATCAGAAATTTTCTTTTTTGATTCAAACTAAAGAATTCCTTGTTCTTAAATATGGTAAAAATAAAATGTTTTATCATTTAAAAACTTTTTTTTTCAGAATGTGAGAATGGAACATTTGGACACAACTGCTACCAAAATTGTAGCTGTGTTACATCAAACACTGACTACTGTAATAAAGTTAATGGCTCTTGTGTATGTAAACAAGGATGGACTGGAGACAGATGTCAAACTGATGTTGATGAATGTGGAGACAAAATATTTGATTGTCCTGAAAATTCAGAATGTATGAATAATGAAGGATCTTATGATTGTTCCTGTAAAGAAGGTTTTTCAGAAAAGTTTACTGAAAAAAAAGTTTGTGAAGGTATTAAGGGAACTTTAGTTTTTGCTTATTAATTCTATTTAAATTTTTATTGCATCTTTAGTTATTTTTGGGATAAAACTTATAACATTTCTTAGCATTAAACACTTAGTGTTTAAAATAGAAGTTTTACTAAACAATATTTTAGTTTTCAAACAACACTTGTTCCTGTTGTGCTAAGGATGTTCAATTATTTATTGTGCTTATACCATTGAGTGTTTGAGTTATTCTTTTTTGTTCCAAAATTATTGTTTCAGAACTTGTGAGTGTCAAACATATAATTACTGTTGTTACTTTCCAATATAATGCTAGCCTCAGTTTCCTAACACAAGAATTTTCAGATGACTATAAGCAACTTAAATACGATGTTGAAATTAATGTAAGTACATTATTTATTCTCACATAAAACATAAACCTAATTTAAATTATTCAGTTTGTTTTCAATATTTTAAATTCATGTACCATCAGAGTAACAAAGTATATAGCCCAAATTATTGTTGAATAAAAATTTGTCTTATTTCAGCTTCTTGAAAAACTAAAACTGCAAGTAGTCTCAGTTTTATCAGTAACAGTAAACACATTGAAGTAAGCTTGGGTTTACTCAACATAGCTTAGCTATTTATTAAAATTTAAAATGAAACATTCAACATAGACTATTAACAATGTTTTTTACAGGAAGGGTAGCCTTATAGCTAACAGTACTGTGAGAGTTAATATTTTGAACAAGGCTGATAATGCTGAATATCTCATCGCCAATGCATTTCACAAAATTATGCTAAATGAGAAGAACATACAACTTAAATCCACTCCTGCACCAATACTTGCTATGAGCCTAAATGGGAAAACAAGTAAGCAATAGTTAATGTTTTCAACGTATATTATTGACATACAAATGGATTGTAATGAAATTGATTTTTGTAATTTCCATTAGTAATCTGAAAACCTTTTGTCATGTTGTATAGAACAGTATATTTTTGTATTGTGTTCTTAAATTTTTATTTTATTATGTTGCTATAAATGACAGCATATGTTACAGATTAGCAGTCAAAATGAATGAAATATTGATTACTCAAACTTTGTAAAAATTTAGATCATATAGGAAATAATTTCAACATTTCAATTCAATGCATGTACATTTAATTCAACCAAATTTCCCTTACTTTAGTCAGTGCAGCAAACAAATTTAATTCAACCAAGTTTCCCTTACTTTAAGTCAGTGCAGCAAACAAATTTAATTCAACCAAGTTTCCCTTACTTTAAGTCAGTGCAGCAGACAAACCTTGTGATGTGAAGATTAAAATGGATCCCTGTAATATAACTGAGAAGTGCCAGCAGATAGGAGAAGTTGCAAAATGCATGTAAGTTTTCATTTAACTTTTTGTAAATCTACAACGTTCCTGTAAGTTTTCATTTAACTTTTTGTAAAACTACAAGATTTCTCTAACTGTTAATGTAATTTTAGAAACATTTTGTTTAGTTTTATTCCTTTAAAATAACTGTTTAAATCAATTATTTTCTTACAGTCATTGGCAGGAGAAAGGTTAGAATATTTCTTTACAATTTAAATTAAAAAGATGTATAAATTGCAAATCAAAATTGTTGTTGTATCACCTCAGTTTTCAAACTTTATATTCAAAATATGAAAAAAACCCATTGAAATTGATATCTTTGAATGATGAGAAATTGATCTATGTTTTCTAATTAACAAGACAAGTGTTGTTTTTTTGACAGATCACAATAATTTTATAATTGGTTTGAGTGTTGGTGTATCACTCTTCGTAATACTAATTCTCACTGTGGCTATAATAGTCTACATAGTGTATAAGAAGAAAAGTTCAAAAATACAGAAGAAAAAATCAACAGAAAAGAAGAAAATAATTCATAAGAAAAGGTAATAGCATTGTTAATATTAGATAAGAGAAGTTGGCACTAGATGTTTCACTCAACTTTACAAACTTTTTTTTTTGGGCTTTGCAGCAGCTGTAGAAATAGCTAAACAAATTTTTGTTTTAAAAATAATTTATTCTAAATAATTGATTGACATAGACAATGTTTTTACAATCTTTAGAAAAAAGAAAACCAAACCAACAAAATCTGTGAGTAAAATACCTGCAGGTTCGCCAGTCTTACCTGTGGCATCTACCTTTCAGAGTGGTAAAAACAATTCACGTCAGGAAGGAAGTCAAGTACCAGCTTGGGTTGACTGTAAGTTAACCAGTTCATGAATATTTATGCATATATATATATATATATATATATATATATATATATATATATATATATATATATATATATATATATATATATATATATATATATATATATATATATATATATTAATAGATAATTATATATATTAGGTATCATTTTAAGTTTGATATTTAGATAGTTAAAGTTTTGAACAAAAAATTAGATTTAGTTTTGTTTTGAATATGCATTCTTTTATTTAAATTTTTGAATTCCTCACTCTGCAGATGTTCCATTAAATGTAAACTACTCACAGCAAAAGTCAAGGAACTATTCTCATTCTGCTGAGACTTCAAGGCCGTACATACCAAATATGAGTTATGACCCACACAATGAGATGTTTGGCCCACCCCATCAACGTTATTACCCCCAGCATCAAGGTTATGATCGACATAAAAAAACCTTTGACCCTGATTATGAAACTTATGACTCTCATCAGATTTATGACTCACAAACACTGAGTTATGACCAGCGTCAACAGAGATATAAAACCCCACTTCAAACCTATGACTCATATCATGAAACGTATGACTCCCACCAACTTGATGACTTCCATTATCAAACGTATGACTCCAATAAACATTATAACTCACAACATCAAAGTTATGACGCCCATCAACGTTATGACTCCAATCAACTTTATGACTCCCACTATCCAAGTTATGAGCTCTCAAGTTATGGATTCAATGGTCAAAACAAAAACAGAGGTAAATAAACTTTTAAAAAAATCCCAGATGCCTTGTTCTGGGGGTGGAGGGGGGGGGGGGAGAGGGGGGGGAGGGGGGTTACTTTCTAGCAAAAATGATTGAAAATCTTTTTTTTTAAAGGATTTGTTGTTTTGAATCAATGTTGTAACATGAAAGTTTTTTAATTAATATACATTTTGTGACACAACCTGTAATCCTATATTATTCTACATATATGCTCTATACTTATAAAAAACAATGTTTGTATTTTAACTACAGATCACAGAACACATAGAGAGGTGTATGGAAGAAATGACAATCCTCACAGCAAGGGTTATTCTACAAATTATTTCTGATTTCATCTAAATATTTGACTTTACAAATCTCATTTTATTTATTTTAATGTTGCCTGATGAGTAAAATATTAATGATAAGGTTTTAGAATTATATTTAAGGCATATTTATTTATATTTCAATAAAATATATGTATATAAAATAACTTGTTGTTTCTTTCATCAATGTTGTGTGTTATCTTGAAGCTGTTTTATTTATACTATGGTAAAACATATTACATGTCATTGTTTTAAACTGCTTACCCATTGTGTGAATAATATCTTTTATTTACCTTTCCCAACTGAGTCATTCTCCTGTATAATGAAATATTTAGTAGCATGTTTATTTCAATACTTAGGGTTACATGAAAATATATCTATAAATAGGCATAATATAAATAAGTACCAAATCTGGAAAGCAATTGCATTTTACAACACATAAATGGAGTTATAAAAAATTTTAAGTTTTTATCTCTTTCTCTCTTTATGCCTAGACCATCACTGTTCTGAAGGTTAAGTTTGATAAAAAAAAAAGTAGTATATAGTACCATCATGTTTATAGTTAAAATTTTGTTTAGAATTAAGAACTTCATTTGTTATTAATTTAATTTATGCTTTAATTATTTTTGCTACCTTAATTATAATAAGTTACTAATTACAATAATTGAATATATCCTACTAATTATGTATTGTATATGTCAAACAGCATTACATAAAATAACATGGTCATGAATATAATTTAGTATATGTTGACTGTTTATATCTACTTATATAATACTTGTTTATTCATCTCTTTGTTTATATATATATATATATATATATATATATATATATATATATATATATATATATATATATATATATATATATATATATTCAAAGTGTCAGTTGAAAATATGTTGCCTATTCAATTAAACAATTAAAATAAACTAGCTTTTCTATAAACTTTTTGTATATTCAACAATGAATTCTATGTGTATGTCTACTTGATCTCCATTAAATTACTTAAAGCCGAGTTTCAAAGTCAAGTGCATACTTCAATGGCTGAGGCTCTTCTACCATGTTTGTTATGTTTGTCACAGTGCATGTTTTATCTTATTAAGATAACCTTTATCATTCTCTTCCTGGTTGATATGATATCCATGAGGCAACAAGGTATCGCTGTTTGTAATTCTGAGATGTGGAGATCAGCTAAGCTGCCCCTACTTGTTTAGTAAACTCGACATTTAGTAAAGTGAAGTTTCCTTTCAAACCTGACATTGTGTAGCACATATTGGTGCCCTGAGTTGTTAGAGTGGAGAGTTGGTGTCCTCAGTTGTTAGTGTGGTATGTTGATGCCCTCAGTTGTTAGTGTGGGGAGTTGGTGCCCTTAGTTGTTGGTGTGGGGGAGTTGGTGCCCTCACTTGTTAGTGTGGTATGTTGGTGCCCTCAGTTGTTAGTGTGGTATGTTGGTGCCCTCAGTTGTTAGTGTGGGGAGTTGGTGCCCTCAGTTGTTAGTGTGGGGAGTTGGTGTCCTCAGTTGTTAGTGTGGGGAGTTGGTGCCCTCAGTTGTTTGTGTGGGGAGTTGGTGCCCTCAGTTGTTTGTGTGGGGAGTTGGTGCCCTCAGTGGTTTGTGTGGGGGAGTTGGTGCCCTCAGTTGTTTATGTGGGGAGTTGGTACCCTCAGTTGTTAGTGTGGGGAGTTAGTGCCCTCACTTGTTAGTGTGGTATGTTGGTGCCCTCAGTTGTTGGTATGGGGGAGTTGGTGCCCTCGGTTGTTTGTGTGGGGAGTTGGTGCCCTCAGTTGCTAGTGTGTGGAGTTGGTGCCCTTAGTTGTTTGTGTGGGGGAGTTGGTGCCCTCAGTTGTTTGTGTGGGGGAGTTGGTGCCCTCAGTTGTTTGTGTGGGGAGTTGGTGCCCTCAGTTGTTTGTGTGGGGAGTTGGTGCCCTCAGTTGTTTGTGTGGGGAGTTGGTGCCCTCAGTTGTTTGTGTGGGGAGTTGGTGCCCTCAGTTGTTAGTGTGGGGAGTTGGTACCCTCAGTTGTTAGTGTGGGGAGTTAGTGCCCTCACTTGTTAGTGTGGTATGTTGGTGCCCTCAGTTGTTGGTATGGGGGAGTTGGTGCCCTCGGTTGTTGGTGTGGGGAGTTGGTGCCCTCAGTTGCTAGTGTGTGGAGTTGGTGCCCTTAGTTGTTTGTGTGGGGGAGTTGGTGCCCTCAGTTGTTTGTGTGGGGGAGTTGGTGCCCTCAGTTGTTTGTGTGGGGAGTTGGTGCCCTCAGTTGTTTGTGTGGGGAGTTGGTGCCCTCAGTTGTTAGTGTGGGGAGTTGGTGCCCTCAGTTGTTAGTGTGGGGAGTTGGTGCCCTTAAGTGGCCAGAATTCGTATGCAGCTATATTCTTTATTTGAAATACGGACAAAACCTCTGCCCGGATAGTTCGCCGCATGTTGCAGGCATTAGCCAGAAGACTTGCCTGTTGCTGCTGCTGTTTTCAATGTGTTTGGTAAAGTCAGAAGAAGGTTTAAGATATATTTCCAAAGAAAATCCAGTCTAAAACCATACTCAAAATATACTTTAGTGTGAAAATTAAAAAATATGATTGTTATAATGATTGTCATGTTATCAGTTAATAAAGTCTGCAGTTTATTCTGTTTTGTATTTATTTTTTTTTTTTTTAAAAAATGTCCTTTATCCGTGATGGTACTTATAAGTACCAATATACATTTATGTGAGCGAGTGAATTGTTTATTATTATATTATTGTGTGCGAGTCTGTGCGTGAATGTTCAACTGAAAAGCAGCTACGAGGTTTGACTTCCTCGGCCCAATGTCAGGGCTTGCATTTAGGCTATTAAAAATTTAGCAAACTAAATTACCTTCGACATATGCTTTAAGTGTACCAAAAGCAATATAATAACACATTGTTTAACAAAAAAATTAATTCTCAACTTAATTCCGATGTTTGAGGCTAACATTTTCAAGAAAATTTATGTGGATATAACAATAAATAAGTATACAGTTTTGCTTGTTCACGCAACAGTAACTGTTCCTAAAAATGTTTATTCAAAAGTGTAAGAATACAGAAACGGATTAGCATACGTGAAAATAGGTGTTATCAGCTGTTGTTAGCGTGTTACAATATCTCTTACCTTGTTCGAGATTACTTATATCTGCTTGCCATGATAGCGGGAACGTATTTTACAAATTACAATAAAGTCAAAATTGGTCGAAAAATTCTCTACAGATAAACGTTACTTAAGTTATACAAGACAATGATCTCATGAACTTTCGCTAACGTTAAAATAATTATTTTTATTCGTCTTTGAGGCTTATCTTGGTTGTGGATATATTTTTGTCTTCTGAAACTCAGCGACTCCTGGATAACATGGAGTTATAACTATGTTAGGAACAACTTGATAGTTCTAGTAAATGCTAATCATGCATTTAGTTGTGTTATTGTGTAGATTTATATTCAGTCAAGGGTCGCTGTTAAATGTTATCTTAATAATTTTAACATTAGTATCCATTGTCAACTCAGAATCAAGTAAGTATCAAAATTGTTCAGCCTATATCTTCTAAGGTACATTTTTACCATATAGGCTAATGTTGAATTCTAAAAGAAAATAAATATTTCAGCCTGCTAGTCAGACTGTAATCTTGATTTTTTTCCTTGGTTAACATTAATTAAATGATTCAGATTTAAAATTAAAATAAAAGTCATGCTTGATTGCTTACATGCTAACCCTAAGTGTAATTGCTCTGTAATCGTGCGCAGTCAAGAGTATCAACAGCATGCAACTTACACCACCCTCAGATAAAGAAGAGGTTACACATTCGCCAATCCAGAACACTTTATATTTATAATACATTGTAAACAGGTTATATGGCCAATACAAATCAGGTTCACTATCAGAAACATGAGTACCGTGTATTTTAATGACTGCATATCATCTATATATATATAATTCTCTTCTTGGAGACGCTAGAAAACAAGCTGTAAGCGCGCTCCCTACTACCCCACCCCTACATGGTTTGGTGAGCTTTGGTTCACGCTAAATTTTTACAATCGTAGTGCCGGGTTTAATGACGAGTGCCGGGTTTAGTGACGGCTACTAGGGGCAGATAATTTAGTTTGAAACGATTTTAAACTTAGGGAAGGTAACTAAGAGGAGGCTGCTTTCACTGGGGGGGGGGGGGGGGGGGGTAGGGGTTGGGGGAAAGGAGGGGGGGTTATCGTCCTTAACGACCTACTGATAGTGTTTTAAAGCAAATATTTTCAGTGGTACTGTCGAATTCACAAATAATGAATTACTGTAAAGTAGAAAATAAAACAACTAATTAGCGGCGTATGATACGCCGCGGGTCGGCTCGTGTGCTTAAATAGGCTATTTATACGCTATATAAATATAGTTCGTTATATCTTGTTAGTGATTGTTACGTCCCTTGTATTACGTATATCATGGTTACGTCCCATGAATGTTCAGTGTGTTTATTTTGATGAGTAGCTGATATTCAGGCCTATTTGTTACATAATTAGCTAAAGAGGGAGCAAGAGACGTGTCGTCTAACCTGTCTGTGTAGAAAAATAAAGTACAAAAGTTAATTCGGACATGTTTTTTAAGTAATGTAACATGGTGTCAGCGGTGGTATTACAGAGTACATATAGGCTACACATAGGTGTGAGCAATAATTATTGGTACCAACCGACTACACACAGAAAAGTAAAACGTAAAAGAATCCATTGGGCAGATGAAGTAGAGTTAATATGTTTTTTGACTATGGCACATGAAGGGAAGTTGCTGCCAGCACTTTGCCCAGACTACACACATAGTACTGCAATAATCCTACACACCATTCATGATTTACTTCATTTACCTTCATTTGGATTATACTGCCTGTCAAACAAATTTAATGTACGGTAACGCTAATGATTAGGGCTTCTCGCTCAATAAGAGTCACGCACGCTAATGTGACCCCACCATTGTACCCATCCAAATGTCACCCCACCCTTGTACATACCCAAATGTCACCCCACCCTTGTACATACCCAAATGTCACCCCACCCTTGTACATATCTAAATGTCACCCCACCCTTGTATCCATCCAAATGTCACCCCACCCTTGTATCCATCCAAATGTCACCCCACCGTTGTATCCATCCAAATGTCACCCCATCCTTTTACATACCCAAATGTCACGCCGTTACCCTCTGATGTCAAACAAAACCAGTCATATAGAATAAAAAAAAATTACGATGTGCTGTAGCCAACAAATCCAGCCAATGCCCAACTAAAAATTTACGCGGTTATGTCCCCTTTCTTGTGGTAACAAAAAAAAAACAATGACATTGAACCTGTGTAGAGATATACCAATTTACGCACCATATCTAAAGTGTAACACAGTGTTTATATTAAACTTTCTCCCCAATAATACAAGCAGATTAAATTTTCAGGCCTTTCAGCCGTTGATAAGTGTAGGCTCTGTCAGCACCAGTGTATCTTCAACAAGCTCAACAACTCTGTATCCTGTCTGTGTCACGATGGGTTCAAGGTCGACCCAATTGACGAGCTCAAATGTTCAGGTAAAATTACTAGGTCATGAGTATTTCTTTCAGTTTTTTCTTTGGGGGGGGGGGGGGGGGGAGGCTTTCAATATGTTCGGGGTGGGGGCGGACTGAATTTTCGGGGTGGGGGGGGGGGGGCGGATCGGGCAGTGGTAAATAATATATTTTCGAATGGGGGGGGGGGGGGGGGGCGATCAGATACCTGGGAGAAACTCTGCAGGTCATTTACTTGGTGGCTACTATCTTTAGAGGATATTTTGGCTGTTAAAATGTAACCTTAGGTAACGGAGAAATAACTTTCATCCTATAAACATAATATACTTTAATTCAAATTAAAAATAACAGTTATATTTGTGATTAAATTGATTAAATTAAATTGATTAAATTAAATTGATTAAATTAAATTGATTAAATTAAATTGATTAAATTAAATTGATTAAATTAAATTGATTAAATTAAATTGATTAAATTAAATTGATAAAATTAAATTGATTAAATTAAATTGATTAAATTAAATTGATTAAATTAAATTGATTTATTTAGATTCAATTGATTTAATTAAATTGATACAATTAGATTAAATTGATTCAATTAGATTAATTGATTAAAGTTGATTAAATTAATTAAATTTGATTAAATTACTTTTAAATTGATTAAATTGATTAAGTACGCCTTTGGGCTTATATGCTTACAGCTAGCATACAAATAGTAGACCTACGAGCATTTAAAGTAGATTTTCAAATTTTATAAAGCTAGTATAGCTACTAGAATCAATTTTGGCTTCTAAGTGCAAAAGTAAAAAAAATGTAAAGTTCCACTTCCAAATTTGTCTGTCTATGGGGCAAGTGAAGTAGAGTTCACCTGTTTCTGTGACCTCTGCATATAAAGGGATTGTGCTGTCAGCACTATGCCTAGCGACCTTTACTTTCCTTAGCATAAGTTAAAAACTCATCCTAGCTGGGTCGACTCAGAGACATTCTACTGACTTGAACCCCTTACAGGTTAAAAGTGTAGCTTTGTTTTTTAGTTAATGCAAATTCACTATTTTAAGATTTTGAAAGTCCTAACTTAAGGTGTAAAAAGAATTGTGATTTATAAATATTTTGTTTTCAAGCTGAACATAACTAGACTATTATACTTTGATATACCTAATATATAGGCCTATACTTAATACTATAGACATAAGCAGTGGCGTAGCAAAGTAGGGTGTCACCCGGTGCGGCACTAGATGGTGTCACCGCCCCCCCCCCCCCCGTAAAAAAAAAAAATATATATATATAAATATATAAATATATATATATATATATATATATATATATATATATATATATATATATATATATATATATATATATATATATATATATATATATATATACATATATATATATATATATATATATATATATATATATATATATATATATATATATATATATATATATATATATATATATATATATACTAGGCATACTGCCTAGCTTCACTTAGGTTTTCCTTAAGTTTGGAGAATCATAATGATTAATTAATTTTTGATTGGCTGTTAAGTGGAGTGCTTAGGGCCCGGTTTTAAAAGTTTGAGTAATACCATGTCATTCAAACATTGGTGAAGTTTTCGCACACTTATTACTCGCAAGGTTATTAGACCTGCAAAGGCTTCTTTAATATTATAAATCAAATATTATATTGAATTCACTTTCTCAGTTAACTTTTACAATTTCAGTATAATACACCACTTAATTTATAAAGAAATAATTGTTTAAACGAATGCTAAACATTGTGATGTTTTTTTTTTCTTTAATTATTAAAATTATTTAAAACTATTTTTTTTAAAGTTACCTCCCATGTAAATATATGCTTTAAACTGTGCTCAGATATAATACTAATGATTTTTATCTATAGCCAGTTAAAAATACAGCTTGATTTAGCGTGTTTTCTCTGGTGTTGCCCCCCCTCCCCCTCCCTCCACCCGTGTCAGGATTTGTCAACTTTGCTCTTAAAAGACTATTTAATTAATCACTTAATCAAGTGGAATTAACATTTTTCTGTCTATATTTTGCTAGTTGTTGCCTTGGTCTAACCCCCCTAAATGGTGTCACCCAGAGTGGTCCGCACCCCCTCCCCCTCTCGCTACGCCTCTGGACATAAGACTATAGACTTTAGTGTATTGGAATATTTTGCCTTAAAAATGTAACTTAGTAAAACTTATTTTTAAAATGTTGTCATTTAAAATTTTATAATTTATAACAGAATGTGAGAATGGAACATTTGGAAACAACTGCTCCCAAAATTGTAGCTGTGTTACACCAAACACTGAGTACTGTAATAAAGTTAATGGCTCTTGTGTATGTAAACAAGGATGGACTGGAGACAGATGTCAAACTGATGTTGATGAATGTGGAGGCAAACTGATTGATTGTCCTGAACATTCTAATTGTATCAACACAAATGGATCCTATGATTGTGACTGTATTGATGGTTATAAAAAGACTATTATAAATAAAACACAATGCATAGGTTTGTAAAATTTATTATCCTTTATTTGTTTTTTTATTTTTTATGCACTTAATTGCCTAATTAACATCAGAAATAAAGAACTTATTTGTTTGTATGAAAAATTCAATTCCATAATTAGACATTTCTAGAGGATTTGAAATATTTGTATATGTATTTTTAAAGTTTTTAGTATTTATTTCATTTCTAGAAATAAACTCTATATTTGCATAGAATTTATTTATTGAAAATTTAATTGCTTGGATTTAAATTTTTATGGCTGTATATTTCCCCCCAGTATTTACTGTATCAGATGTTTATAATTTAAATCAAATTAAAACATTGCTTATTGTAATAGATGGTAAGTGAGAATGTTTTTTTTTAATTATTCTTTTCTTCAGAATGTGAGAATGGAACATTTGGACACAACTGCTCCCAAAATTGTAACTGTTTTACATCAAACACTGCCTACTGTAACAAAGTTAATGGCTCTTGTGTATGTAAACAAGGATGGACTGGAGACACATGTCAACTAGGTGGTCTGCATTTTATCAATTTACTCAGATATTTTAAATTCTTTATTAAACTAAAATCGTCAATACACATATGACTGTGCACTGATGTGTTATTATTTTAACACTGAACTTATTTTCATTTAGTCAATGAACGAAAATTTTGAGAAAGCTGATGAATTAGAGTTTTGTTTAAGAAAGTTAATAAATGGATTACCCAGTCAACAGATTATGCCAAAATGGCTCATGTTCGGCTTTTCTTTTGCCAAAGATCAAATGACTTACCATTTAGCTGTCTTCTTGTAAAATAATTATGTGCATTTCAAATCTTGAATGTTCTACAGATATAAACGAATGCACTGTCAATAATATTTGTCAGTTTAAAGACAATTGCTCTAACTTTGCCGGAGGGTATAATTGCAGTTGTCCCATGGGCTTTTATTTGCTTCTAGATGGACACACATGCCATGGTAAATGAACTAATTTTATTTCCACACTCTTTCTTGAAAAACAAGTAAATATTTAGTTTTTTTTTTAGAAAAATCAACATTTGTAACCAGGTACAATGTAATTTAAAAGTAAGAAATTATTATTATCTACAGAAAATGTGTTTGTTGTTTTAGTATAGAATATAATAGTTTTTAATAGAATTTACATGTTTCTGTCATAGTGCTTGAAAATTCCAGCAGTTGTAGCAATAACCTGTCATAATACTTACAAACTTAACTTATTTTAGAGTGTGAACATTTCAAATATGGCAGAGATTGTGAAGAAACATGTAGCTGTATAAGGCCATATTCCCTGGGCTGTAATCCCGTTGATGGGGCATGTGATTGTGTTGCTGGAAGACAGGGAGACAACTGTGCTGATGATATTAACGAATGCGAAAACTCTAGTTTGTGTATGCAAGAATTAAATTTTGATTGTGTAAATACTATTGGATCATACAGGTGCATTTGTAAGCCAGGTTTCTATCTAAAGAACATATTTCAGCAAGAAGTTTGTAAAGGTATTTACAAGTTTAAACGATAAGATTACGCTTTTTATTTTAACCAATTATTCTCACACATTAAAATTTTACATATTTGTAATAAAATAAAATGTATTTAAGTTGTTTTTAAAACATCTGCAAATAAAACTGAGAAATATATTTATTTATAATGATCTATTTGGCACCAATATGTAACAGATCTCTAGGGAGTAACTTTTTTTTCTACAGTTTTTGGTCAATAATAGCTAGTTTGAAAAAAAAACATGCATTATAGGCTAAATTTAATTTGTCTATACACATAACTGCAACTAACAAAGCAAAAATTACTTTAAGATCTTGAATATTGTAGAATTCTTTATTGTTCTAGAGTGCCTTGAAAACTTCTATGGAGAAAATTGTACAAAAGCCTGCACGTGTGCGTCAAATGCTGTGTGTGATAAAGCCGATGGTTCATGTTTCTGTGGTGCTGGTTGGAGGGGAGAGAATTGTGACGTTGATGTTGATGAATGCAGTGAAGGACTACGTCAATGTGATGCAAGCAAACATCTAATCTGTGTCAACACTAAAGGAAATTCTACATGTGAATGTCAGTCAGGTTATGCCTGGTTTCCAGAGAGTAATGACTGCATTGGTAAGTTTCATATTGTGTGAGCTATAGTAATACAGCAATGAATGAATTTGATTTTTATGTTGTGTGAATGGTTGTGTGTAATGAATGAATTAATAAAGTTTATATTGTGTGAGTTAAAACCCTAATTAACAATAAACTTAAAAAGCTTTACTTATTTCATATAAAAATGTATTAACAATTTCTATAAAATTTTCAGTGCCATACTTTCCATTCGGAGCTGAATCGAATGATAATCTTTTAAATTTCTCCAATTCGAACAAGTTATTGAGCAATGAAAATGTTTTTGTTAGTCAGCCAATTTCCCTTAGCTCTGGTGTGGCATTTGGGAATTCTTATCCAATCACAGCTCAGGTGGGTGGCTGTAAGCTGCAGAAAGTATAAACACATTTCTCTAAGGATATCGTAATTGTTTCTATTAACAATAATGGTAATAAATTACATGTTCTCTAATCCATAGTTAACTATATTATTATCTGGATATTGTTTTGCATGACATAATGGTTTATATTTAGTTTCCACTACTATTTTTTAACATAATGCACACAATTTGTTTAAACATTAATGTTAGAAGTTAATAAATTGATTACTAACATGTTTTTAATAATTTTCCATTTAAATCACTTTTGTTTGTTCACTACATTATGTTATTAATGACAAGTTTTATAACACACAGTTAAAATAAAAGTAATTTTTATTTCAATTATTTGTAGATATTAACCAGTGGGGCGATTGTATTTGATGACGGAAATGAGCAAGTTACTGGGACTCCAGACTTAAAGTTTGCTTTTCTCCAGCGAGACAAAATTATAGCCCCATATTGGAGTGATATTGATCCCAACTCAGGTTGTATAATAAAGCAATTTGAATTTTTTTAAAACATATAAAACGTATTTTAGTAATTCATGTTTTCTGAAAATAAACATATTTTACATCTTATGGCCTGTTTGATATAAGATGATAGAAGTTTTAAAATAAAAATATTTGACGATTTTTATTTTCACAACCCATTATCATAGGTCAAGTTTTTTATCACCTGTATGAAAGATGTGGCTCATCTGTGTTTATGGGAAAACCTGATGCAACACCTTCACAGCTTGTATCCTCAGTCATGAGACGTGCTGAAACAGACATAGCAAAATTTCATCATTTCAGCGGTTTTACAGCAAATGTTGTGCTGGTTGCTACATGGGTTTCTGTCAGTCCTTTATCAGATGCAAACGTAACAGATGTGAGATTTCCAGAGATAAAATCAATAACAATTATGTTTTAGTAAATACTTTGTAATGATGGATAATAATATATTAAAAAATCAAGTAACTTTCCTGCTGAAATCTAAAGCTCCAAAGTAAATACCTTTGGTAAAGTTAAAAATCTTCCATAATTAAAGCTTCAGACATTCTCACTTATTGCAACATTACATTGACTTGAAAATAACTTTAAAAATTAATTTGAACTTTTTTGTAACACTTCTTTTATTTGAATAATTTATATTTGTAGGCTGATAAAGATCGAGAGCTTATCTATTTTTAAATGTTGTGCAAATACTCGTTAATAAATTCTATTGATTTGCTTATATGCTTATTTGATAACCCACGTTTCTTACCGGTTGTATTTAGAAAGAACATAATAATACATTTCAAGCTGTTTTTGTCAGTGGATGGAAAACAGATACCTTATATGAACAGAGCCTTGCAGGTAAGAAATAAATTGAGTTAAACTCACTTCTTTTATTTTTTATCATTAGAGACGTAAGCGACATTATATTGAACAAATCTAAAATATAAAACTGCTATCTAAATTATTTTTCACTTTATTAACACCTTACACAGAGACCTCATATGTGATATATATTTACCAAAAACCTAAAATGAAGTGGCGCTATGTCCGAGGTAGAATCATTCAGATTGGTTTCACAAACGGCCAGGAACTTAAAGCACTTCCAAATACTAATTCAAGAGTTGTCACCCTTTTGGGTAACTACAAATGGAACACTGGTATGTCTTTTTTGGTTATAGTTTTAAAAAGTAAAACTTTAAGTTGACTCATTAAGAAAAATCACATGAGTTGAAATCTTAAAAATACAGACTACGAAGGTGTCGTGTCCTATGAAACTGGAAGTGTGAGCAGCCCAGCACAGAGCTGCCACAGGTACATCTGTGACAATGTAGGACTCCTGCAGGACCCTGTTTATCAGAAGGACAAGAAGGCTCTGTATTAATGTCCTTGCAGCATCGATAAACTTGGCCACCAATGGCTGTATGTTGAATCAAGGGGAACAAACAAGGATATTAAATGCTATGCAATCAGCTATGCTGCCAAAAATCGTTTTTTACCAGGCAATAAAAGAAATAAGGTCCAGTAATATATTTTTAAAGATATCAGCATTATCATTTTTCATAACCATGCTTAAATTTATAATTATAAATTACTTTTCAAAATTTTAATCTTAAGGTGCAGTCAGTACCATAGCTTAGGTATTTTATTTTATTTTTTTTTTTTTTGCAATGAGACCAACACTGAAAATATGAAGTATTTTTGTAATCAATCTTTCTAACTGACATAGCAATATTACACTTAAATTGCTAATGCAATGTCACAGGCCAATACAAAAGCCAAGAGTAGTCATTATAAGTTTAATGAATGTAAATACAAAAAAGTAAAGATACATGGGAGCTGAGACCACAATTCAATGTGAAGCAAAAATCAAAAAAATAAAAAACTTTAAAGAAATATATTATTTCATCTGTTTATCCTTATTTAAGTAATTTATTCAACATATATTTGGCTGTAGAACAATCTCCATAATCCATGTTGCTATAAAAGTAATACAACATTAATCTAAGTAATCCCTTCAACAGCTATGTTGCTATAAAACATTAACTCCAAAGTGCAGTAATGACTGGCAGACAGCAGAAAAACTAAAGCAACAATCTTCTTATGTTCTGGCCTCTCCTGACTCAGGTCATGTACTCATCACTGACCCCTTTAACAACAGACAAGCTTTAGCAAACATGGAAGCTCATAAAATTTGTTGCGCCAGTTCAAGTCAAAGCCTGTGTGAGAAGTTTGAACAGATTTTTCCTGAGATGGGATGTTCACCTATAGCTGTTTTTCTGACTGGTAAAAAGTTTATGTTAAATAGGATAAGATTTTAGTATTTTGTATTGTAAGTTATTGAAAACATTTACAATAACATATATGTATTAATATTTAATGTAAAATTGAACACTTTTCTGTCTTTTAGCCTCTGCCTTTGGTGATCCACACATTAAAACACTAGATGGTGTCACATACACAATGAATGGATGGGGTGAATATACCCTAATGGAAGTCAAGTCAGAAAACTTTACATTACAGGTGAACTATGCATGCATAAAACCAGATAGCCTCTTATAGAGATCTTGTCAGTTTAATATTTATAAACAATTTAAGCAAAGTCAATGTCGAAATTTACAAAAGCAAATGACAGCCATAGTTCAATGTATATCAGGCCAGAACACACAGAGCTGAGAATGTCAAAGGTCAAGAGGTCAATGGCACAGTTTTTTCTGCTTTAGCTGCTAAAGAATGGGATAATGCAAGTCTACAAGTTGAACTAGCATCAACAAACACATGTAATTATCTCCTGCTCTTAATTTTAATGTTGTTAAAAATATTGTAGAAATAAATTTTATAAAATAAAAGGGTTCTTACATTTTAATAGGCAGAGTTGAATGCATCTATCTTTTAAAGCATATATTTAAAAAAAATTATTCTAAGAATAATCTATGTTTAATTTTAAATGGAAAATTTACATTTAGTTTAAATTAAAAAATAATTTAACTGTATTTCAGCAATGATTATCTACATCAATGAAATTGACTTCACAAATGATTTTTATAACAATCCAGAGTTCAGTGTAAACTTAGAAACAATCAGCGCTGTACAAGAATGTATCTCTAACAAGACACTTCTGATTGTAACATTTCCTTGTGGTATAATTTTTTATGTTAATTGGACATTGGTCATTTACCCAAGCTTTAACTGAAATTTTCACTGTAAGAGTTTATAAATTTGATTGATTTAGTCTACAAAACATAATATGCTGTTTTTAATTCCAGGGGTTACAGTAAAAGTTGCGGTTTCTTTAAAAAGTTTGGAAGTAGAGTTGGATGTTGACCAATACATAAGAAACAAAACTGCTGGACTTTTTGGAAACTTTAATGGCGATATAACAGATGAGTTTGTTCTTCCTAATGGAACTATGCTCCCAGCAAACATTACAGAACAGCAGATTTTTTATCAGTTTGCCAAGTATTGTAAGTGATACTCAGTTAATAAAAAGTGACATTGATTAAAATTCTATTTAATAGAAATATTGTTATATAAGTTTGGGCAAAAGATTTTAAGATATTAGAACATTTTGATTGAAATTTAAAAATTTCTCCTAGTTATAAAAATAATCTTTTATTTAATTTATTAATTAATACTTTACATTTTTATTTAGAAAGTCTTCAACCTGAATTCTTAACCTAACCATTTTTTTCTTATTCAAGGGGAGGTAACAATAGAGAACTCAATATTTACTTACAAAAACTATGAGAGTGCTGTGGACTACCAACACCCAGAGTTTGTGCCCCTGTTCTTGGATGATGTAGATACTGTAGTAAAAATTAATGCAAGCAGGATCTGTGGAGACAATACATTTTGCTCGTATGATTTCATTGCTTTACAAGATCCAACTTTTGCCTTAAATACAAAATCAACTTCCCTAGCACAAGACTCAAGAAGGCAGGATTTAGGTGAGGCAAATTTACAAAAGGTATTCTTATTAATTATGCTTACACTATATCACAAAGTGTATAATGGTTTCAATTTTATAACACTGTTGTAACTATGATGCTTATTCATGAATATTTTCATGTTTATCATGTGTAAAAATGTACCTTTAAAAATTAGTAAAAATTAGTTCAGGCATAAAATATACTAAATATAATCCTTTTTACTATTACATAATGTTTTAATATTGGCTAATTAGTATGTCCAGTAATACATTTTACATAAATTATGTTAATATACAAATTTAAGTTTTTTAAAAATAATTGTAGAAAATAGTTCTCCAACAATCAATGTCAACAACAGAAACCAGACTTGGAATGGATTTTTAATGATTACATCTGGACAAGAAGCTTCTCTTTCTGTCTTAACTGGAGATACTAATGGAGATGGTGTTACTATAGAAACTGTTGGCAACATTTCTGGAGTCAGAATAGAGAAAAACACTATTATTGTATATAACAATATTTTAAACCTCTCAAAACTTGGGTAAGTTTCAATCATATAATCCATTTTTTCACTCTTGCCTTCATACTACTAAGTAATAAATACTTACATATAATTGTAAATTTTGGGCACACATGTTTCATGTAAACATATAAAATAAGTTTAAAAAATACATTGTCTTTATGTTATAAATAAAAAAGGAAACAAAAAAAAGCACACGAAATTTTGCTTTTGTTTTTTTTACATAAAGTTTTAGGGCAAGGGATTCCCATGGTGCGTACAGCTCCATTATGTACATCACCATAGCAACGTGCTCAGGCTGCAGTGGCCACGGTGTATGTGACCCAGAAAACATGAAACACCAGCAGACTTCTGATTTTGACTTTGAGAAAATGGCTTGCACATGTTATCCAGCCTACACAGGTAATAATGCAGTGACACTGTGCACATAAATAGGTAATATCTGTACATGTAGCCTACTTGACAGTTTCAATTCTAATATTTGATCAGCCTACTGTATTCTTTCCTATTTATTATGCATTAATTTTTTTTTCCAATAGAGCTGCAAAGTTAGAATTATTATTGAATTTAATATTATGTTCAGATTTAGTTTTAAGTTGATTTTTAGTAATTGATATTTTAAGACTTTAGGAACCAACTATTTAACTGCTGTATGATATGTCTAGGACCCAACTATTTAACTGCTGTATGATATGTCTAGGACCCAACTATTTAACTGCTATATGATATGTCTAGGACCCAACTATTTAACTGCTGTATGATATGTCTAGGACCCAACTATTTAACTGCTGTATGATATGTCTAGGTCCCAACTGTGAGAATGAGCTGGATGCTTGTGACATCAAACCCTGCTCACCAGGACAAAACTGCACAGATCTAACAGCAGCTCAACAGGGACAGAACAACACAGGGTTTATCTGTGGGCCTTGTCCTCCTGGTTTTAGAGACTTCCACGGGAAATGTGTTGGTATACAAGAAATTGTCTTTTATTTGGGGTTTTCAGCCTCATATACAATTAAGTGCACTTGAAATTTGTGTAATTTTTCTTAATAACAGGTTATTGCTAAAAATTCTTTCACATTGTTCATTATTTCAAAATTGTTCATCAGGGTTTGTCAGTGATAATTCTATTCTTCTAATTTAATTACATGTCAATTTCATGTTTAAATGTATTATACCAGTATTTGTGTGAATACTACCATCTTCCATCTAATATTTGACTAGAAATACAATGATACGGCCAAAATCATCATGCTTGTATTTATGTTAAGCCACTTAACTAAATAAACAAAGCCACTTTCCCAAACATTTTCTCAGATGTTGATGAATGTAACTAAATAAATAAAGCCACTATACATTTCCCAAACATTTTCTCAGATATTGATGAATGTAACTAAATAAACAAAGCCACTATACATTTCCCAAACATTTTCTCAGATGTTGATGAATGTAACTAAATAAACAACGCCACTTTCCCAAACATTTTCTCAGATGTTGATGAATGTAACTAAATAAATAAAGCCACTATATATTTCACAAACATTTTCTCAGATATTGATGAATGTAACTAAATAAACAAAGCCACTATACATTTCCCAAACATTTTCTCAGATGTTGATGAATGTAACTAAATAAACAAAGCCACTTTCCAAAACATTTTCTCAGATATTGATGAATGTAACTAAATAAACAAAGCCACTTTCCCAAACATTTTCTCAGATGTTGATGAATGTAACTAAATAAATAAAGCCACTATACATTTCCCAAACATTTTCTCAGATATTGATGAATTTAACTAAATAAACAAAGCCACTTTCCCAAACATTTTCTCAGATGTTGATGAATGTAACTAAATAAACAAAGCCACTTTCCCAAACATTTTCTCAGATGTTGATGAATGTAACTAAATAAACAAAGCCACTTTCCCAAACATTTTCTCAGATGTTGATGAATGTAACTAAATAAACAAAGCCACCTTAAATTTCCCAAACATTTTCTCAGATGTTGATGAATGTAACTAAATAAACAACGCCACTTTCCCAAACATTTTCTCAGATGTTGATGAATGTAACTAAATAAACAACGCCACTTTCCCAAACATTTTCTCAGATGTTGATGAATGTAACAAAATAAATAAAGCCACTATACATTTCCCAAACATTTTCTCAGATATTGATGAATTTAACTAAATAAACAAAGCCACTTTCCCAAACATTTTCTCAGATGTTGATGAATGTAACTAAATAAACAAAGCCACTTTCCCAAACATTTTCTCAGATGTTGATGAATGTAACTAAATAAACAAAGCCACTTTCCCAAACATTTTCTCAGATGTTGATGAATGTAACTAAATAAACAAAGCCACTTTCCCAAACATTTTCTCAGATGTTGATGAATGTAACTAAATAAACAACGCCACTTTCCCAAACATTTTCTCAGATGTTGATGAATGTAACTAAATAAACAACGCCACTTTCCCAAACATTTTCTCAGATGTTGATGAATGTAACTAAATAAATAAAGCCACTATACATTTCCCAAACTTTTTCTCAGATATTGATGAATGTAACTAAATAAACAAAGCCACTATACATTTCCCAAACATTTTCTCAGATGTTGATGAATGTAACTAAATAAACAACGCCACTTTCCCAAACATTTTCTCAGATGTTGATGAATGTAACTAAATAAATAAAGCCACTATATATTTCACAAACATTTTCTCAGATATTGATGAATGTAACTAAATAAACAAAGCCACTATACATTTCCCAAACATTTTCTCAGATGTTGATGAATGTAACTAAATAAACAAAGCCACTTTCCAAAACATTTTCTCAGATATTGATGAATGTAACTAAATAAACAAAGCCACTTTCCCAAACATTTTCTCAGATGTTGATGAATGTAACTAAATAAATAAAGCCACTATACATTTCCCAAACATTTTCTCAGATATTGATGAATTTAACTAAATAAACAAAGCCACTTTCCCAAACATTTTCTCAGATGTTGATGAATGTAACTAAATAAACAAAGCCACTTTCCCAAACATTTTCTCAGATGTTGATGAATGTAACTAAATAAACAAAGCCACCTTAAATTTCCCAAACATTTTCTCAGATGTTGATGAATGTAACTAAATAAACAAAGCCACTTTCCCAAACATTTTCTCAGATGTTGATGAATGTAACTAAATAAACAAAGCCACCTTAAATTTCCCAAACATTTTCTCAGATGTTGATGAATGTAACTAAATAAACAAAGCCACTTTCCCAAACATTTTCTCAGATGTTGATGAATGTAACTAAATAAACAACCCCACTTTCCCAAAAATTTTCTCAGATGTTGATGAATGTAACTAAATAAACAACGCCACTTTCCCAAACATTTTCTCAGATGTTGATGAATGTAACTAAATAACAACGCCACTTTCCCAAACATTTTCTCAGATGTTGATGAATGTAACAAAATAAATAAAGCCACTATACATTTCCCAAACATTTTCTCAGATATTGATGAATGTAACTAAATAAACAAAGCCACTATACATTTCCCAAACATTTTCTCAGATGTTGATGAATGTAACTAAATAAAGAAAGCCACTTTCCAAAACATTTTCTCAGATATTGATGAATGTAACTAAATAAACAAAGCCACTTTCCCAAACATTTTCTCAGATGTTGATGAATGTAACTAAATAAATAAAGCCACTATACATTTCCCAAACATTTTCTCAGATATTGATGAATGTAACTAAATAAACAAAGCCACTATACATTTCCCAAACATTTTCTCAGATGTTGATGAATGTAACTAAATAAACAACGCCACTTTCCCAAACATTTTCTCAGATGTTGATGAATGTAACTAAATAAAGAAAGCCACTTTCCCAAACATTTTCTCAGATGTTGATGAATGTAACTAAATAAACAAAGCCACCTTAAATTTCCCAAACATTTTCTCATATGTTGATGAATGTAACTAAATAAACAAAGCCACTTTCCCAAACATTTTCTCAGTTGTTGATGAATGTAACTAAATAAACAACGCCACTTTCCAAAACATTTTCTCAGATGTTGATGAATGTAACAAAATAAATAAAGCCACTATACATTTCCCAAACATTTTCTCAGATATTGATGAATGTAACTAAATAAATAAAGCCACTATACATTTCCCAAACATTTTCTCAGATGTTGATGAATGTAACTAAATAAACAACGCCACTTTCCCAAACATTTTCTCAGATGTTGATGAATGTGAATCTGTACCTGTTGTCTGTGAGCAAGTGTGTACAAACACAGAAGGATCTTATTTGTGTAGCTGTAGGGATGGTTATAGACAGGGAAATGGTAGTACCCTTTGTAAAGGTTGGTAGACAGTGAATACACATTAATAGTTCAATTTTCAAGTATTATTTAATTAAAAATTTGATTTATTTAAGTCAGAGTTTTAAAAAAAATTATTAGAGATTGATTTTTTCAATATTATTTTAATTTTTATAAATATATAGCTCAACATCAGTCAAACTGGTTCCATGACAAATGATCTCAGGACAACAGATCTCAAGGACAAATGATCTCAAGGACAAAAGATACCAGGACAAAATATATACCAGGACAAATGATACCTAATGATAGGTCATAATATATATTAGGTCCTAATATATTTTGTCCTGGTATCTTTTGTCCATGAGATCATTTGTCCTTGAGATATTTTGTCTGAGAAATTTTGTCTGAGATATTTTGTCTGAGATCATTTGTCTGAGATCATTTGTCTGAGATCATTTGTCCTGAGATCATTTGTCCTATCACCGTCAAACTACATCTGATTTGCATAATAATGTAAAACATACATCTATAATCCAATAATTTCAGATATTGATGAGTGTGTAGAACACACTTCTTCCTGTAGCCAACTGTGTATCAATAAGGATGGTAATTATTCATGTGGGTGTTTGGATGGTTACACTTTACAAGAAGATCAGTTTTCATGTTTTCTGGGTATGGACGGCTTTACTTAATTTTACTTTCTACCTCCCTCATTGTCTACCTACTTAAATTATGGCTGTTTTTAACTGTTTGAAAGTGATACATGAATTTCTCTCATTCCTAGTAGATATAAAAGGTGTAAACTATTTGCTAAAGTATCTTAATATATATTTCAATTATAAAATTAAAATCATAAAACAATTATACTTGTTTAGCTGTATTAAAAACAAATAAAATATAGAACAAGAAAAATGTGTGGAGGCTATCTAAATATTATAAAAATAACTTTATTAGAGCCAGACCTCATGGATTTGTGTAAGGAATGTCAACAACTTTGTAATGTGGATAACACTAACTTTGAAGTTCACTGTGGATGTAACATTGGATATTTTATGGATTCTAGTGATGGTTTTAGCTGCAAAGGTAAGTGTAATTAAAAAACTTTTTAACAAAATTGGAATTTTTAAAATTACCAATAAATTTACAGCTAGAGCTTAACTTTGGAAAAACTTAAGTTATTAAATGTGTAAAAATAAGCACCAAAGTTAGTTTAGAAATATTTGACTAAAATTGCTGATGAAGTAAAAACATCTACCGAATTTTAATAAAATAAAAATTGAGATGTGGACATTCATCAACAACATAAGATAAATAAATGCCTGTTAGTACTTCCTTCTTTAATGATATTTGTGTACAAAAGTTCAAATAAATATAATATAAAAATATAAATATTAAGAATTTTGAGTTTATTTTAAAATGTAATTCTCTTCACATTCAATATATTGCTTGGTGAATGTTCATATAATCCAACTTTGTTTTAGATATAAATGAATGTGCAGAAGGAAACATCAGCTGTACACAAGAGTGTGCTAATACAGAAGGAAGCTTCATCTGTTCTTGTAGACAAGGCTACCAGCTAGCATCAGATGGGATCTCATGTTCTCGTAAAAAAAATTTTTTTTTAAATATTGTGATAAAATTTTTTTTATGGTGCTCATTTGTTGTGCTTAAGATAAGCCCATTTGTTTCTCGATTCAAAACAATATTAGGTCAAAAATTTACTTATTTTATAATTCATTACTTAGTTTTCCAAAATCTATATTTTTAGATCTTTTCTTTTCTTACATTTGTTTACTCTTTTATTCATTAAGCTGAATATTCTAATTTATATCTGATTACAATTTTACCTTTTTAAATTTTCAATATTATAAGACATTCTTGTTTTTCTAAAATATTATTGAAGAATAAAATTAGCTGAAGATATGAACTGTAAGTATGAACTGTAAATATGAACTGTAAATATGAACTGTAAATACTATCTTAACTAGCTTGTGAGATACCAGCCTATGGCATGAACTGTTCTGGCACCTGTGACTGCAAAGGTCAAGGGTCATGTGATCCTGTTGAAGGTTGCGTGTGTGATAAGAACTGGTCAGGCGAGAGCTGTGATGTAGATGTGAATGAATGTGACCAGGAGAATGTCTGTCCCATTGGCCAGTTGTGTCGGAACACTCTCGGCTCCTTTGATTGTCAGTGTCCTAGTGGGTATGAGAAAAAGGGAGATGACTGTCTAGGTAAGTTTATGGCCCACAGATGTGACGAAAATGAGTACAATCTTGTAAATTGTGAGCAATGACACTTGAAACTAGATAAAATTATTCAACAACTGTATTTCCACAACACTAATTGTGCAAACATTAGACTTTGTCAGTGACAGAACTGTTGTATAGCGTTGTCACTGACTGCCAATGTTGTATAGCAAACATGACCATGACAGTCTTTGGGATTAAGACAGTTTTGCATAAACACATGTTATCACTAAATATATTAATGTGATAATTATTCTTACGGATAAATGTTAACACTAAATACATTAATGTGATAATTAATTCTTGAAGAAATTCCTAATGAATCCATTTGTTCTTTCAGATATAAATGAGTGTAAAAGATTCTTTACAAATATAACCTGTGACCTTCAGGTTGAATATTGCTATAACACACCTGGTAGCTATATTTGCAGGTGTCGTCCTGGTTTTAGCCACAATAATGTTTCTGTTTGTGAAGGTTCGTACAACATTTATATAATGTAATTTAATGAACTAAATTTAATAATTCTCTATTAACATTCATTGTAGAAAAAACTAGTTTAGTATTACAAGTGAAATGATCAGTAATAATCTCCAGATATTGATGAGTGTAAACTTCGAAATGATGGCTGCTCTCAGATTTGCAAAAACGTTAAAGGAAAATACAATTGTGAATGTTTTGATGGCTATATTTTGGCTGCAAATAGGCATGACTGTGTACTCTGTAAGTATTAAATAATTCACCAAATAAACTATTTAAATAATAACATTCTACTCCAGAGACCATTTAGTGTTGTATGTACTGGTTCCATATGTTTTAGTTAGTGATGTTTGTACTGGTTCCATATGATCCAGTTAGTGATGTTGTGTTTCAGTTAGTGATGTTTGTACTGGTTCCATATGATCCAGTTAGTGATATTTGCACTGGTTCAATATGTTTCAGTTAGTGACGTTTTTATGGTTCCATATTTTTCAGTTAGTGATGTTTGTACTGGTTCCATAAGCCATATGTTTCAGTTAATGATGTTTGTACTTGTTCCATATGTTTCAGTTAGTGATATTTGTACTTGTTCCATATGTTTCAGTTAGTGATGTTTGTACTGGTTCAATATGTTTCAGTTAGTGATATTTGCACTGGTTCAATATGTTTCAATTAGTGATGTTTTTCTAGTTCCATAAGTTTCAGTTGGTGATGTTTATAGTGGTTCCATATGTTTCAGTTAGTGAGGTTTGTACTGGTTCCATATGTTTCAGTTAGTGACGTTTGCACTAGTTCCAAGTTTAACTGTACCAGTATCTGCAGTACTACAGATGTAGCTATTCCTAATTGTGTTTGCCCCAGAGGTTACCAGAAGGTAGACTTTAATGGAACAGAGTATTGCAAGGGTAAATTCTTATACTGTAACTTTAATATTTTAGTGTATTAGATTGCTTTTACCATAATTGCAATATTTTAGTCACCCATATTGTTGATGCACTTGATTGAATATTTAGTGCACCTATGAACATCAATCAATAGTTTGGTTACAACACATAAATGTGTTCTAAAATATAATACACATTTTAAAAAAAAATCTACAATAAGATTCATTAGATTACGGGTGATTTTCAAAAATATTAGCTAAAAATTAATTATTGTCTTTTAGATATAGATGAATGCGCAGATGAAGAAATGAACCTCTGCAGTGTCTTAGACAGATGTGTTAATGTGGATGGAAATTTTAACTGCAGCTGTCCACCTGGATATTCTTTAGATAATGATGGAAGGAGCTGCATAGGTAGATTGTTGCATCAACATTTATTTCTCTAATCTTGGTGGAGTCTTTATTATATTAAAAATTATTAGGTGAACTATCTTTAAGAAAAAGAGATGTTATATTATTAAGTTTTTTAGATACAAGTGTTATAGAATAGACACTTTTTAAAATTTAATGGCAAGCAAGAGAACTGATTGAATTTAATTTGTAGAGTGCACTGGCAAAACTTGGGGTCCCCAATGTTCTAATAATTGTGAATGTAAGGCTGGAGCTGATCACTGCGACACTGTGACTGGATGTGTGTGTAAGCCAGGCTACACTGGTAGGTGGGATTAGATCTGTTTTAACAACAAATTAATTTAACAAATGTTGGACTCAGTTACTACCACGACAGTTGTGATGATCAAACTTACAACATTTGATAGTTTTTTTTTATTTTAAATATATTAAAATATGAAATTTCTTTAAATTCCTGAGTTAAACAAGAATTTTTTATTTAATGCATTTTGCATTACAAAAATGCTATGAATTTTTAAAATTATTTTTTCACACAACATTATTTTAAATTTCACAAAGTGAATTAAAGATAAATATTTTAGGTAAAAAACCCCAAAAGGAACTGTCAAAATTTTATATATACATATACATATACATATATATATATATATATATATATATATATATATATATATATATATATATATATATATATATATATATATATATATATATATATATATATATATATATAAACAGGACAATTAATCGTTTATAAAATGGTTAAAAAGCAACAAAAATATATAAATATATTTCCTGTACTTTTACTTTTTACAGGTAAGAGATGTGAAACTGACATAGATGAATGCTCAGCTGGTTTCATTACATGTAGGGAGAGAGAATTGTGTGTGAATACTCAAGGCAGTGCTAACTGCAGGTGTAACAATGTAACAGAAAATAGAATTTGTGTTGGTACGATATTGACAATTTAACTAAAACATGTAATAATTGATTACTAATGAGTAAAACCTTTGTGTTTTGTGTTTTTTACCATTTTTCTTCAATAAAATTTCTATTCTAATTTCTACAGCCAGTAGAGCTTGTGTAAACAGATCAATGAACTGCAGTTTTAGCTGTGCAAGGATTGGGGATGTTGATTCCTGCATATGCCCAGCTGGCCAAAATGTAGCATCTGATTCAGTTACTTGTGTTGGTAAATAATATTTTAAATGTAGGCCTAAACTGAAATATTAATAGTGCTTATGATCAAATTATTTTATTGATATGCTTTGAATATTTAAGTTGAGAATTTACTGTGGTATGTAATCTTAACAAATCCTACACTAAATTTAAGCTTGTGCTAATTGAAATAATAATAAATATGCAAAATATGAGTGCATCAACATAAAAACAATTTTAATAATGACAGTTGTCTGGGTAATAAAACATTCAAGAAGTGAATTGTTTAAGAATTAAAAATGTAATGTTTGTGTGTATTATAATAGCCTAGTATAAACAATCTCTTCAGAATGTGAAGATGGAACATATGGTGTGAACTGTGGGATGCAATGTTCTTGTAATAGAACCAACACAGAAAAATGTGATGTCATCACAGGTCTTTGCTTGTGTAAACCTGACTGGAGTGGGGAGAAATGTCACATTTACAGTGGTCAGTAGAAATGACATGCTAATTGCTCTGCATCAAACATTATATAACTAATTAAATTATGTTTTTGAAAATTATTTCAACTTATATTCTAATAAGCTTAGTTTTTGTTTTATTTTTAAAAGTTGTAAAAGTTGTAAAGCAGTTACATTTTTGTTTAATTAAGAAACAACTATATTTTAATGAGATTATGTTTAAGCCTATTACCTATTGGTTGTTCCCATTAAAATAACTTTGGAGTATCCTTCTTCTCACCTGATATGATTTATGTAATCCAATAAACTATTACATTTGTAAATCAATTAAATCAACAATTATATTTGTAAATCAATTAAATAAGCAATTACATTTCTAAATCAATTTAAAAAATGCCATTATATTTTACAGTAGATAGAAATAATAAAGCGTGTGAAATAAAACAGAAAATTGCACCATGTACCGAACCAGAGATTTGTGAAGAAATTAAAGGCATTGCTGTTTGCAGGTAACTAATACCCTTTTATTTTTAACATATATTTTTTTTATTTACCAAAACAATTACGAGGTTTTTTGTAACATTATCTATATTACCTCAGTTACAAATATCTGCTTTAATTAGTTATCAAAAAGAATCTTATGTAATACTTTAATTTAAATGTGTGAAAATTAATAGTTCTTACAAGTTATTTAATTTTAGCTTATGAATTTTGTTGTCATATTCACATAGGGCTCCAAGTCAAGAACAGCGTATGTAAAATTTATGTTTCAAAATCGTCTAACATATATGTTAACTAATATTTTACTACTACATATTTTTTTAATCTATACCTAACTTTAAAAATGATGATGTCATTAATTCTTCATACTTTCCATTTTATTAGACCAGACTAATGCTGGATCTTGTTGTTTTACATAAAAAAATGACATGTAATTATTTCTCTGGCAGATGTGATGACACTTATAATCGCCTTGTGTCTCAGCATACCGACGTTTGTTCTTATTGTTGTAGCCATTGGAGTGTTAGTTTGGTGTTGGGCTAAACAAAAACATAAAGTACAAGATAGTAAACAGATGACAGAACTACGTACTTATGATCATTTGGGGTATATTGTAAAACACTACTTTATTTTGTGTTTATTTTTAAGCTGGGTTTACTAATATAGAATACACGTTTTATGGTGTAAATTTTTTTTTTTAGGAAATATTCTGTTTGTATTTCAATTTTTGAAAAAGTGAAAAGAAAAAAAATTAATATTTCAAAATAATAAAATTATTCGGAATTTTATTAATTAATTGTATTTAATATTTAAGTGTTTATGAGCTTAATTTATGAAGGTTTATATGTAACTCAATATAATTGTTTATGTTATGTAGTTTAAAAATGTATGAATAATCTTACAAAATGTATTTTCCTACAGTCCATCTATCCAAGAACCTGAGTACTCAGAAGGAGAAACTCAAGTCATGGAAATTTATGATGAAATCGATGATTTGTCTGTTGGTTTTGGTAAGAAACAAGATTTCCTACAATTTTATCAGCTTTTTGCTGACGTTTGAATAAATAGGCTTCCTAGATAGGGAAATAATATTGATTTTGTAGCGCATTGCATTTTATAAAATGTGTATTTTAATATTTTCTTTTTTTGTTTTGAAAATTACACAATAAAATATTTTTGTTTGTTCCATCCTGCGTTGCAAAGATATTTGTAATGTGCTTATGTAGACATTTATAACTTTCTATTTTATGTGTTTTTAGGTAACGATGAAACTTCAGATAATTACCGCAATATTGAATATTCTGAATATACTGACCCAGATGGTCAAGAGCATGATCAGCAGGAATCTGACTCAGATTGATATTTTAATCCACAAAGATGTCTTCGAGTAAAATCAGTAAAAACTTTAATTATTTAGCCTACCCATTTTATGTTTGTTTAAAATTGAATGGAATAAAAATAGAAATAAATGGCTTTCTACTAAATAATTTTGTTGCTATATTATACATCTGGTTTACAGTTTTAAAGTTGTTCATGCTTTTGTTTTCTTCTTCAATGGTAATCAATTCTTAAATTAATGAAAACAGGGAAGTAAAAAGTAAATAAATATACAATTGCAAGGGATAGGTGTTGTCGAACTGGCTAATGCTAATGGTAGCTAAAACGAAAATTTCAGAGTTTAAAACTGTTGAGGCTCGATAGCTAGGGACAGCAACCCATCTAGTAGAGGCTCCATAACTAGGTACAGCAAACAATCTTAAAGATAAAAAATCAAACACCTGCTGTCTTGTAGTTTGTTATTTGATGAACAAAGGCTACGGAAGCAAATCCAGAAATCGGAGTCAACGGACTATATAGCGCATAAAAATTTGACACGTAATGCTTAATTGTGTTTGAGGAAATTCCTTTTAAAAACGAATGGGAAGATATCAATGCAAATATCAGTACAAATTTAAAGACTTGAGCTAAATTAATTAAATCTTAAATAAACTATTTTTCACTTTTATGTAATAACATTTTTTTTTAATTGTGAGCAGATTGTATAACAATGCAACATTTTAAAATTACGGCTAATGATAAGAGTGTTAGCGCTTTTACCGGCATCATTCCTTAACCCTTGTGATGATCATTGAGGCACCACCGTTGATTTTTCTCATAATGTTACGCCATCTGTCTCTGTCCTCTGCCGCTCTGGTTAGTTCTGAGACGGGCAGCCACGTAGAGTCCTGATCAATTCAGTCAGTGACGGAACTAGAAAAAAAGGCAAAATCTCTTTTATATATATATATATATATATATATATATATATATATATATATATATATATATATATATATAATATATATATAATATCATATATATATAATATATATAAATATATTAGTAGACTGTCTCACTACATTTTAAATTTATTTATCATTATACATCATTTCCTAATTTACTAATGTAATCTATTTCATTGTAATTGTGACGTATACTTATTGTGATACTACTAATCACAAAATAATATGATCTAATTCATTTCGGGCTTGATATAATCGTGTTTGAGGGAAATTTGAGGAAAAAGTAACTTCAAATCTGGTATGCCGGTCAAAAGTATTAAACACGGAGGTTTGAATGGGTTATGGTTTTCCGCGTTCGTTTTATTCAGATTTTTTTTTGCATTTGTATTTATAGTTTTAATAGCTACTAGACTACCCGTCATCCGTTGGATAACTGTGGGTTTCTGGGGTCATCCATCAAAAAACATCACGTCTGTCACTCAGAGGCATAGCGACCCTTCCCGGCGCCCGGGGACAAACTTTTCGATTTGAACCCCCCCCCCAGCAGGATTTCGATTTGCAACCCCCCCCCCCCCTCAAACTTTTGATGTGCACCCCCCCCCCCCCTCAAACTTTCGATTTGCACCCCTCAACCTTTCAATTTATTTTTCCAACCCATTTTGGCGCCCCCTAAGGTCGGCGCCCGGGGACATATGTCCCCCCCTTGCCCCCCCCCCGCCCCCCCCCCCCCGTCCTCGCTACGCTACTGCAGTGTAACTTATCGTCACAAAAAACAGACCCCACATTCAAAAATATGTTTTTTATCTTTTAAAAACACCGATTTCGGACTATCCCTTCATATACTGACGTCACAGGTGACCTACTCAACTTTACTTCACCTGCCCAGTGTCCCGCCAAGTCTCAGACAACATGTTTTTATCGTTTAAAAAACGATTCCAGCCGAGCATGTCTCTGACCACACTATCCCTTCATATGCTTAGGACAAAGAAACAGATGAACCCTACTTCACCTGCCCTGTGCCCCGCGAGGTCCTGATAGTCAACCTTATCATTCACATATAGGGCTTAAGAAAAAATAATAGAAAACGTAAAAAAAAAAGTTCTATTATTTTTTATGACACTGACTTTAAAATTTAGCCTTCATTCTCCAAAGCAAATTTTAAAATGCTTTTCTGGCATATCTAGCCCTGGCCACCTATACCATGTTTAAATAATGTGAACATCCGCCATTTTGCTCGTGGTAAACATGGCCTAAAATTGTTGTTAGCAGCCGACCACGCCTCCAAGTTAGTGAGTAATCCTACTATATCTAGATATAGAACCTAGATAAAAAAAAAATCCCATGTATTCTCGAATTAGATGATCATTGAAGCTAAACAAAGATTTATATAAAATAATTAAGGCCTGAATTAGATTCTAGATGTAGAATTTACATTAAGTCTAGATCTAGAATTTACATTGAGTCTAGAGTGACCTAGATCTAGGCTAGATCTAGATCTAGATCTAGAATCTAGGCTAGATTCAGAACTTTCCTTCGACAGCTGATCTTTAGATCTAGAGAAATTTATTGTAAAACTAAATGAAAAAAGACAGTTGAAAATTGATATAAGTGTTGGAACGTAATAAATACAGCAAACGGACGTGTTGTTAAAGTTATGACCGACAGAAAATTAGATTTAGAACGCGTTAAACTTTTGAATGGGAACACAATTTTCTTCGATAGACGCCGCCATTTTATTGTACTAAAGAGTAAACAAAAAACTGTGACGTCACGGTCCCGCCGAGTGTAGTGGTCGTTCTAATCTTTTTAAAAAAATAGGGTTACTCTATGTATGAATAAATCAATAAATTAATTAACGTCTTTAAATAAATTTGTGATTAACAGTCTGTCTGCATTAAACAATTATTCTCTACCTACATACTATTTTACAGCTCTCCAGATAGAGTAGAACATATCACAATACTCGATCAGCCAAACAAAAAAACAAACAAACAAACAAAAAAATAAATATTCAAACATGTAAACAAACTTGACTTTTAGTAGTATATAGATGTCATTCTTTAGTATGCTATATATTTCAATAATAATTTAGAGAAAAAAATTGCTTTTTAATTTGCTTAGTATAAAGCTATTAAAATGAGCTTTTTTGGCACCCCTATTATACTATTTAAAGAGCGATAAGTCATGGAAGAGGTTTGAAGGTTTTTGTCTTGCATTTTGTTTTTGCAAAAGTGTGTGTTAGTTACTGTAGAATAATCATTGCTGGAGTTGATCTGTTGGTTACAAAATCAGTAGTCTATCAAGGTGAAAAAATAAATATTTTGTTGTTTTTGGTCAGAATTAGGGTCCCCAAAACGGCCTACCCCCCCCCCCCCCTCCGAATTGCGGGATCTGTCATTAGGGTAGTTCCGCCACTGAATCCAATGACGTCTTTGCTGTCCCCTTCTACCTCCGAGCACTTCACAAGTTTAGCGCTTTACAAAATCTTAAACAAAGCAGTTTCTATTTTGAAAAAAATCATCCACACAAACATGGATTTTGCATCACGCACAATATTTCACATAAGTGATTTTATTTTTTTACTGTAAATATTGCATACAGCATATATTCAATAGTTTTTTATTGATAACTTTTTGTTTCTTTACCATATTCTGTATAATAATGGCCTTTTGAACACTCTAACGTAGGCCGATATAATGTATTTAATTAAGTATGATAGAAAAACCAAAACATATTAATGTTATCTTATCAGAGATGAAGCCATTTAAAGAATTTATCAAAAGGAAACCCAGCTAATAACATAATGATAAACTGCAATCAGATATTTGATTAAACTTTTGGTAGATAAATTTTAAACAAGGAAGTAAACAATATCCGCAACTAAACATAAAACACGAATATCCGTGTATTAATTTGTACACCAAAATACCGTAGTACATGAAATATTTGTATGATTAGAGTGAAGTATTGTCCATGAAGTGATGAAGTGAGGGCGAGGTTCTGTTGGTTTTACTTTGGGCAACAAGCAGCATATTCATGAAGGTCGAGTTCAGCTGTAACATAAAAAAACTGGATTGATGTTTTAACAGGCTATAGTCTGAATGGTGTTGGTATGGTTTGATTGTGTCTGGTATTAAACAGTTAAGTAACGCGATTTTACTTGCCAAAAGATAACTACCATATGGTAAGTATTTTACATTTCGAAAATCTATATCTAAATTACTCTTTAAAATCTAGCTCAATCTTCCTTACATTCACTAACACACACACCCACACACACACACACACGCACGCACAAACACACACACACATATATATATATATATATATAAATATATATACACACACATATATATATATATATATATATATATATATATATATATATATATATATATATATATATATATATATGTATATATATATATATATATATATATATATATATATATATATATATATATATATATATATATATATATATATATATATGTATATATATATATATATATATATATATATATATATATATATGTACATATATTTATATCTATTTATATTTATATATGTATATATGTGCATGTTTGTATTATTAATGCGTATGTGTGGTTAACAAAACATACTAAAAACCTAATGAAAATTATAAACAGATAAGCAAGTGCAATCAAAATGTACAACTTATTGAATCTACTTGGGATTCTTGTTATGTCATGGCTGGTGTCTGCTGATACAGGTAGGTCCGCTCAATAACATACTTTGTCTAGACATCTAAACGCCCACTTTAACCCGTGAATATTTTCTTATCAGCACTGAAGAGCTACTTCGTATTAAGTCCTACTTGTATCAATATATAACTACACCAGCTTTATCAGTAAACACACGCATTTGGAGAATATTAACCTGTTGGGTGCTGATTAGAAACTGTGTTTTTGTTAACTTAATGTTTCTCCTTTTATTTAGATAATCAATCTCTTTAAAGTAATTCAGCATATACCTACAATACAAAATAATCCAGATTGAATGTGAAAACCAATAAAAGTTTCACGTTTTAAATATTGTGATTTCGTTGATATACAAACTGTAGGGTCTATTTAATGTTGTTGTCTCTTAAAACATACACTATAGCATGCGAATAAAAAAAAATATTTCTTGTATGTATCCAGCTATCTATGAATCATTTATAGATTCAATTTAGATCTTGTAAATTTTCGTCATATCTGTAATGTAAACTGCACATTAACATCAAAACATTCTGTGAGATCCGCCTTTGTGTTGTTACAGGTGTAGGTTGTGTGGGTCATGTGTAGGTTGTGTGGGTCATGTGTAGGTTGTGTGGGTCATGTGTAGGTTGTGTGGGTCATGTGTAGGTTGTGTGGGTCATGTGTAGGTTGTGTGGGTCATGTGTGGGTCATGTGTAGGTTGTGTGGGTCATGTGTAGGTTGTGTGGGTCATGTGTAGATTTTTTTGGTCGTGTGTAGATTGTGTGGGTCGTGTGTAGGTTGTGTGGGTCGTGTGTAGGTTGTGTGGGTCATGTGTAGGTTGTGTGGGTCATGTGTAGGTTGTGTGGGTCATGTGTAGGTTGTGTGGGTCATGTGTAGATTTTTTTGGTCGTGTGTAGATTGTGTGGGTCGTGTGTAGGTTGTGTGGGTCGCGTGTAGGTTGTGTGGGTCGTGTGTAGGTTGTGTGGGTCATGTGTAGGTTGTGTGGGTCGTGTGTAGGTTGTGTGAGTCATGTGTGGGTCATGTGTAGGTTGTGTGGGTCATGTGTAGGTTGTGTGGGTCATGTGTAGGTTGTGAGGGTCATGTGTGGGTTGTGAGATCAGCCTTTGTGTTGTTTTATGTGTAGGTTGTGTGGATCACGTCTATGAGCAGGCTGGAACCATCACAACACCGAACTATCCTGATGTCTACCCCAAAAACATCACCTGTACCTGGACAATTAGGGCAGCACCTGGACAAATCGTTTCACTACAGTAACACGATTTACGATACGTTTATGTGATGTTCTAAATTAGGATTAGGCCTACTTTCTTTATGTTAATTGATATAGTATATATATATTGGTATCAAATTATAAAGTGCAATAGAAATTTTATATATATAATAGCTTACTCAACTTTTAACTTTAGGAAGGCGTATCATTTACTTCAGGTTCCAGACATTTAAACTGGACTTCTCTGACCAAGTGACATTTTACGACGGACCAGGCCCCATCTCTCCAGCCATTGGTCAGCCAGCGTATACAGGATTCCTTAACGAGAGCCAAGTCCAAGAATTCTTGATCCGGTCGACACAACCTGTGCTGCATATCGTGTTTCGTTCTGACACCAACATTTCTAGTTTTGGGTTTGGGGCTTCCTATTGGGCTCATGGTAAATTTATCTCAATAACTGATCACACAATGTTAACTATATTGACAAAAATCTAATCTGTTTACAGCAGAATAAGATTAGCATGTTCATCAACCGCAGCTTGACATATGCTTTGAATGTATCCCACTGTGTTGTTTAAGTGTGTCCAGCAATGACATATGGCCGGACGTGTGACAAACAGTGCGTGTGTAGACCGGAGAACACAGCAGGCTGTGACAACTTCAGTGGACGGTGCCACTGTAAGTCTGGCTGGACGGCAAGTGACTGTAGCCTTGACCTTGATGAGTGCCAGAACCCGAGCCAGTGCCCCGACCCCTACTCACAGTGTCTCAACTCACCTGGCGGGTACAGCTGTGTGTGTGCATCAGGACTGTCAGACACCAACGGAATATGCACAGGTAAGGTAGCATACACGTGTTATACAGACACCAACGGAATATGTACAGGTAAGGTAGCATACATGTGTTATACAGACATACACCAACGGAATATGAACAGGTAAGTTAGCATACACGTGTTACACACACAGACACCAACGGAATATGCACAGGTAAGACATCAACATAATATGCAACGTTAGGATACATGTATTATATCGACATACACCAACAACATATTCACAAGAAAGGTATAATTCTCTCGTGAATACAATAATGAGCGACATGAGTTAGAATATTACTATCTTCGACGGTTATAAAGAATAAAAACAAACTGAGACAATAACATCGATTTAACATTCCAGGATTAGAAGATAAGATTTTCCAAGGGTAAAAGTAGCTTTAAAAATGTGTGACATGTTGAGCCCCATGTAACTAAACAACAATTTCAGTAATCGTTTAACTTCGTTAACTACTTTACTGCCAACACAGTAGACTCAACAATGTACAATCTAAATGTAAATATATCTGCTTCCGATGAATTTTCAATCGTTCACGTTGTACCGCCTCTAGACGCGTGTTTGCACAACAAATGTTCCCATCTGTGTGGTGTTACAAGAACCAGCCCGTACACGGAGCAGTGCTATTGTCCCAGGGGGATGGTGCTAGACACGGCTGATGGGAGCTCGTGCATTGGTGAGTCGATGTTCTCAACGTTTAAATTTAATTAAATGCCACTTTGATACTATGCCATGACCTACATCTGAAATTTTTCTACGAACCGAAACTACGTAATTTGCAAACATAATCGTTCCATATAACTGAAGTTTTTTTTTAAAAACCAAGAATTGTTTTGTTTTTGCCTTATTTGGAAACACATTTAGTCCAGAGAGACAAGTATTAAGGTAGACATTAGGAAACGTAATTTTACTATTTTTCCACAGCTTGCCCGGAAATGACGTATGGCACTAGTTGTTCCAGCAATTGCACATGCGTACCAGCTAACACCAAGTCATGTGACAATGTAACTGGCCAGTGCGAATGTCTTGAAGGATGGACTGCTCTCGACTGTTCAGAAGAGACAGACAAATGTTTAGACACGGTCTGCCCGCCGTACTCTGATTGTGTCAGCAGGAATGGCACATCTAGTTGTCAGTGTCAAGGGAATAGCACGAATAATGTCATATGTGACAGTCTAGGCAAGTCAGTGACAGTCTAGGCAAGTCAGTGACAGTCTAGGCAAGTCAGTGACAGTCTAGGCAAGTCAGTTACAGTCTAGGCAAGTCAGTGACAGTCTAGGCAAGTCAGTGACAGTCTAGGCAAGTCAGTTACAGTCTAGGCAAGACAGAGACAATCTAGGCAAGTCAGTGACAGTCTAGGCAAGTCAGTGACAGTCTAGGCAAGTCAGTTACGGTCTAGGCAAGTCAGAGACAGTCTAGGCAAGTAAGTGACAATCTAGGCAAGACAGAGACAGACAGTCTAGGCAAGATAGAGACAATCTAGGCAAGACAGCGAGAAAATGCCAATGTGACAGAGAAGACTATGTCATCATCGTAAATATAAATCACTGAATTCAAACTCAATTATTCCTATTAAGGGGACCATCATGAGGATTTTCGATAAATCTTTTGAAAATATCGATTTTTCGATTATTATTGAAATAAACAATTCAACATCTTAGGAACACGTTTTTTCCACTAACTATGGCCAACTTTATATTAAAATATGTTTAAAAATGATTTTAAAATCATAACCATCGCTCAGTTTTTGTCAAAAAGCTAATTATTCGTCTACTTTGAGCCCCAATAATCGTACTTCATATTTTATCTACCCGCATGTGTCATACATCAATGGAAAGCTCTAAAATGGCTGCTTTTTTTAGTATCATGACCTATTTTCATCTAAAAATAGCAATGGACACAAAGACTCAACCAAACTCGAGAATTAGACTATAAATTTCAAATATACGCGATTCTATTGGTTGTTGTGAAAAATAAATATAACTTTGCGACTGAAGAGTCAAAATTTGAAGCTCTTTCGTCCCCGAAGTTACATTTCCGCCACGCAGTATCCAGAATAAACAACTGGTGGCAGCCATTTTTGTACTGCGAATCGACACTGTTCTTTTCATTTACAGTTTTGTTTTTGCTTTGGTAAGTAATAATTTTGTAATAAACAAATAAATAGATTACTCTTAATTGATGGATTAAGAAAATGTGTATGATTTAATGTTAAATTAGGCAGACGGTCATATATTTGACTATATTTTTCTCAGGTTCTAAATCTAGTTTTAGAATAAGATCAGTGAGTAGATCTATCTAGATCCAGGTCTCAACTACTTTTGTCCTATCTAACGAAATCTAGATCTAGATAGAATCTAGATCTAGAATCAAAATTTAGATCTGGGTCTAGTTACCAGGGACTGATGCAAGGTGCATTTTGTTAGCAAGTATAATACTAATTATATATATGGCATATATATATGCCTAGTTGATAAAAATTAGATCTAGCTAGATTGTAGTCGTAGTTATAAATCAATGAAACATTTTTTTCTTCTTCTTTGATCAGGCTACAAATAGGCATTGCCAAACAGAAGAGAGTAATCCAGGGATCAACCAAGGAAGCATGTTCAATTTCAACATGCAAAGCAGAACCATGAGGAAAACTATTGCTGCACCTGATGACTTTCTAAATACCTGAAGCCCTGGATATTATAGTAAGCTTCAACAGGACATGGTAAATTACTAGCAAGCATGGAATATCAGCTGTTATCAAAATGGAGACAGGATTTTTTATATCCAGGTTAGTTCAAGGAGTTACTGGTAATGTATTTATTAATTATGCATACACAAAGGTCTACTTTACCAGAATCTTATAAATACAGAGCGATAAAACTTGGTACTATTATTATACAACAGTAGTGAGTTTTGTTTATATAAATAAGAGAGTACAATCAATTTCATGTTATGTATTTCAAGGTAAATCTTTTTTCTTTTTATAGACTTCTGCAAGACTGCCATGGAATCTACACTAGACCAACAAGGTCATGAAGTTGGCCGCAGTGAAAGGTCTGTGGGCGAGATCGCTAACCGATAGATGACCAACTTCAACCAATGCCTAATCATCACACCACCTCTAACTCTATCCAAAAGAAGCCAATCATGGTGTTACTACAATGACTTTATGCCTTTCACTGTAAAACTAGATAGACATTCCTAACAGTAAAAGTTAAACTTTTTCGTCAGAGGTTGATGAATGAAATTTCTAGCCTGTATGACCCAAGATACCAGATGAGGATAACCCAGAGTGGCCAATACAAGATTGTAGTTATGTGTAAGGTGAAGAAAAGGAATTCTAGATAACACTAGCAGGTTTTAGCAGTTGTAGAAGGAAATCTAATTTTTACTTAGATAATGCTGCTGATAAAATTTAATTTTTACATTTTGTTTTGCATTAGTATATTTTTTTTTAAATTGCTAAATAGACCTAAAGCATCAAGTTTTAATTTAATCAACAAAGGCATGGTTACTTTTCAAGTTGGTATACTTGATAGCCAAGAATTTAGAGGTGAACTCCAAAAAAAATGTTTTCCCTTTTTATAATCCACAACTTTTTTTAGGGGTACATGTTTCTAATTTTACTCCTGGTTGTTTATTTGACAACATTTGCTTTATATAAACTGATATTTATGTGTACCACTGCACATTGTTCCTATAAATATAAGCATTGTATGATAATAACAATAAACCTATCTCTAAAACTGACTTGGCAATTGTTTTTTCCATTTTTCTCACATTTGTGTTTTTCGGCAATGTACAAAACCGTACGGAAAATTTCTCATTAATGAACAATCATTAGGGGTTCTAATTTTGCACAGCTATTAAAAATACATATATCTATTGAATGTCCTAGCAGAATTTAGTTTCTTTTGATAGTTTTTTTTTTACCAATTTTTTAAGGAATGGTATTCATTTTTTAATGTACGTTCCGAGACCATGTTTAGACAAAAATTCATAAAAAATAATCTAATAAAGATAGGAAAAAATCCCTTTGTCATTCAATAGATATATATATTTCAAAACAACATATGAAGTTTGTATACATTCTGTCATTTGGTTTAAAAACTACATTCCGTATAAAAATATAGCAATTATTAGGTAATTTTCACCTCATACGCCTCTCAAATACATATTTTTTGTTTTTTTACTCAGAATAAGATTTCTATATCTTAGTTAATACCCATGTTTCCATAATATAACAAAAAAATAGTACAGACACTGGATTTTAAATTTTTTTGCAAAACCTGATGACTCTCCCCTTAATTCATTTCATCATTATATAAAATTGGGTGTGCTTACAATACTATTCTTACTGTCACTTAAAATATTTGCTGAAGATATATATTATACTAGCGTACCCGTCCCCCGCGCGTTGCCGCGGGGATAGAAGAAAGTTTGACGAAATATATTAGGATTTCACCAACGCGTTATCAATTATAATAATATGTTCTTAGACGCGTGACCTTCTTTTCTAGAAATGAGTTATTTAAATGTAAACAATGCCTGTTCTTGGATCATAAATATCAGGACACGGGTTTACCTACACTACCGCATGAAAACTTTGAGTGTACATTAATCAGTTACCGAAATAATATGGTAGAACACACTTCGGTGACCGCCTCTGTGTAAGAGACGTAGAGGCCAGCTCTCACTACCGCATAGGCGCGGCGTACGACACCTGGCTCAATAAAACTAACTGGCGCCATCAGCCAAATAGCATCCTGTTAATAATGATGCAGATTTCGTTATTCGCTAAAGTGACACTAATGAACAGGATTTTTTTCTTTAACACGTAAAAAAAATTATTTGACGTGTTTTAAATATCACTAATGGTCTATTATTAGATGCTCGATCTCAATTTCTGACTGAATTGTCTAATAATAGATGCTTATTGCATCATTCGCAAAGTGACGAAACTCTACAGTAGGCTCCTCATATTCAAAAAGTTATTTTTTTCATCTTTCGCAAGGTGACGAAACTGTACAGAAGGATTTCCTCGCGTTGCAAAGTTATTTTTTGAAGCCTGTTGTAGTTTTACCGCTGAGTATAGTAGTACCCCTTACTCGCTATGCAGGACGCTCGATTAACGGATGCCAAGTGCCAACATAGTCGCTCTAAAACTCTGGGCGCCAAACCGTGTATTGACGAAAGTTGTACCCTATATGGCGCCGCCCATAAGAAACTTTAGTTTTCTTTTTCGCAGAAACATTCTCGGGAGTATTCTACTCCCTAAAGTTTCATGGCACTCGGATGAACCGCATCCGAGTTTTATTTTTTATATATCGTGTATAGAGAAACAAAATCGCTCCCCCACCCCCGGGGGGCGCAGCCCTTGCAGTATTAAACAATATTTTTTTGCAGAACCCTACTATTGAGTGATCTAATCATCTCCCCAAAGTTTCATGGTACACGTATGAATGGTGTGAAACCAAATTTTTATATACCGTATATAGAGAAAAATCGCACCCTCCCGTGGCGCCGCCCTTGCGAAATTAAAAATGATTTTTTACAGAACCCTTCCCTAGAGTAGTATAATGAACTCCCCAAAGTCTCATGGCTATCGGATGAACGATGCCAAACCAAAATCGACTTTTATTTTTATATACCGTTTATAGAAAATAGCAAATCGCGCCCTGTCTGGGCGCCACCCCTGCGAATTTGAAATATTTGAAATATTTTTTTCGCAGAAACCTTCCCAGCAGTATTTTCAACAACTTCCTAAAGTTTCATGGCGATCGTGTGAACGATGTCACGACAATTCACTTTTATTAATTTTATATACTGCATATTGAAAATAAATCGCACCCTCCCGTGGCGCCGCCCTTGCGAAATTAAAAATTATTTTTTTTACAGAACCCCTCCTTAGAGTGTTATTATGAACTCCTCAAAGCCTCATGGCTAGCAGATGAACGATGTCAAACCAAAATCGACTTTTTATTTTTATATACCGTATATAGAGAAAAACAAATCGCGCCCTGCCGGGGCGCCACCCCTGCGAATTTGAATTTTTCTTTTCGCAGAAACCTCCCCAGGAATATTCTAAACAACATCCTAAAGTTTCACGGCGATGTGATGAGAGGTGTAGTAATGCATAAAGGACAAACACACACACAAACACACAGACACACAGACATACATTGCTTTTTATATATACAGATAGATTGTGAATAAAATTAATTTACCCATTTGATGGTACCACTCCCAGAATGTGACCACATAATGACACAGACATTTGGAGAACTGACCAGTCCTAACTACCCGGGATATTACTACAGCATGGCCAACTGCACGTGGAAGATTACGGTCTCTCAGGGGATGCTAATCTCACTCAGGTGAGGTGATCTCATTCAGGTGAGGTGATCTCACCGAGGTGAGGTAATATCATTCAGGTGAGGTAATCTCAGGTGAGGTGACTCACTCAGGTGAGGTGATCTCACTCAGGTGAGGTGACTCACTCGGGTGAGGTGATCTCATTCAGGTAAGGTGATCTCAGGTAAGGCAATCTCATTCAAGTAGAGGTAATGCTGAGTTTTAGTGGGTTACGGTACAGGTGAGGTAATTTCACTAAGGTGAGTAAAGGTTGAGTTTCAGTAGGTAATGGTAAAGATAAAATGGCTTCACTCAGTTTGGCTTGGAAAAAAGTGAATTTTTTAAGGTAATGCTGATACCGCTGAGTTTAGAAAAAGTATTGTATGTTTAATGAAAGGCCCGGTTTAATTATCTCATGTAATGGATATCAACTACTTTTAACAAAAAAAAAAACCTTTAAACTCGCTAAAATAAAACATTAAAAGACAAAAGCAACATGCTAAAAATATGCATAATTATAGTTTTAGTCTGGCTAACATCGCACGCAAATGTGAGTATGACTTGATTGTTACAGAGCTTAATTCTGTAACAGGTTCAAACAGTTTAACCTTGGGCTAGATGACCCACATTGCACCAGAGACCGTGTCGTTATTTATGACGGTGATGACGTCAACGATCGAGTCCTGGGAAAGTTTTGTGGCAGAAGTGTGACGACCATCGTCAGGTCCACCAACAACGCCATGTTTGTTGTCTTCACGTCTGACGATGTCAACTCTGGACAGGAAGTTGGCTTTAGCGCCACCTACATCTCACACCGTAAGTGGATTCAAATTACCATGGTAACGAGACAACTTGAGCAAACTCAAATCAAACGAGATCTTATTCAAAACAAGAAAATAATATTTTGGTTAACAATCAAATGAGTTTGCACTGAAATCTTTGTATGAACATTAAAAATTTAGAAAATACTTAAATATTTCTGCGAACGGTGAAATTTAAAATGTACAATTTAACTAATGTCATACAGTGTTTCTTCCAGACTTTTTTCTCCGGGGGGGCACTTGAAATTTTCGGGGGGGCGGTAGACTTTCTTCGGGGGGGCGGACACTGTTAAAAGTATATATTTTCTATATAAATGATATAAATTTCATTTCGTTCGGGGGGGCGGTAAAAATTTTTCGGGGGGGCTTCGCCCCCCCGAAGAGATGCCTGGAAGAAACTCTGATGTCATACCAAAAATCTATAACAGGGGTCTCCAAACTACGGCCCGCGGGCCGGCGCGAGGTCATTTCATCCGGCCCGCGGCGATCTTTTTGTCCACTGAATAAATGTTTGTTAGAGGTGCCTGGGGAAATTTGCCCAGAAAATTCAAAACAATTTGAAAATGTAGTTTAGGGTGCAAATATCATTGCCCGCCGTGTTGCAGACATTGGTGAAAACATCGTGACTCAAATAGCGAAAAATGCAAGCAAGCTTCGCCATTTTTCATTTGCAATGGATGAGTCGCTTGACAGTTGTTCCACCTCAACTTCTTGTGTTCATTAGAGGTGTGGATGAAGACATGAACATAACACAAGAGCTGGCTTCCCTACATAGGATGTATGACACTGTTACCGGAGAGAATATCTTACCATAGATAGTTCAGAGACAAACACAAAATCGCAAAATTGATCATATTTCACATCAGTAAGATTGCTCATTTTGCGATAAAGTTCTGAGCAGAATATTTAAATTAAGAAATGAATAGGTGACTTCCTGAAAGTAAAGGCAAGCCACAGCTATTATTGTCTGATGAAGAGTGAACAACTCGACACACTTTCAGCAGTGCAAGGATTAACGGCTGAAGCAAAACCACTGAGTTCCCACGTCATTAACATACGAGATAATCAAATACCTCCAGTTGCAGTTTCAGTAGCGGTTCTCTTACTTGGATTCAAAGGCAGAAGAAGTGTGACTGTTTCAAAGCCCATTTGAAACAATTGTGGCCAGTTGCAAAGATGAACTGCAGCTGAAGGTCATTAGACACACGTTCACAGAAGGGCAGATGGGTTTTTATAAGTTTTTGCACAAGGAAGACTTTCCTAATATTAAAACTTCTGCATCAAAGTACCTTTTAAATTTTGGAACAACATACCTGTTTGAACAAACATTTTCAAGAATGAAATACGTTAAGAATAATTTGAGAGCAGAATAAACTTGGACCTTGAGTGTGTTGTCGACACCCGAAAGTGTTTCTTCCAGACTTTTTAACACGCGGGGGGGGGGGGGGGGGTAAGAGATGGGGGTGGACACTTAAAATGTGTATATATTTCTATTTAAATTATATTTTGTTGGGGGGGGGGGGCGCCACCACCCCGAAGAGATGCCTTAAAGAAACTCTGGCCCCCGAACTGATATTTGATAGTTAATGCGGCCCTCGGGCTGAAAAGTTTGGAGACCCCTGATCTATAATATAAGCGGGCTGGTAGTGGGCCATTCCTTCCGTCATTGCTATAGATTTTGGAACCATAAAAGTAAACACCACTTGCCGTACATTTATTTGCATCGCATTGTTTTATTGCAAGTTATGGAGTAGGATCTATTTATGTGACTTAAGTTTTTTTATGCTGGAAAGACTCTCTTTGGGCGCGGACGCCTAGGAAAGCGTGTTGTTGGGTGATGATTCTAATGTGGTTGTGTTGTGGTAGTGTTGTGGTTGTGTTGTGGTTGTGTTGTGGTTGTGTTTTTCTTTGTTTTGTTTTGTTCCCAAGTTGGTACATTTAAAAAAGATTTACCGAGGCGGACCACGGGTATGCAGCTAGTAAGTATATGTTTGTGTTAAGTTGTCCACTAAGGTAGTAGACTTAAAACAGTATAAGTAATGCAGCTACAACCTCACTACTGTTGCCCCCCCCCCCCCCCCCCCAGGCTGCCAACACTTCATGTACGGTGAGAACTGCTCCCAGACCTGTAGATGTACAGAACGGAACACTTTATTCTACAACAACATCTACGGCTCCTGCCTGTGTCGGGACGGGTGGAGGGGCGACACTTGCAACGATGACGTGGACGAGTGTGAGGGCAACAAGGACACACTGTGTCCACGTAATTCTGTGTGTGTCAATGACCCCGGGACTTTCACGTGTCCGTGTAAGCCTGGCTATATCAACAATGACGTCAACGGTTGCGATGGTAAGATGTTAACAATGTGATGTTAATGTACAGTTAAAGTGCAGTTAGGAAAGTTATTTAGAAAGAAAACTTGCATCTACATGCTATGTGATAGGTTATTTAGTTACTTAATAAGTAGGCCTACATACAAAATGCCTACAATGAAAGTAAAAACAGTGAAAACTAACAAGCAAAAAAACTGCTTAAATGATTAACTAATGATTAAATAGAAAATTGCCGTTAAAATAATTCTTTATGTTTGATTTGTATTTTTAGAGTGGTTGATGTAAAAATAATAATTCGTAAATCTAAAAATTGATGCCTTTGGTTATTTAGTTTTTAACAGTTGCTTTGGCAAAGCATGTTCACATTCGTGTTACATGAAAAACGGCGAAGAAAATTGTGTTTGTCCAGATGGACTGGAGCTGGACACAGACGGGATGACGTGTATAGGTAGGCAATTTTAGACCCTCAACTTGAGATCATTAAGTTGTATTGAAGGAACATTTTAGTACGGTACTAGGTGGGTTATGTCCAGGGGCGTAACGAGGGGGGGGCGGGGGTGCGGACCGCACCGGGTGACACCATTTAGGGGGGGGGGGGGTGACACCAAGGCAAAAAATAGGAAAAGATATAGAGAAAAACTCGAGGGGGGGGGGGTGCAAATCGAAAGTTTGAGGGGGGTGCTAATCAAAAGTTTGAGGTGGGGGGGGGGTGCAAATCGAAAATTTGAAAGTTTGTCCCTGGGAAGGGCCTCTATGCCTCTGGAGGGTAACACCATTAAGTGCCGCACCTGGTGACACCCGACCTCGCTACGCCACTGGTTATGTCCATCAAATTGAGCGCACTAGTTGTATTCAAGGTACTGGGAGGGTTTTGTACACGAGATGTCAATAACCAAGGTACACATGCCGACCACAAATTAATTTAATAAAGTTCGCATGTTTACTTCCTGGTATAGGAGTGGAGAATCTCGTCTGTGACGATAAATATCAAGTCGATCATCAGGGAAGATCGGAGGTGTTAGGTAATGTATGCATTGATTCGTTTGCTGGTTTGGAAGTGCTACAATTCTTCTTATCATAACACTGCATTCACTCAATATTGATTTCTCTTCACCATATATATATATATATATATATATATATATATATATATATATATATATATATATACATATTTCTTTATATATTTCTTTATTTGAACTAGGTATGGAAGACATACTGCTGAAAGAATGTCAGTCTGTTTGTGTATTTGATAACGTGCACTGTACAGCAGCTTTACATTAGGTGAGACCCAGGTGTCATTATAAGCTAAATTAGCAACAGTTTACATAAGCAGGTGTCATTGTTAGCTAAACCAGTGACAGTTTGCATAAGCGTTAGCCATATATTGTTTTGAAATTGCGACATTATGTTCGCTTGAGATTGCTTAATTAAAGAATTTTAAGGTAACGAAATGAGACATTCGAAAATTATTACTTAAACAATACAAGAAACATAAGAATATAGCCTACCTCTCCAGCTCCTCCTGTGGAGCTATTTTTAAATTATTTCACCGAAATTAATATTAAACTGAAACTTCCTTGTTTATTTGTTACGTAAATCAATATACGGCCTCTCCTGTCCCGCACTAACGCAAGGTGGTTTTTACAAGCTTTTATTTAACTCACTTCCTCGTCAGTCTGTCGTCAGTCTGTCGTCAGTCTGTCTAGACGGAAACGCAGGAGTGAAAATTCGGGCAGTTCTACTTGACCGATACGATTCACAGTTGGCACGTGGGTCAAGACATGAAGACAATGCAATCTGAAACTAAATTTGACTTAATTAAATGCCTAATTAATTTTTTATGAATTAATAAAAATTTGGACCGAATTAGTAGGCATGTCTAGCCAACCACACCACACGCGTCATCACCTTCAATAGCTGCGCCATCACATAATGGCTGCGTTCAAAAACAATTGCGCGCCTACTGAACGTGATGTTCAGTAGGCGCGCAATGGTTTTAGTCATGTAACTCTATTGTAAATAAAACATGTAAAGTACTGAAAAAAAAATTCATAAAAAACGTTTTAATAACAAGCTTTTATGTAATGATGCACTAAAAAGTAGAAAATAAATTATAGACTACTATTTAAATAACTATAAAGAAAAGCGTGGGTGTCTTCCTTAACATTAGTAAAGGTATCCAATAGATACTAAAGTGACCCACGCTTTTCTTTATAGTTATTTAAATAGTAGTCTATAATTTATTTTCTACTTTTTAGTGCATCATTACATAAAAGCTTGTTATTAAAACGTTTTTTATGAATTTTTTATGCTTATACATTTATACTTATACATTATCTTTGTATTAAAGAAAGCTAATCAGTTTTCTTTTCTCAATTTATAAAATTTTAAAATATTTGTTTTATTTTCAATGTTTTTTTATATCTTCTAGCTTGTCAAAGATGTGTTGTGTGTAATCATAAGTGTACACGGGAGCAAACATATTTTGATTTTGTTATATAATAAATGTAAGAATAAAGAAAATAAAAAAAAGTATTTAACTTCAGTTATGTTATATTTGTTTTGGTGAATATGTGTCTATACAGTTTTATAATGTACTTAACGGTGGGGGAAGGGGGTTGGGGGGGGGGGGGGTAGGACTACACTCGTTACTGTTACTTAGCACAAACGCACTACTAAATTAAAGAATCATACTTTATCTACTCTACCTGTAAATAAAATGTCAAATTTGAAACTGATTCTCTTATCAGAAATATAAACTGTCGAATATCATCAGTGAAGATAACTGATACGCCTTAAATTTTACTTCCTTGTTTAGTAAAGATGTTTTTAATTAGGAAAAACTGAAAATAAAAACATATTGCTCCTATTACGCTTTTAAACTAGCTTAGGTTATTCAAGGTTCAGTTGATATGTGCGTATATGTAACATACACCATGTAAACAATGTAGGCTAAATGAATATATTTGATGAAATAATTCGGACTTAACAAAGTTAAAAAAGAGGCAATCTCTTAACAATGTGTTATCAATTGTACAGTAAGGCTCAATTACAGAGGAGATAATCAAATGCCTATAACCAGGAAGAAGTGTTATCATCTGTTATCTAACAGAATGTTTTTATTGTATTCGTGTTCAGCAAACGGATAATGTTATAATGCATTTATTAAGTTCAGAATCCTGTCATAGATGGATATGAAACACTGAAATAAAGTGACACACTGGCATTCTGGTGACACACTGACATTCAGGTGACATACTGACATTCTGGTGACACTGATATTCCGGTGACACACTGACATTCTGGTGACACACTGACATTCTGGTGACACATTGACATTCTGGTGACATGCTAGCAAATCTAGTGACACACTGACATTCAGGTGACACACTGACATTCAGGTGACACACTGACATTCTGGTGACACAGCGATATTCTGGTGACACACGATGCCAACAAAAGGACTTTACTTGCTGTGTACATGGTGGATTACCTTGCTGCTGAACCAAGCTAACTCATCCAATCCCGTCTCAGGTAAATTTTTAATCTAATTATAAGACGGAGTGGCTGGGGGGTAGAGCGCACGACTGTTAACCCAGTGTCTCAAGTTCGCAACCCGCTCTTGTCACTGGGACTCTGTGTCCACACAGCAGCTCTCGTTGTAAAGGCGGCTCAGCATACAACTAGCCACACTATTCCTTTATATACTAGGGTCACAGAAACAGGTGAACTATACTATATCTACTATATCTCATTTCTAATACATGCAACCATCCAACAAAAATCGATATTTATTTTAATAACATCGTACATAATTAAAAAAAATATTTGTGTTGCTTATGACATATATTTCGAACAATTTTCACAGTACAACAATGGAAAACAAAATTAATTACTAAATAAGTATGTTTATTATACTCAATTATTAGTGTGTAAGTAGTTCTTAGCAAGCATGGGACAAGACACACATTTTACATGAGCATTTTAGAGAACAACACGTTACAAAATTACATAATGAAGTGTGAGTACTGAAGAATGTGCTAATGTTTTTTCCAGGATGTGACTATAACCCGACTGAACAAGCCGGCACCATCCTAACACCAAACTACCCGAACACCTACCCAAACAATGTACATTGTAGCTGGAAGATTAGTGTGGCCACCGGTCAAATCATCTCACTAAAGTTAGTTTTTTTGTAATTTCATTTGTGTTCCATATGAAACATCAAATATTTATGTCATACACAATTAATTGACTTTTTCTTTAAAGCAGTTTTAGAAAGGTTAGTACTAATAATAAATGTAACTACACCAAAAACGTTTATAATAATCAATAGGTGAGGAATTAAAAAAAAAATATAGTTATTAGGTGTGTCTTTATAAAAAATATTATTATAAAGAAGGAGAAATATTATTATGGATTTATAATAATTTTAAATTTAGCTTTACATTCACGCAGAGGCGTAGCGACCCTTCCCGGCGCCCGTGGACAAACTTTCAATTTGCACCCCCCCCCCGGGGGAAAACCTTTCAATTTTCAATTTGCACCCCCCTCAAACTTTCAATTTGCACCCCCCCCCCCCCATATATTTTTTATATTTATGATGCAAAATTGCTGCTAAAATGATATTTTAATTTGTTTTTCCAACCCATTTTGAAGCCCCCTAGAGTCGGCGCCCGGGGACATATGTACCGCCCCCCCCCCCTCGCTGCGCCTTTGCATTCACAATAACTTCATTGCGTCTTAAAACTTCAAACAAGCCGTACATCAAAGTACTCTCGCCTCTACAGGATGAAGACGTTTAACCTAGACTTCTCAGATTATGTGGTTTTCCATGACGGCCCAAGCGCCCAGTCTCCCATCATTGGAATCACGAGGTACACAGGTTTCTGGGACAATACAAAGCTGACTGATACTATCATTAGATCTACAGGACCGGAGATGTTTATCTACTTCTATTCAGATTATTCGGTCGCAGCTTCAGGTTTTGGGGCATCGTACTGGGCCCATGGTGAGTAGGCCTAAAGTCTATAGGCATTGTATTAAAATAAATACAACGAATTGCGATGACATAATAAGATATGTTGAAAAGTATTTAGCAACAGGATTACTTGTCGCGCATTGCTGCAATCTCAGAAGAAACCAATATGAAAAGCAAACAACAAAATACTTTATAAATTGCCTAAACTAATTCAGTGTCTTTGCCTTAAATGATTAAATATCTAGTTTTAACTCATTTTTAGCGCAATTTCCATTCTGGAGAATTGCGTTTATTAACTCGTCATTTCTGGGAATGGATGGATGAATGGATGGATGGATGAATGTGTGTCCGGGCTTTAAGTCGTATCTCCTCCTCAACGAAGCAATACCGAGGACTATTTCCAAAAGCAATTATGTTAAGCAAGTTACGAGGATGAACATAGGCTATAAAAAATCCGGGTTTCTTTCATGTATTTCCCGGAAAAGCCAAAAAAACCTCGAAAAAATTCAGTTTTTGGCCCATATCTCGGCAACCAGACCACTTAGCGACTTGAAACATGTACCAATCGATTTCTGCCATAATTTAGAACAATATTGCCGAAGAAAGTTTTCAAAAATATCCTCTCGTTCGGTCACAAATTTTAAAATTACATAAACACCTACAAACCGATCGTTCTTCTAGCTTGAACGCACCCCAGCATTATACGTCAGAGCTATTTTTAGATAACATAAGGAAATTGCGCATAAATGTCACTAGACTTTTTTTAATTAACTTGTTTTTTAATTAATTAAAATTTGGACCGAATTAGTAGGCATTTTTATCCAACCACACCACACGCGTCATCACGTTCAATAGCTGCGCCATCACGTTCAATGGCTGCGACATCACGTTCAGTAGGCGCGCAATGGTTTTTAGTCATGTAACTCTATGGACGCCAGCGAGAAAATTCTCAAAGTTATTTGAGAGGTGTATAAATTCATTTAAAAATCTTGCACGGCGTAGTTACAATTAATATGGTTATAAAATCCTGTCTGTCTGTTTTTTTTTCGGACTTTACTAAAGATTGGATGTATTTGATGTTTTTAATATTTTCGGTTAATAAATAAAAATTAAAAAAAAAAGCAAAAACAATTTGGTTTTCACGTGTAATGGCGACATAAACAATGGCCGCCATATATTTTATTGTATACATTGTAAGCTAAAAATAGAAAAAATAGGTCATGGTGTTTAAATTTGCATAGTTATTTAAAAACTTGATCTGCAAAGTTTTGTAAACAAAATAACTATAAAGTGGGGCTGTCAGAAATCGATCACGGAGTTCCTTTACAGCCAATCAATGTTTGTCTTACGAAAGTGAAACATCGGGTTATAACTTAGGCTTGATGAAAATAAATAGAAACGTAGCCTTAAACTCAACAAATTATTTTCAAGTTCTCTGGATCTGCAACTTGTATAGCATTGATTCTAAAAATATTAATTTTAGGCTTAAGTTTTTACTAAAATTTTATCTTTTATTAGTTTTATGGTCCTAAATCTAAAAAAGCACATTTTTATTCAATGTCAACAACATTACGGAAGAAATCTCGTCAACTCGCTGGTGTCTATTGTAAATAAAACATGTAAAATACTGCCTGCCTGCCTTCCTGTTTTGTTATTGAATAATGTGAATATATTTTTTATTCAAGAAATGCAGAGGTTTTCATATTATGTTTAAATACATAAAATTAAACTCATTTTTCCAGAGTGCAAGAAGTTTACATACGGCATTCCCGAGTGCAGCACTTCATGCAACTGCATACAAGAGAACACACTTTACTGCAACAACTTCGATGGTACATGTATCTGTAAACATGGATGGACTTCATATGATTGCTCGACTGATGTCAATGAATGCTCAAACCCACATACGTGTGAAGATGAGTACACAGAATGCAGAAACTTAAACGGTAGCTACACGTGTGACTGTAGACCAGGATTAAAGAACATAAATGGAAAATGTGCAGGTATTTGTATGGGTGTTTTAATAAAAAATTAACATAGTCGTGTTTTTTTTATATCTATGTAAGCAGTTGGGCAACTGTTACTATCATTCCCTAAAACAGTTTATTTGTTTTCAAATTGATAAAAAAGAAAGTCGGGCAAGTTGAAACAATTACAATATTGCAGCAAAAATGGTTTTGAAAAAAAAAATTAGGGATCGTCGATCAATGTTTAGTTAATTTTCTTTGACGATTTATAATAGGCGGGAATGTCACAGTTGTGCAATTTAAATAAATTTGAAACAATACAATGTAAGCTTTGTGTAAAATAACACGTATCTAAATTGTAATAAAAATAGACCAATGTGTATCTATTTGGAGCGGGGCCCTAAGAGCTGTTGTGCCATATTTTTTTGCATTTCAATAAAATACACTTTCATGTTTTTTAAATAGCCATTTTCTTGTTATAAAAGTCACTTCCTAAACATATTTTGGTATGTATCATTCTAATGTTGTTACTTACATACAATTTTGTAATAAATACTTTTTATGATTGAATAAACTCTTAAAGTTAACATTGCTACAATATTGTATCACCCATCAGACTCCTGCAGCCCACAAAATCGACAATGTTCTCACTTATGTGGGGCGACTGAGAACCCGCACAAAGAACATTGTTATTGTCCGATTGGAATGGAGCTGAGTTCTAAAGACAACATGTCATGTGTTGGTAATGTATTATTTTACAATTTATATTCATACTATTCGAAATATTTTGTATTTTTATATTCATTTTATATTATATTATTATTATATAATATCTCTAAACACTGACTTTATACTACACCCCTAACCGTTTTAGATTTATTTAGACAGTATCCCATTAACTTACATGTTCACAAAATGAAAGATATACATTTAGAGTTTAGACCATTACAACTACTAGTCTCAATGACAACGGATGTGGACATTTAAACTATAATATTATGTTTGCATTGTGCCATTCGAACAAATAATAATTATAATTTTATGATTAATAAGTATATCACAAACAACCCAAAACTTAAAGAAATGACTAATGAATATCGGAATATGTAGTTCTATATATTTTAACTCATCTATTTTATATTTATGTTATTTTGTCTAGAATGTAGCAATTGGCATTACGGCAAGGATTGTTGCTATCCCGCCACCTGTAACACATACAACACACAGTATTTCAACAAAACAAACGGGTTGTGTACATGTTACTTAAACTGGACGTCCACCAACTGTGATCAAGACTTTAACGAATGCTCCCTAACACACAGCCCATGTAATACTACCAGTTCCGTGTGTGAAAACTCTTATGGATCTTTTAAGTGCTGGTGTCTACAGGGATTCGAAAGTAGAAGTGAAAACACATGCAGAGGTATATACTGATTTATTTCAATACGGATTCTGCAACATTTCGTTGCTTGCAATTCGCTCATCAAATAGGCCTACCGGCCAAACTAAACTTTTCTACACTCTGTTTTTTATGTACTCCAAAATTTTTAGCTTAAACTAATATTTTTTGTAAACGTCTACAGCTTTGTTATTATTATTTTTAAAATAAGATATTTAACTAATCGATAACAAAGACTTTAAAATTAAGATTCATTTAGCAACATTATCTTTTCCAAGAATGTGGTCGTGTTCTTACCAACTCTTCCGGCATCATTGACACTTACACATATGATAGATATCACTACATAACAACAAGAGTAACCACACCCATTTGCACCTGGACTATTCTTGCTACACGTGGCTATGTCATAGAATTAAAGTAAGAAAACATAGATACATTTTTTTTGCTGCTTACAAAATTTAAAATTATTTATAAACTTATTTTATTTGGTAACTAAAATACTTTCAGATTTCAAAGCTTTATCATGTACAATGGCTACCAAAGAAAATTCGGATATCTCGAGATTTACGATGGTGGAGACTCTAAAGGAACTTTACTGGCTGTCTATGATGGTATGATGTACCGTGGTAGGACTCCCGGCAATGTTCGAACAAGAACAAATCAAATGCATATTGCACACTTTACCAGTCAATATGGATATGTTAATCAATATTTTACTGCATCTTATAATACTTTAGGTGAGCTATGATAGATATTGTATCGAATAATGGCCACTTCGTACAAAAAAAGACTGTCTATAAAAAAAATTAAGAGAAATAAATAGGTCTACATTATCTTGTGATAAATTAAATTGTATTCCTTTAAGTTTAGATAGAACATTTCAATATTAAAAATGTATTTATAGACAAAATAAGCTTTTTGAATTTTTTTACCAATTTAAGAGATCTAAAGTGACAAAAAATATTACTATTTTAAACACTGTCTTCACACAGTTTGCCCACCTTTCATGTATGACACCAACTGTTCTGTACCGTGCAACTGTAACCAGAGCAACACAGAATATTGTAACAGTACCAATGGTCAGTGTGTGTGTAAGTCAAGATGGACGTCACCCGACTGCTCCCAGTACAAAAACGAATGTCAAGACAATTCACTAGCCTGTCCAGATTACTCTGACTGTATTTACCACAACAACGGTACATTCAGCTGTCTGTGTAAGGAAGGATTGCAGCAAGCAGCTAATGAATCGTGTAGTAAGATTATAATTTTTAAATAATTACAGAACACTATTTAAATTTAACTTTTAAAAACGTTTTAGTAGTCATAATATACACTAAAATATTTTTGTTTCAAGCTAATTCGAGGTTTATCCACTCCGCAAGTCAACCTTCAACGGATTTCGAAGAACTTGTATAAACGATATTTTTAAATTAAAACTTATTTTTTCTTTTTAATGTTTTGTAAATAATTATTTGTTTTAAACAAATACATTAATTAACATTTTGGTATTTCAAAATGTACATTCAACCAACCACATCATTCACCCGATGTTACATTATTGCAATAGCGTTACTGTTGTTATCTTGTTTGCGTGCTGTGTGGATGTGAGTTAAATAACATCAGTCGCCAGGGATGTGTGTTATTTGTCATCTATTAACCTATCGTTCTTAATCAAAACCAACACCAAGAAAATCGCAAAAATAAATAAATAAAAAAAAATAAGCGATAGAAAATTTAAATGAGAAAATAATTATATTATTATAAAAATATGTATATTGAAAATTTGAAATAATTATTACATCTGATTTTCTTGGTTGAGGTTTCAACTATGTGGAAGCCGTGTCGGCCAATTAAAATATTTTTAAAACTATGCATTACTTTACACTAATAAACTTAGTACATATATATATATATATATATATATATATATATATATATATATATGATCATTTTAAATAAAAATAAAAATACGTGAAGGAAATTTTTTTTTCTAGTTTTAACTTCAGGAACTGCAATTTGTACTGTAAAAAAATGTTCTAATATCTGTGTGAGAGTTTCAAAAGTAGGTCACACAGCTGAAGAACGATGCTACTGTCCAATAGGCACGAAGCTACACGGTGATCAATGCCTAGGTAATATTTAGCTTCATTATAATACATAACTTATTTTGAAATTTTTGTCACAAGTTTCACTTAAAGCTCTCGGTAAACTTATTGATGGTTTTAAAGTTTTATTTTACACTAGCTTCCTGTCCCTGCTTGTTGCAGCGGGGTTAGAAGAAAGTCCAAGGATAGCCTGGGGCACATCATACACTATCGTAGCCTTGGAAGACGCGCCTGGTTAAGTTTAGTGAACGAATATAATGCGTCATTGCATTCATAGTCTATCGCACAGTTTGAAATGAAAGTAGGCGCCATATCGATCACGCGATTGCCCTGGCGTCGAATAGCACCTTGCCGGGCGCCGCCCGTGCAAAATTGAACATTTGTCTCCGCAGAAATCTTATCGGGAATATTCTCATTTACTTCCCAAAATTTTATGGCACTCGGATGAGCGGTGTCGAGTTTGAAATTTTTTTTTCCTTGCAGAAAACTTCCCCAGGATTATTCTCAACAACTTCCCAAAGTTTCATGGCGATTGGTGAAATAATGCATGAAAAACAAACTAACAAACAGACATACACATACTTTGCTTTATATAGAGAGAGATAATCTAACCAGTTTTCTATACCTAAAGTTAAAAAGAAAACACATGTAAAGAAAAAGAAAATTACTCAGGGAGTACATAATCTGCAAAAGAACTTAAGAAACAAAGAACTAAAGACACACTTATTAAAACAGATAACTAAACACCTTGTATGTATTATTCAGTGTGTCAACAAGGCAAGTTTGGACCTGACTGTAACCAATCCTGCTCATGTGTGGTCAACAACACAGCGTCATGTGACCCCAGAACTGGTCAGTGTAAGTGTAAATCAGGCTGGACGTTTCCAGACTGCTCTGAGGATATCGATGAATGTCAGCAAGATCTGTACACTTGTCCATATTACTCGTCATGTACAAACACGCCTGGTGACTACAACTGTACGTGTGATAGAAATCATGGTTACGAGAATAATGGAAGTAAATTATGTAAACCTATAGGTACGGTACGTTTTTAAACGTTAATTTTAATTTACACAGAATTTTCCAAGCCACTCAACATGCATAAATACACTAGGCGACTATAACTGCTCTTGTGATCGAAGTCAAGGCTACGAGAGTAATGGAAGTATATTATGTAAATATATAGGGATAGCCTGAGGCACAAAATCGAACCATTCCGGTAGCCGCCGATGCGAAATTGAATATAAACCCGCATGAACCTTCTCGGGAGTATTCTCATCAACTCCCCAAAGTTTCATAGCACTCGAATAAACAGTGTCAAACCGCTTCCTACTTTTATTTTGTATATACCGTATATAGAGAAAAATTTCACCCTCCTGGGGTGCCGCCCTTGCAAAATTGAAAAAGATGGTTTTTTCAGAAAAGTCTCCTTAAGTGTTCTAATCAACTCACAGTTTTATGGCGATTAGTTGAACGGTGACAAACCGCAATCGAGTTACTTTTATGTTTTATATAACGTATATAGAAAATAATCGAAACTCGCCAAGCTGGGACGCCACCCCTGCGAATTTGAATACATTTTTTTGCACATAAATTTCCAGGATTATTCTCAACAGCTTCGCAAAGTTTCATGCGGATCGGATGAAAGGTGTAGTAATGCATAAACCACAAACATACACTCACACATACATTGCGTTATATAATTATATATATATATATATATATATATATATATATATATATATATATATATATATATATATATATATATATATATATATATATATATAGGTTTTCAAACAACTTTTGAGAATCTGAATGATTAATTAATTGGTGAAAGGTTGTTATGTGAAGTGCTTAGGGCCTAAGCTTTAACAGTCTGAGTAATTTCCTGTCATGTAAACATTGGTGGAGTATTCGCAAAGTTATTACTCGCAAGGTTATTAGAACTGCAAAGACTTCCTTTATAATATAAATAAAATATTATATCAAATTAACTTTTGCAATTGATTTTTACTATTTCATTACAATACATAGCTTAATTTATAACGAAATATCTATTTAAACGAATGCTTTACTTTGTGATTTTTGTTTTTCCTTTATATATACGTAACGATTAATTTCAGAAACTGTCATTATACCAAAAGATTGCAGTTACAAACTGTCAAATGTGACAGGCATAATTAAGAGCCCAAACTACCCATCTCACTATTATGACAATACATTTTGCAGTTGGAATATTTCTACTGCTGTCGGGAGAGTGATCACTGCAAGGCGAGTTTCTCAGCACATGAAAAAGGACACTTAATACTTACTATAATAATAAAACAAAATTTTGAATCTTAGAAAAAAATACTGATGAATGCAATACAGACCATTTAAGTAGCATTTTTACTTTCTCGTACACGAAGTATAGATGATGTTTTGTAAAAGTGCAAAAAAAATCGAAATCGAGATTTTACACCTCCCTGAGTCGGTAAAGCATAGTTTTGCAATTTCGTCCATATGTCTGTGTGTATGTAGGCCTATATGTATGTGTATTTCTGTGAACACGATACATTAAATATCGTTACAGCTAGTTTAATGAAATTTCATAAATAAATATTATATCAACATTGTAGTACTGTTTCAACTTTTCAGCGATTTCCAGCAAACGGAAGTGGAACTTATTCTATTGATATTTCAAAAGCCAAAACTAGTAGCCTAGTACTGTTTCAGTTAGATAAGCGAAATTTCACATATAAGTAAAAGATCTAATTCTCTGCCTTCTGTCAAATTTAAAAAAAAAAATTCCGTTGATTGGAAGTAGTACAGGAATTTATAAAGTAATAATATCCAAGCACTGTTATACACATATAATTTATAAAACTAATAACAAAAAATAACACACGTAACAGCTGTCAACGTATTTTAAAATACCATTACAAAATTAATAGTTCGTCGTTTTACAGGTTCCCTCGAATAGATTTAGGTCCTTCAACTTTATGTAATGACGACCGCCTCACCTTTTATGATGGTACAGACAGTTCGTCACCGTTATTAGGAACATACTGCTATGTACAGTCACCAACGCTTATCAGATCAACAAGCAACAGCATGTTCATTTCGCTTTCCACTGGTTCTTACCGCTATTCAAATGAAATAGGATTTAATGGAATCTACATGTCAACCTGTAAGCAGTTATTTGCACAAAAACAATATTTAAAAAAATCGTATGTGTACTTACAATGTACTTGTATGTGTAATGTAAGTGTTCGTATACGTGCGCGTGTATTTACACGTATTAGTACGCGAATACTTTTACGTACACGTTCACATAAACGTCTTTTTAAATTTATAACAGTATAAAATATAAGTACCTATGTGGTTTATCAGCGTACATATTATGTCGATACATGCTAATGCTATGCTTTTCTCCCTTTTGCTTTCGCATGTTTCAGTAACTCAGAAAGTTTAACAACTTGTCTTTAAATGTAAAGAATGTATTGGTTCTTTGTATTCTACAGTTGTTTTTTTTTTTTTTATAACCGATAATTTACATTTTATTTCAAAAAAGTTTTAGAACTTTTCACTTGACTCAAATTTAGGTCTAGTAGCTTCACTGCATTTTCCTTCAGGCATAACATTTTTTGTTTTATTGTCACCAGATATGAAAGACGAATACGTTATTGTTTGGTATTTTTGTTACTTTCTTGAAGTATCTATCCAACATTTAATCTTATTTAACGAAATTCAACCTTGATACGCTTTTACCGTGTTTAAATTGGCATACATAGAAACCATTGTATACAGTCTGCAGAAATTTCATGTTTGGGGAGAGCTGTGCGAACTCGTGCAACTGCTCGAAAAACAACACTGAGTACTGTGACAACCTTTACGGCAACTGTATCTGTAAGCCAGGCTGGAAGGGTGAAACTTGTAAGGAGGACGTTGACGAGTGTCTGGGCACCAACAATCACCTGTGTCCACCTAAATCCACTTGTGAGAATAATCAAGGCAGTTATAATTGTACATGTGTGAAGGGATACAGAAAAAACCAGACCACAGAAGAATGTGAAGGTAGGAAATATTTACAGAAAGATTTTTAGAACCAATTACACATACTTACATTTAAAGATAAACATACAAGACTAATTTTCAAAGTTAAAATGAATTACATTAAGCTAGAATCTACCAATTAGTTCACAATAATATAATAAATTCAGTTGTAATTTTCAACTATATTTGGACTCTATTAATTTACGTAATTTATGGAATTTTATAAATGATTGAAAGAAAAAAAAACAGTTTTAAAAATTGAAACCATGTTGATATAAATAAAAATAGAGTTAAATCAGCGACGACATAATTTTTATTTTATTTTCATTTTTAAATTTATTAGAATGACAAGCTTATTTTCACATGAAAGGGCACTTTAATAAAAAGCTAACATGTATGGTGATTTTTATAGGTTTCATAGTTATTATTAAAACGTGGTGTCTTTCCGTGCAATAACAAATGACACATTTTAGTTTAAAAGTATTACTATAAAAGGTTTGTATTCTTTTAAAATAATTTCTTCCTATATTTTTTATAGAACGTTTGAAGTATTTAATATATATATATATATATATATATATATATATATATATATATATTTATTTATTTATTGCTGGGTTCATTAAAGTTATTTTCCATTTCATGCTTTCGATTAATTGCTAACAAAAACTAAGACAGTGAATATTAACATATGAGGCTAAAAAAAACCCACGATAAATAGCTGTTAAATATATATTTGTTGAGGTTACGTAAATTTCTGTGGTAGCTGATATTAATGACGTTTTCCTATTTCACCATCTTCATTAAAAATTTATGTACAATTTCATATCCTCTTATAATCTTGTTTGTTGGGCAATGGGTTTTAAATTTGGCTTTTCTTATCTGCATAAGTTCTTAATAATTAAACTAATAAGATGTTTTGCTGATTTATATATTTTGCTGATATATATATATATATATATATATATATATATATATATATATATATATATATATATATATATATATATATATATATATATATATATATATATACATATATTCTTTTGGTAGCAGTATGCGAATGTTATATTTGGTGTGTGAAATTTACCACTAAGCCAACCTTATACCTTATCTCACTTGGACGTCATAAATGAATGTCTCCAAGGGATTGGGCTGGAGTTCGGATCTAAGAATAGAGATTCATTTGAGGTTAAAAGACTATAAAGGGTGGGGTTAGCATAATGGGATATTGGTTTGTGTTGTGCAGTGTTGGGATAGACCGTTCCCGAACCGAAAACTTGGTCGTCAAGTATAAGTTATTGTTTGAAATATTTTGTTTTATCAATACAGCGTTACAATGTCATTCTTGACTACACGTAGACATGTATATGTTAATGGAGTGCCGTCATTATGGTGTAGGTAGGGACGTTTATTTAGAGCACACGCCCTCAAACTTTACAATATACGTCAGTTATACAACGTTTAAGGTAATCAATACAAGCATAAAGTCTAAAGACTGAAAAACTGCCTTCTGTTTTGTCTAATGTTTTGTTTAGATCAGTTAAGTAAAAGAGCTGTCACATCTAATCGAAAATAACTGATAAGTCTGACACTGCTTTGGGCGTGGAAATGTTTACGCTTTTTGTGCCAAAAAGTTTTCGTATCTCTTCGAATAATAAAAAGTTAGCAATATTATTTCATGAAATTTACAAAACACAGTGTATATGTTTACATAAATTCTAAAGCGAATAGCTTTATTTTTTTACAGTAATAGGCGAAGACTGTGGACACCAAAATAATTGTTCTCACACATGCAGAATTCAGGGTGATAAACAGGTTTGCCACTGTCCAGATGATCTACAACTTGACGAACAAGGATTAATATGTGTCGGTAAAATACTGTGGTTGATTCGCCTATATAGTTAACGTTTTTATTCGGTGCATATTTCCACACCATTCTAATAGTAATCAGTTTTTAAATAAGAAAATGCTCATACTTTATGAAAATGAAGTAAAAAGCCCTGCTATGTGGTGGGGGGGGGGGGGGGGTACCTGAAATCATTCTACCCTTCCTTAGGCTTATCTAATTCTATATAACTGTCCGGGTCAGTGCAACCGTGGTGAAACCCACGGTGGTTAAATCTTATCCTTAGTCTAAATAAAAACTACTAAAAATAAAACAAACTTTAACAATATAATAAAATTTATTTAACAAAAATATGGAACCAAAACTTACATAAAAAAACTAGAATCTAGATCTAGATCTAGACAAAACAAAACACTCAAGACATACAAAACAGAACTCAACGAAACAAAACACCCAATTTCGGACCACCGTCCTAGAAAGAGGAAAAATAGACAAATCAATTCAAAATGTAAAAAAAAAAGTTATACACAAGGCCTAGGTTGACACAATTGTCAGCCTAAACAAGAGGCTCTCATAAATGAAAGTAAAATCTACAATAATCCATGACTAAACCCAGGCTATCATACTACCACGTGGTCTGGATACAACAAACATTGAGACTTCTCAAAGTCGAAGTGACTAAATAGATCTAGTACGTAGTCACTTTGTATACAAAATAAGCAAACTATTCAAAGGAAAACATAATCAAACACTATAAAAATAACCCCACGTTACCATACACCACATAAATGTGACACAGAAACTCTTCAACACACAGGCCTCGACATTCCAGCAGAATGTCCCTCCCTGTCCACACAAACATTCACGAAAAAAAAAACCAATACTACGCACAAGAAAATAGTCCCTAATACAATAATAAGTAACATTCAGGACTTAAAGCAAAGTGGAGCCACACTCCTTAAACAATGTTTGCATAAATAACATCAAAATATAAACAAGACAAAACAATTATAAACCATTTTAAAATTCTAATCATATCAGCGCCAGAATAGCGGACTACTTAATTAGAAACCACAACAATCCTCAGAGGAACACAAAAAGACATTCACCTTTTTGTAATAAAATAATTAAATAACTCCCCAGCCCCTTACACAAAGATGTGTAGTTCGATACTAAGAATAAAAAAATATCAACTGTTAGGATTTCCGTGGGTGGTTCGAAACTAGTTTTCTGAATTACTTAAACTTAATTAAAATAATAAAATAGCATCATAAAAATTGAATACTTTTGTATCTTTTAATATTTCATTATCTTTTTATTTTTGCACCAAGAAAAATGGGGTCTCCACAAAAAGCTCTTTCCACTGCATTTGCGCTCTAGTATACGCACACTTTTTGCGTTCATTTTTTGCGCAATAGTTTTAACGCGATTCAGTTCTAATTTTAAAAATTTAATTATTTAAAAAAATGAATCAAATATTTCTTTTGTTCTATTGCACTGGTAGTGCCATTCCCCTTACTTTTATATAAGAATTCACGAGAAAATTTAGGGTAGATCACACCCCTCTTTCTTTTTCATTGTTCCAGATATCTTGCAATATTTTACAGATGAGTTTTTTTATAAATATGTGGATTTAACATTAAACATTTCTGCATTTACACTAATTGCACGTGGTCGTGGTGTCTTTGCTAATTTAATTTTTTTGCACAGCACTTGTAAGCACTTCTAATTTTTGTATGGGTCTAGTGTTGATGACACATTCCCTTTGCTTGTCGGTATGTGGGGCTGGTGGTGGTTTGTTCGTTAATCTGTAAAATATTTCTTCCATCTGCCGACTTATTTCTTTTAAGTTAGACGTATGTTATTTGTTCCAAAAAGCAGTCCTACCTGTTTTGAACTTTTCTTAAAGCGACAATATATTTTCTTTGACTATGCATTACAATTTTTAAAGATAATTTCTAGGATTAAAATTGAAATTCAACTGTATAATCCAATACTAAATAACAAAAACATTAATTCAGTAAAATTGTATTTGTTTTCAGTGCCATATTACATGCACGGTCAAGAGGCAGGAGATACTATTAAGGCTGTAAATTTCAACCGACGTGTTGTCTTCAGCTCTTCAGTTTCTTTTGGAAACTCTCAGGAGAATACTGCTTATGTAAGTTTTGAAAATAGATTATTCATTTTCTTTATTTGCAGTAAAGTATCTTTTGTTTTAGCTTTAGTGTTTCTTTAGTAAGGAATCTAATGTAATCTAATATGGTTTATTGTAGATTAACTCGTATCCCGTACAGCCTTTGTTAGGCTAACCCCCAAACACTATTAAATGTATAATTTTATCCGATTTTAGAAGAAAAAAAATAAGTATGTCATATTTTTTCAGATTTTAAATAATGGGCTTATTGCATTTGGAAATGATATCACCCTAGGTGATCCGAACATTGAATATTCTTTTTCACAAAAGCAGAGGATTATCGCACCATTTTGGGCAAACGTTGATCCTAATGGAGGTGAGTGAGGCCAGTCTAATGCATCAGTATCCAAAAAAGTGAATAAAAAAAAAGATTGAAATATTTAATATACTTTATTCAAGCTCTATTTTATTTTCACAATTCGTAAGTTTATTTTAAAGTACTGAAAGAGTTTGTGTTATTAAATTAGACTTTAATTTACCCTGATAGTGTAGGTTTTAATGTTTAGAGCGAGGTTTTTACCTACTCCACTTTCATCACAAACTCTGTGCAAATATTTCCTTGATCAGTACACGTTTCACTCTAATCTTGTAAAATTCTTCCTGCACGAAGGTTTTCTAACCGCCTGCTACCTCATAAGCGCTTGTCTTTAAATACAATTGAGGATACTCAACACAATTACACCAGGGCAGACTCGCACCTCATAACACTCTTGTCAAATATTTTAAACTAAACTTATAAATGCTACACCGAGGCACTTCAGTAAAATCACAACTAATATCAAACTAAGTGTCACAGACTGTATGCCAACCTGTCTTCTTTCGGAATGTCAAGTTCCTTCACAAGTGCTGCATATGTTTCAAAATTTGACATTTTGATATATTTTCTATGACATAAAATATAAATTCATTAGTTGACAATAGATAAATGTTAATTAATTTACAATACCCTTTCTTGGTTTCTGGCTTGTTTTAGTTGATTACAGACATCTGGTAATCCAAGAAAAGTTCATAGTACATGTATACGTCCAAAAATAGTTCACTTTGTTGATTCCAAAAAGTTGAAAAAATTCAAAATAGTTCTAGTAGCCTTTTTTCAGAGTAGAAATTTGTCCAGTTTTAGATAAGACAGCTTCAGGAACAGTTTAGGAACAGTTACAAAAATAAACTTGATCTGCTAAATCCAAACAGTAGAAAAACTTGAACAGCTAATCCATATAGAAAAAACTTGAACAGCTAAATCCAAACAGTAGAAAAGAAACACTAAGACTTGATCGGCTAAATCCAAACAGAAAAAACACACAGACGATATTTACTCGACATTGGTGAGACAATATCGAAATAAGGTGATAAAAATTATCACGTTGATGACTTGACTTGAACAAAACGTCTGACTTGACTACAGCAACCCTTCTGACTTGAGTGTAGATAGATGACTTTCAAGAACTTGACGTACTTGGTAAACAGTGGAAGACCACAGACTGTAATATCTCCATTTCTGACATATGTAGCACCAATTCTTCAACCACTTGTGACATCATAAGTAACAGTAATACAATGTAGCAACATCACTTTATTGCCTCCACTTCTGACACCATATGTAACAACTTGAACTTCATTGTTGTTATTGTGGGTTCTTCAATATACTCATACGAGCAACAGTAGTTGTGAAACAATAACTTTATTTACACTTTGTACAGAGAATTAATAGATCCATAGTAAATCCATGGTCACAACTGGTATAAGTACAATCACAGTCAAGAAACAAAGTGTCGTAGTGTGACCTACTTAGGTCGAGTCATTTTTATTTTGACATTGTATAATTCCTTATATGGAATGATGGTGTAACACCTGGGGTTTTTCCACTGACTTATTAAGGTGTTTGAGACATAGAAATTTTCCATTAAAATCTGATTGAATGATTCTGATCAGATGATTATCCCAACCAATGGCGACATGAGTTGAGGATAACCTCCCCTGTCACAGAAGTCTTTAATTGCACTGCACACTCGCAACACGAGGCAGTTTTATCTTGACCAGGCAGTCTACAGGCCGTTTTACCTTATTCAGGCAGCCGTCCATATTGTCCGGCTATAGAGTCTGACCATTTGAACGTGAGAGTACTTAAGACCTGTGTGTGCCTTGCTTTCTTAAGTTGATTTAGTCTTCTAGTTTAATATTACTTGTCGCTAAGTAAGTCTTGAAGCTACAGCAGTGTTGTGTGGCCTGTAGCTGTTTTTTAGACAGTGTAGAAATCTGTGATAGTGTTTTTTCCTACATTGTGTAAGTTGGGTTTTGATATTTTATACATTAAATATTTTATTTAGTTCAACCTTGTGTTCTGCCACTTCTGAGTTCGCTGATTAAAAGGTCGTATGTAGATTGGATGAGTGTTAATTACAATAGTATCACTAGCTTCCCTAGACATTAAATTCGAGCCCTAGTGTGTCGTTGTGTTAAGGTTCATCCACCTAGGCCGTAAGGTATTTACATATGACCCCGAAAAAAGAATCCGGGGACGTTCTCCTTCTATTTGGCTGATAGATAGGTTAACGTTACAAAGTGGGAGCTCGCCGAGATTTAATCTGTCGTTCCAGTTGTTGTTTATATCAGTTGAATACTAAGGTTAGTTGGATTTAGTTGTTTTTATATCCAGTGTAGCGCCGTGGTCTTACAACGCGCGCTCAGGCTAGAGTATCTAGGTCAAATAAGCAGACGTGTCACGTCCTACATTTAGAGGTCAAGTACACGGCCCAACGCTGTGTATTAATTTAAAGAATCTAGGCTTGTTGTGATTTTCAAGTTAGTGTTATGGAGTCTTTTTTGGCTAATCCTACTGTTGAAGATGTAGAAAAGTTGAGTAGAAAAGTTTTGGTTAGTGTTGTTAAGGAATTGAAATTGGATTATTCTGTTACGCAGAAGTCAGAGGTGTTGAGAGATAAAATTGTTGTTCATTTCATTAATGAAGGGGTATTTGATGAAAGTTTGTTGGCTGGCGTGTTACTCCGCGAGGAGAAAGTTGCTTTAGAGAAGGCATTAAAAGAACAGGAGTTGGAAGTTAAAATTGCTTTAGATAGGAGGAGGTTGGAATCAGAGTTTGGTCAAGTTAGTGATGTTACTTCTCAGGTAGATCCAAAAAAGTTGTCGGTAGGGCAAGTGATTGCCAAATTTGGGAAATTAGTTCCTAAATTTGATGAAACAGATTTGGTCGTTTTCTTTAACTCATTTGAGAGTTTAGCGAAGACATGTGAATGGCCCGAAACTTCCATTACTGCTTTATTGAGCTCTGTCCTTACTGGGAAAGCTGCAAAAACATACCAGGCACTCTCTCACGACGTTCAAAATAACTATAGTTTGGTCAAGACTGCCATTTTAAAGGCCTACGCACTGACGCCCGAGGCCTATCGGACAAAATTCCGAACACTCCGCAAGTTACCCACACAATCATATGTGGAATTTCTCTTTGAAAAGGAGAAAATATTTTCAAGGTGGCTACACTCGGAGGAAGTTTCTGAGTTTGAGAAACTCAGGTCACTTATCCTAAGGGAAGAATTCCTATCGTCCCTGCCTGAAGAGATACGACTACACATACTGGATAACAAGATAACTGACATCCAGAAGGCTGCTGAGTCGGCTGACACATATATGTTGGTGCATAAGAAACCACCAGTGTCAGGAAACCGCCTCAACCCCGTGCTTCCCCTTTTTGGCAGCAATCCTCCTGTTGGCCAACTTTTGAAGGCATCACAGTCCAGAGAGAAACCAAGATCAACTCTCAATCGTCGAGCAGTATGCCAGTTCTGCAAAAGGCCTGGTCACTATGTCAAGGACTGCTACAAACGTCTTCAATATAACAGAGAGGTGGTGCGTACTTCTGCGCACTATGCTCTATCCCCTCAAGCAGCCAGTTCAACTATGAACTCTAGAATTCAAAAGGACTCTAACCCTAAGTGTCCGCAAGAAGGTAGTCAAGTCTCCACACATTATGTGCAGTCACATTTTGACTGTTCTCGCCACCATACAGTTTCTTCCGAGTCTACCGATCTCGAGGGATCGAGAAAAGTTGACTTTTCATCTTTTATCGCCGAAGCCATCATTAGCAAACCAGGTGATCCGTTGTCTCAGCGGAATATCACCGTCCTAAGAGACACAGGAGCGTCACAATCACTCCTTTTGAAAAGTTCAATGGACATTACACCAGAGACGAACACCGGAAGGATTTCCATTATCCAGGGAGTGGGGACAAAATCTACTGTCGTCCCTCTACACAAGTTTGCCCTGAAACATCATCTCGTCGAAGGTGAGGTCATCTTAGGGGTGATAGATAGTATTCCTGTCCCAGGAGTACACCTACTTCTAGGGAATGACCTTGCGGGAAGCAAAGTATGCCCCTGTACGGTTTCAGACCCTTTGTCAACAGTTCCAGATAATGATTATGAACTGTATCCTGCATGTGCGGTGACAAGAAGCCAGACCAAACAATTGGCTGACACAACGTCTGAACCACACCTACCATCATCGTCAAGAAATTCGACTCCCAAACTGGAGTCTATGCTTCCTGAAAACACAAGTCTGGGCTTACCCCTGAGGATATCTCAGGAAGACATCATTAAAGCTCAACAAGTCGACGCGGAACTCAAAGCAACGGTCGAAAAATCTCTATCGTCTGACGATGGAGAATATTTCTCCGAGAACGGCCTCTTCTTTCGTCGCGCTATACCAGTGATTGCCTCACCGGCCGAACCATGGTTGGGTAAAAACCAGCTGTGGATCCCTCCACCTTATCGGCATGAAATACTTAAGCTGGCACATGACCATCCAATGTCAGCGCACCCAGGTGTCACTAAAACGACGGCGAAGATCAAAGAACTGTTCTTTTGGCCCAAAATGAGAAAAGATGTGTCGCGTTACTGTAGAAGTTGCACGAACTGTCAGTTGGCCGGAAAGCCAAACCAGACAATTCCTAAGGCCCCTTTGAGTCCGATTCCTGTATTAGAAGAACCCTTTTCAAAAATCGTCATGGACTGTGTAGGTCCCTTGCCTAAAACCAAGGCGGGCAACGAGTACCTACTTACCTTTATGTGTTCAAGTACCCGTTTTCCCGAGGCGATTCCCTTACGGAACATTAAGGCAAAGACTGTAGTCAGAGCCATGACCCGGTTCTTCACTACCTTTGGATTACCTCGAATTGTGCAAACAGATCAAGGCAGCAACTTCACCAGTCACCATTTTCAGGAAGCACTAGCCAAGCTAGGCGTTACCCACATCACCAGCTCAGCCTACCACCCCCAGTCTCAAGGCGTACTTGAGAGGTTCCACCAAGCCCTCAAAACCATGCTAAGGACATTCGCTAACAGTAACACCCAATGGGATGAGTCTGTTCCTTGGATTATTTTCGCCGCGAGGGACTGTGTCCAGGACTCTTTAGGCTACTCGCCTTTTCAACTTGTGTTTGGACATTCTGTCCGTGGCCCCCTGAAGCTGATACACGAACGTTGGACAGGTACCAGTGATCATCCAGTGGAAAACTTCGACGATTTTCACGTTCGACTGAAAGCCGTGTGCGAAATGGCTCACAAGAACTTAAGAAAGGCCCAAGTTAGAATGAAAGAACTGTATGATAAGAGTTCTTGTAAACGAACATTCAATCCAGGCGACAAAGTTCTTGTGCTAGTACCTAATCTGAACAATGCGTTATCCTTGAGATATTGTGGACCCTTTACTGTGCATTCAAAATTAAGTGATTTGAACTATGTTGTCAATACACCCGACAGAAGAAAGAAACAGACAGTGTATCATGTTAATTCACTGAAAAAATATTATGATAATTGTAACAATTTTCAATCCACAGCTAAAATTAATTTACCTGTATGTTCTAATGTTTCTGATGATGTGATACATGATAAATTGAAACCCCCAAAATTGGTAAATTCTTCCTTTTTAGATAATTTGAATGTCCACCTTATGCATTTGTCCACAGAAGAAAAGCCATAAATTGTCGGAAGTTAATTCTACTGTAAAGCTTTACAGAAATCACTTTTATGCAAGTTTTGTAAAGCTTCAATTACCTATTTGGGTTACCAAGTGGGAACGAACCAAGTTCGGCCCATTGAAGCTAAAGTAGATGCTATTGTAAAGTTGCCACCTCCCAAAAATTATAAAGAGATCAAAAAGTTCCTTGGGATGGCTGGTTACTATAGGCGGTTCTGTCAAAACTTTTCAGCTATTGCTGAACCTCTTACTGCATTATTGAAAAAGGGTGTTGAGTTTGAATGGTCCAATAAATGTCATGAAGCTTTTTTAACCATTAAGTCATTTCTATCAAATGCTCCTGTTATGGCTGCACCAAATTTTAGCAAGCCCTTTAAACTTGCCATTGATGCTAGCAACTTAGCCATTGGCTCAGTCCTATTTCAAGAAGACAATATGGGAATTGACCATCCCATTGCCTTTTTTTCCAGGAAGTTAAATGAGAACCAAAAGAATTATTCTACTATTGAAAAAGAAGCTTTAGCTTTGGTTTTATCATTACAACATTTTGAAGTCTATGTCTCTTCTTCAACCAATCCAGTCAGAGTGTTTTCTGACCATGATCCCCTGAAATTTACCTCTAAGTTAGGTCAGACAAATCAAAGAATATTGAGATGGTGCTTATATTTCCAAAATTTTAATCTGGAAATTTCACACATTAAGGGTAGTGATAATGTTGTGGCTGATTGTTTGTCAAGGATGTAAAATCTTGTTACACACATTGATCATGTGACATGCTTTGTGGTTCATTAGGACCATAAACAGGTTTTGTTTGAGTGTCACTCATATGAAAATGAGTGGTGTGAGTTTTGAATTTTTTTCAAAATTCCAATCCTGTTGAATATTTTGTTTATTTTCAGGTGTACCTTAATTAAAGGTGGTTTTTGGATTATATGTAATCTTTTATAATAAAATGTCTCATATGACTCAACTGATATTGTAGCTAGTCATTGAAATAAAGGTCTTACCCTGGCGGGTTTACCACTTTTAATATCCACATGGAAATATTGTAATACCCTTTTTTGAGGGATTTTGATGTATAATTACCTTTTGAAGGGTTACTCCCCTTTCACCAATTGTAAAAGTTGGAGTTACTTCCCTTTTATGTTCAGGGATATTTTCATCTGGTATTATGATTTTGATTGCCTACATTTGTAAAACATTTTTGTTATTTCATTGCCAGATTGGTCCCTTATGTATGTTTTTGTGGAACCTATCTGTCACTTCCAAAAAGGGAGGGGATGTGACCTACTTAGGTCGAGTCATTTTTATTTTGACATTGTATAATTCCTTATATGGAATGATGGTGTAACACCTGGGGTTTTTCCACTGACTTATTAAGGTGTTTGAGACATAGAAATTTTCCATTAAAATCTGATTGAATGATTCTGATCAGATGATTATCCCAACCAATGGCGACATGAGTTGAGGATAACCTCCCCTGTCACAGAAGTCTTTAATTGCACTGCACACTCGCAACACGAGGCAGTTTTATCTTGACCAGGCAGTCTACAGGCCGTTTTACCTTATTCAGGCAGCCGTCCATATTGTCCGGCTATAGAGTCTGACCATTTGAACGTGAGAGTACTTAAGACCTGTGTGTGCCTTGCTTTCTTAAGTTGATTTAGTCTTCTAGTTTAATATTACTTGTCGCTAAGTAAGTCTTGAAGCTACAGCAGTGTTGTGTGGCCTGTAGCTGTTTTTTAGACAGTGTAGAAATCTGTGATAGTGTTTTTTCCTACATTGTGTAAGTTGGGTTTTGATATTTTATACATTAAATATTTTATTTAGTTCAACCTTGTGTTCTGCCACTTCTGAGTTCGCTGATTAAAAGGTCGTATGTAGATTGGATGAGTGTTAATTACAATAGTATCACTAGCTTCCCTAGACATTAAATTCGAGCCCTAGTGTGTCGTTGTGTTAAGGTTCATCCACCTAGGCCGTAAGGTATTTACATATGACCCCGAAAAAAGAATCCGGGGACGTTCTCCTTCTATTTGGCTGATAGATAGGTTAACGTTACAGTAGTAACATCCTACATTCACAGCCACAGTCTTCAGGTTCAAGTTCTAGCACACAACACCCGTTCACCTTTTTGCTCTCCCTTTTATTCACTACTTTCTCTCCCCTTACGTACATGAGCGATCTCACCCAAAAACATGGAAAAACACATGACGATCGCTCAAACAGTCCTTCCGCTAGCCAGGTACTCTTCATTCATGCAACTTCATGTAAAACACAATAATATAAACATACATAATTATACAGTCTGTGACACTAAGCATGTAAAATATTAATGCATATCAACGCCTAGAAAATCTATGAAAAGTTATAATTGTTGTCAAAAAAAAAATCTTTAGAAAAATAAAATGTGTTGTATCTTCTTATCATCCAGTTGAGGTGCACCATCATCTTTATGAACAATATGGCGCAGCAGCGTTTGGTGAATCTGAAGACAACAAACCGCCACCACACCAGAGCAACATCACCACAAGAGTAGAGACAGACATCAGCAAGTTCCATCACTTGGAGGGTTTCACTGCCAGCTCTGTTCTAGTTGTCACATGGGTGTCCGCCAGACCTTTAACCACATCTCAAGTAAATTTTGTTTTACATGTCATTTTGGTGAAGTATAAAAACATAACCGCTTATATTTAACACACGTTTTATCAAATTACTATTTTTAATTTAGTTGTACATATCAGTTTGGTTAAGTATCAAAACATAACCACTTATATTTAACTAAAGATTTTATCAAATTACTATTTTTAAGACAACGGAGAACAATACTTTTCAAGCAGTTTTCGTTAGTGGCTGGAAAAGTGAATCAAACGGAGGCATGACCTTAGCTGGTAAATAATTTTTTTTTTAAATTCTTTAAATTCATTTTATGTGGTATGAAAGACTATGTGGGCCCTTCAGTTTATCTGCATGTCGGCCAATTAAATTTTACATTAATACATAGTCATTTATTATTTAAAAAATGTAAAAGGATAAAATTTGTCATGAAAAATAACATTTTTATTTAAATAATTAAACTTTAGAATTCTAACATGTTTATTGTCATTATTATTTTTCCCTTTCGTTCCTTGTGAAGAATCCTTAGTCAAACCTTTAAATTCCCCCAGAGTCTCCTGTCACACTTTTCACCTGTTCCAAATGCCTTTCTATCCTTTCGGCCTCCTCCATCAAACTGTGCCGCCATGTATTCCTGGGTCAACCCCTGCGTTGTTTGCTCTGGAGGTTCCACTCCAAGGCCTGTCTGGCAGTTTTTTCCCAGTTCTTTCCCAATCCATCGCTATTTCTCTGAATGATTTGAATGATTTGCCTTTCTATTTATACCTACTCACCCATCTACCATAGTTGTGTGCTCACTACCTCGTCTTACCAATTACAAAAAGATATTCCTTACGTATCTATTTATTTTAAAAAATAATGATTTTTGTAGTTGTCTCTGTTGTTTCCATGTCTCTGATCCATACAACAGGAATGGTTTATGGTTGGAGCTAAATATTCTTATTTTAGTGTTTAGAGATATTTAACAATTTCCAGATTGTTCTAAGATTAGCAAACGCCCGTCTGACCAGGCCTTTTCTGCGTTTGACGTCTTTGTCAGTTCCTCCCGACACATTGACCATACGTCCGAGATATATAAAGCTGTCTACTTGGTCAATGTTTTGGTTTTCTACTCATTTTCCAGTCTCGCTCAAAACTTTCTCTTGTGTGTCTTGGAGCCTGTGTAATAGTAAGGCTATGTGATAAGAAATTCTAAGTCTTCAAGTTTTTGTGTCATGGTCGATGGAATTCCTTTGCTCGAATCTGCTCGTGGCCCAATTTAAAAGTAGCAGGAATAGTAATGGTGAGAGGAGACATCCTTGTTTAACTCCTGTTGCGACATGAAGTGGGGAAAATCATCCTACAATTTTTACTTTCTCGTATACAGAGTATAGAGGAAGTATTGTAATCTTGCACAAAAATCACATGAGATTTTGAGTTGTCAGCGTTAAATGCGTAGTCGAGTCGGAAAAACTGGGCTTTGCAATTCTGTCCGTATTGTGTGTATGTGTGTCTGTGTGTCTGTAAACAAGATAACTTGAGTACCGTTACAGCTAGGTTGATGAAATTTCATATACAAGTATTATATCAAATTTGTTTGCGCTTTTTTTCTGTTTGCGCTTTTTTCCGCTTGCGCTTTTTTCTGTGTGCGCTTTTTTTCTGTTAGCGCTTTTTTCTGTGTGCTCTTTTTCCCGTTGCGCTTTTTTATTTGCGCTTTTTTTTCCGTTGCACTTCTTTCTGGGAACACAATGTCTAACATGACAAGCAACACGTTTTTTCCTGTTTTCAGAAAATGAAACATCGTTTGTCATATACATCTACCAACAAGGAAAAATGAACTGGAAATTTATTCCATGAAGACTTATTCAAATCGGATTTTCAACAGGAGATAAAAGAAAAGTTTTACCAAACACAGATTCAAAAATTGTAACGGAGCTGGATAAAAACAGATTAAATACAGGTCAGACGAAAGCACAATTAACAAATATGTGGACTTATGATCACATAATCAAAGGTTTAAATTACACTCATTCAGCAAACAATGAAACGACATGAACAGCAGAGGCGTAGCGACCCTTCCCGGCGCCCGGGGACAAACTTTCGATTTGCACCCCCTCCTCGAAATTTCCATTTGCACCCCCCTCAACCTTTCAATTTATTTTTCCATCCCATTTTGGCGCCCCTAAGGTCGGCGCCCGGGGACATATGCCCCCCCCCCCCCCCACCCCCTCGCTACGCTACTGATGAACAGTCTCTATCTAAGCCCATGCTAGTTTGAAACAAACATCATGCTTTAAAAGCTAAAATGCACGCATTTCAAATGAGATTTTAAACAATTAGGCCCGAGTAGTAAGTACAGAAACAAAAACAATGTACAAATACGCGTATCTAGGAATACAAATAAATTATAATCCAGCCATATTTAAACATCTTCATATTAGGAATGAAGTCTACACCGCAGAGGCGGGGGGCAGGGCATTGACACCAATTGGGTGGTGGTGACACCAAGCAAAAACTTGCAAAACATATAGAAGAAAAATGCTTTTTGCCAGTTCAATTACCGATTAATTAGAGTTAAAAGGGTGGGGGCGCACTATGACATAAACCTGCTATCTATCTAGAAAACCATGAAACGTTGCTTTGTTAAAAAAATATGATCACGAATTCACGAGATTTGGCAAAATGGGAGAAGGGGTGACACCAATTGGATATATATATATATATATATATATATATATATATATATATATATATATATATATATATATATATATATATATAGCCTATAATATTTTTATTTGGTGTGATGGGGGGGGGGGGGGGTTACACTATGAGGTGCCGTACAGAGTGACACCCGACCAGTGTTTCTTCCAGACTTTTTTCTCCGGGGGGGGGGGGGCACTTGAAATTTTCGGGGGGGGGGGGGGGGCGGTAGACTTTCTTTGGGGGGCGGAAACTGTTAAAAGTATATATTTTCTATATAAATTATATAAATTTCATTTCCTTCGGGGGGGGGGGGGGAGGGGGGCGGTAGAATTTTTTCGGGGGGGGGGTTCCGCCCCCCCCCCCCCTCCCCCGAAGAGATGCCTGGAAGAAACTCTGCACCCGACATAGCGACCACACTGCTACAACGTTAAATGAATAGTTTTCTAAATTTCTAACAGTTCAATTAACTCCGTAAGAAAGATAAATAGCGAAAAATGAAAACATTACATTAGGTATGCCTCATCAAAGAGAGATGACGTGTTCTTAGCTATATATTTAGATCTTTTCTCAGATTATGTAGGGGTATTCTACTCTGAAGTTGGAAGTGTCAAAAGTCCACCACAGTCTTGCCATCGGTATCTGTCTAAAAACGTCAAACTCTTGCAAGACGGGGTCTATGAGTACGAGAAAGAAAATCTGTACAAATGCCCGTGTACCCTAGAGAGATTGGGTCGTCAATGGGAGCTCTATGAAAAAAGAGGCGTCAATAAGGAAATACACTGTTACGCCATAAGCATGGTAGCCAAATCTCGATTGCTTCAAAACAATAAAAGAAATAAGGTAAAATGGAATGTGAACATTTTTTTAGACTCAATAATGGACACAAGCGAGAAATGTCTCAAAGGTATTTGAGAGGTGTATAAATTAATTTAAAATTCTTGCACGGCGTAGTTACAATTAATATGGTTATAAAATCCTGTCTGTCTGGTTTTTTTCGGACTTTACTAAAGATTGGACGTATTTGATGTTTTTAATATTTTCGGTAACTAAATAGAAATTTAAAAAAAGGCAAAAACAATTTGGTTTTCACGTGTAATGGCGACATAAACAATGGCATCCTGCTATTGGATAGGCCGACAAAAATTTTATTGTACACATTGTAAGCTAAAAATAGAAAACTAGGTCATGGGGTTTTTAATTTGCATTGTTATTTAAAAACTTGATCTGCAAAGTTTTGTAAACAAATAGTTATCGATCACTAAGTTACTGTACAGCCAATCAATATTTGTCTTACGAAAGTGAAACATCCGGTTATAACTTAGGCTTGATGAAAATAAATAGAAATGTAGCCTTAAACTCAACAAATTATTTTCTAGTTCTCTGGATTTGCAACTTTTATAGCATTTATTCCAAAAATATAAAATTTCTAAATTAATTTTAGGCTTAAGTTTTTATTTTTTATTTTTTATTCCATGACAACAACACTATGGAAGGAATCTCGTCAACTCGCTTGTCTCCATTGCTATTAATTATGACTACACTTATCTTTTTTTTTTACCATGTCTTAAATCCTGTACAATAATAATTATGAATTATTTTACTGAATAGGCTACATATCAATAATAAACAGTTTATTTCAACGTTGATACTAGTAGCACGGGGGACTTTTTCACATTTGTCGTGTATAACAAACTTAAAATGATGTATAAATCAATTAAAACCATGCAGATCTAAATAGGATTTGCCCCCCCCCCCCCAATAATTATAAAAGGATATGGTAATTACATAGAATGAGCAGTACGAGAAACATTGATATTTTGCAAAAACTCAGTTTATGAGGTGATAACATTATTTTTACTTTCTCGTATATACGAAGTATAGAGAAAGTATTGTAATCGTGCAAAAAAAAAATCGAGATTTTTTACAAATCTCGACGTTTTACATCTCACTGATACGGAAAAACATAATTTTGCAATCTTGTCCGTATGTCTGTGTGTCTGTGTGTGTGTGTGTGTAAACACGATAACTTGAGTACCGTTACAGCTAGGTTGATGAAATTTCATATATAAGTATTTTATCAAAATCGTTGATCAGTATAATTTTTTGAGCGATTTCCGATAACAGGAAGTGATACTTTTCCTACTTTAAAATTTTCAAAAGCCTATAACTTGAGTACTATTTCAGATAGATAAACGCAATTTCACATATAAGTAAAAGATCTAATTCTCTACCTTCTATTAAACTTTGAGTCATTTCCGTTGAACGGAAGTAGTAATTTACGCTACTTCCGATTTCTCAAAAAACTAATGTAAATTTTTAAAGTACTAAAAATATTGCGCACTATTATGCACTTTTTTTATTTAGCGTTCACTTGGTGTGCAATTCTTTTGTCTACGAGATTTTATTCTATTTTTAAAACTTTAAGTATTTAAAATGGATTAAAAATCATGTCTATAGCCCGAGTTCCCATCCCCTGTTATTTTATATAAAAATATTCGAGAAAGTTTAGGGGAGATCACTCCCGGTTTGTTTTAGTTTACTTTGAGAAATATTTCCTGCTATATGGTGTATTAATTGATTAGAAAGATCATTCTTTAAATTGGCGCTAAATACATGATGTCAATTATTGGCTGACTGCCCACTTTATATTGAAATGTATTTCCGTAAAGGGATATAACCAAGCTAGTTGGATGTAACCGCAAATTTTAATTGAGTTCCTATTGTTGGTGGTAAAATCGCGAATCATTAAAAAAAATATGTACAAAATTAGGATGAATACTAGATTCTTTGATCTATTTTCAGCTTAAAAATATTTTTAAACAAACGCAACAATGTGATGTCACAATTTTGAACCTTTACCACTTCGTCACACACTGTCAGAAAGTCATAACTTACGAGTGACGTAGTTTTAAAATAAACCCTTAGTAATTTAGTAAACATTATTTTAACTTATCAATAGGAAGTAGACTCCATATCATTTTTTGGGGCATTATCGAGAATGTTAGACAAACCAGCATCTAGTTTTATACTTTTATTGTTGTTTGTTGTGTTGTTTAGAATTGACGATGTTTATATATAAAGCTGTCTCTCGATTGGTTTGGTTGCACGATATCCTCTAAAACATGCGGATAAATGTCGCACAAAGGTCTATGCTATAAATAAGTTCACTGTACACATTATGTTTTAGCTCTGCTGTTATAAAATGAAAAGCCCTGAGAGCGATACGTGGCAGGACTGGGAACAAAGTTGGAGAGATTCATCCTACACGTACGGCCATGTTCTCATCAACGACCCCTGGCCGTGGGTCAACTTCAACAACATGGAAGCTTTGGAGAACATTGAGGCACACACGCTGTGCTGCGAACACTCGCCGAAACTGATGTGTGATCGGTTCTACAAGATCTTCCCTGACATGAAGTGTACAGACTACGTCTATTTTGTTCCAGGTACGGTACTAGAAGTTTCAACAAACAGATAATTATATTTACAGTATTTTCATATTTTTCTGGTTAATAGTTAGTTAATTAATAAATAAAATAAAAATAAACTTCAATTTTAAGGCTTAGTTTTTTTTTTACTTTATTAGAATAGCAAAAACAATGATAAATGTATGTTCTTTATAAAAGCCTCAGCATTAGGAGATCCACACATTACAACACTTGATGGGTTCACCTACACAATGAATGGGTGGGGCGAGTATATTATGTTGGAGATCCCAGCTGCAAATTTTTCTTTTCAGGTGACAGTAAAGCTATTAGTATTTTTGCTATTTAAATATAGGCCTAATGCTTAGAACTAAATACGTTTTTTAAAAAATGATATAAAAACAATAATTTACTATTCTTCTGGTTTTTTTAAATATATTTACATAATTCTATTCATATTTGTAATAGGCCTACATCTTTTTCCTTAATTATGCTTACTTTTTTTATTAGTGCTGAGTGTTTTTGTATTAAATACTTTTAAAGATATTGTTTAATAAACAATGTAAATCTAACAGTAAAATAAGAGTATTCAACTTGGCACAGAACAAAACACGTAAACATTTCCTCAAAAAAAACTACAGGCCAGAACAGGACGAGCAGAGACCAGCGATGGAAGACTCACCAACGCCACCGTGTTCACAGCTTTGGCTGCCAGAGAATCCACAGAGTCAAGTCTACAAGTACAGCTGGCACCAAACAGTTCAAGTATGCCATTCTTAATTTTACGTACAACAAAATGTTAATTTTCCATTTGTTTTCTATTGAAGAAACAACTTATTTTCTATTTGCTTTAATAATTCAAGTAGTCTACATTATTCCAAATTTTCTACACAAGAACACTTTTAATTTCTATTTTTTTAATAATTCAAATAAGCCTACACATTTTAAGAATTTTATAAAAGAAACCTTTTATTTTCTATTTGCTTTAAATTAACACACTTTTTAATAGCAAATGTTAAACTGCTTATTAAAACTCTAATACAATTTAATTTATGTAATGTAAAAATTCATCGTTTGATAATTCTCCTGATGTCTAGCAATAGTGATCTATTTTGTTGTAAATACATTTTTTTTCACTTTCTGAGGGCGTTGAAGATAACTTTTTTTATTCATAATACTATTTGTATCACTATGTCTCCTTTTTCTATTCACCAATGCTCTATTCTGTTTTTAAAACTGGGGTTTGAGTGGAAAAAAGTTAAACTATTATATCTTATTTTAGATTTTACTTTCAGCTATGATTGTCTACATTAATGGAATAGACTACACCTATGACTTCTATGAAACACCTGATTTTAGAACAAATTTGCTCACCATTAGTGTTATTAGGGAAAACAGAATGAACAAAACAAAACTGATTGCATCATTTCCATCAGGTTAGCCATCAACTTAGCTGAATAGATTTTTTAAAACTTAGCAACACAAAATATAGCTGCTGTAACCTTCTACATAAAGTTTGATATTTTATTTACTACACATTCCTATATCCAGGTGTAACAATTAAAGTTACTGCAGCACTTAAAAGTTTGGAAATAGAGACAGAGGTTGATAAAACTTGGATGAATCAAACTATCGTTGGACTTTTGGGAAACTTTAATGGCAATGTTACAGATGAGTTTACACTTCCCAATGGGACAGTCCTGCCGATAAATATGACAGAGAAAGACATTTTCTACAAATTTGCTAAGCTATGTATGTAGTATTTTTACCCTATCATTAAATTTAAGAAATAGTTACTAGTTCATATTTAAGTCAAGTAACTTTGATGCTGATAAATTACTAATCTAATAAAAATTCTTTCACCAAGGGGAAGTCACCCAGAGTAGTTCAATATTTTCCTATGACAAGCTAGAAAACTCAAGTACCTACCAGCACCCAGAGTTTGTTCCCATGTTCCTAGATGAGGAAGATCGTGCCACAGTTGAAGAAGCCAATAGGATCTGTGGCAACTTAAGCTATGCATGTATTTATGACTATGTTGCTACACTGGACCAAATGTTTGCACAATCAACAAAGGCGTCAGTTGCTAAACAAGTACTACAGAAAGATGCTTTAGGTAAGACATTATAGCTACAAATGTGAATTATTTATTTATTAATTTTAAAACTATTTGCTAACATTTTTTCAGCATTGTTTAAGCCAATATGATATATTTTGATGTGTAATGAAACAGAGCTAACTATTTAACTGTGCTTGATCTCAATTTTACAGAAAATAGCCCTCCAAAATTAAAGGTAGACAACAATACTTTGAACACAAATGGCTACCTAGCACTCACTGAAGGTGTAGAGTCATTTTTCTTTGTTGAAGTGGAGGATGATGACCATGACCCTGTAACCATAGAAACAGTGGGAAACCTCAAGGGCACAACGGTTAACCAACAGGAGAAGAAGATTTCTGTGAAACCAAATGTGACAAGTCCTATAACACTGGGGTAATTTGTTTTTCTTGAGAATATTTCATTACATTCTGTAGCTGACAAAAACTTTGAGAGATTCAGTAGTTTTAAACGGCACTCACTACACAATCTGTAAAGCTTTAAACGCTAACATGCTAGTTATTGTTTTATTCTGGTATGTGCCTAAGAATGTGAAAATGTGTAGTGGTAGTGGTGTAAATTTTAAAATTGTTTTATATTTATAGCACAACTAATTTGAAAAAAAAATATTTAAACTATGTTTAACTTTTGTTACATTTTTTGAGCTGCCATTGTTTCTTTGATTTAGAATTCGAGCATTGGACTCTAAAGGAGCCTACAGCTCTATAGAGAACATCATCATCTCAGTGTGTACCAACTGTAGTAACCATGGCCACTGTGACCCAGGAAGTGTTAGAGAGTTCCTCAGTTTTTACTTCCTGGTTCTGCAGTGTATCTGTGACCCTGCTTACACAGGTAATACAAAATTACTCTATTAATTTATATTAATAATCTTTTTGATAAATGTACTGATTACCAGATATCTTAACATTTGTAAAGTTGTTGAAAAAAGGTTACAATCATCACTAGGTATCAACTGTGAGACAGAAGTGGACGCCTGCGCCACCAGACCATGCTCACCTGGACAAAACTGCACGGACCTGACGGCAGCTCAACAAGGCTCCAACACCACTGGCTACATCTGTGGACCTTGTCCTGCTGGTTACACTGACCAGGCGGGCAGATGTGTTGGTAAACTAATGCTTTCTTTTCATAAAAGGAAAATAACAATATAGTCTGCTAAAGTTTTGAAATTCAATTCAAAGACAAAACAACATATTCTTTAAAAAAATGAAATAAACAGGGAGTGATCTCCCCTAAGCTTTCTCAAATATTCTTATAAAACTCGGAATATAGACATGATTTTTAATTACTTAAACTTTTAAAAATAGAATAGAATCTCGTAGAAAAAAGAATTGCGTGCCAAGCGAACGCCAAAACAAAATAAGCATAATAGTGCGGAATATTATTAGTACTTTATAAATTTACATGCTTTTTTGAGAAATCGGAAATGGCGTAAATTACTACTTCCGGTCAACGGAAATTACTCAAAATTGGATAGAAGGTAGAGAATTAGATCTTACTTACATGTGAAATTTCATTTATCTATCTGAAATAATACTCAAGTTATAGGCTTTTGAAAAATTCAAAGTAGAAAAAGTACCACTTCCGGTTATCGGAAATCGCTCAAAAGTGGATACTGATCTACGATTTTGATAAAATACTTATATATGAAATTTCATCAACCTAGCTGTAACGGTACTCAAGTTATCGTGTTTACACACACACACACACACAGAGACATACTGACAAGATTGCAAAATTATGTTTTTCCATATCAGTGAGGTGTAAAATGTCGAAATTTGTAAAAATCTCAATTTTTTATGAAGATTATTGTGTGTGTTTTTCCATTAAGCAACTTGTTACTAATTTCAAAAGATTAGTAATCCATTTGTTCTGATTTAGTTCCATTTAACACAAATTCATAAGGCATTTTTATACTATGTTTTTCTTGCTGAAAATGAATTAAAAGTATTCTGCAATGTTGTGATCAGATGAAGATGAATGTGCAAGTGATCCTGACATTTGTGACCAGCAATGTACAAACACAGAAGGCTCCTACTACTGCAGTTGTAACACTGGGTACAGGCTGGATCAGATAAATAAAAGATTTTGTTCAGGTCAGTTGTCTGATTTGTCTACAACTTGAGATTCATGTTTACATTAGATGTTTGCTAAAAATAATTCACTTTAGTTCTAAATATTTAGCTGCTGTTTGCTGTTTACGGAGGCTCTGCTGTAATTTCAGATATCAACGAATGTGACGAGAAAATGTCAGGCTGTAAACAACTGTGTGTGAACACTGAAGGCAGCTACAATTGTTCCTGCTATGAAGGATATCAACTAAACAATGATAGATTTACTTGTGACTTGGGTAGGTCTATTGAAGGGAAAAATGTGAACAGTAAAAATAAAAAGCATATTTTATCAAATGCCGAAAATAGAGTGAATGAGTTACTGTTTGTTGTAGCAAATATAAAATGATTTGTAAATGTGTAAAATGCAATCTTCCTTGTCTAATATATAAAGCTCAATTCTATATGTAATAAGTTTGTCGTTGACATACTTTGATGGATTTAAGTAATAGATTATTAAAGTCCTTATGGTCTAAATTTATGAGTTAAAAAATTAATATTGAAAGTTTTGGGAAATAATTTTCATTTATCAAACTGAAAGTAATAATTTTCGGCATGTTTATTAAACACAAGTTTTAAAAAATATCATCTTTTACAAAAATTCTAATTATGTCTTTATTTAGTCCTATAGCACTTACTTCCCTTTGATAAATTAGGAAAACACAATTACTTCCCTTTATAAAAAACATTGCATTAGTGGAAAAGAATTTACTTTTTATTACTTTGTTTAGGTGTTGGGAAAAAAATAATTACATAATTAGCGGGAATTGATCAAGTGCAAACGTTGTAGGTATTTTACGAATAAGCTTGGAGTATTATAATTGTTCATTAAATTGAAACAGGTGCAAAAGACTATGAATAAGTTGGGGTACTATAGTCGTTTATTAAGCTAAAACAGGCGATTCCGCCCCGGGCTAGACTGTGAGCACTTTGCGTTTATGTTCGCGTTAGTGTTTTCTTTGTGTTTAGGTTGGGTTTGCGTTAGTGGTTGCGGTTTGATTTGGTTCGTTTTTGTTTTTTCTTTTTTCGTTTTTGTTTGTGTTTTTTTCTTTGGGTTTGTATTTGTGTTTTTGGTTGGTTTTGCGTTTGGATTTGGTTTGTTTTCGTTTGCTTTTTCGTTTTTTTTTGTGTGTTGGTATTGATGTTTGTGGTTGTTGTTAGGTTTTTGTTTTCGTTTGCTTTTTTGTTTGTTTTTTCTTTGTGTTTGTATTGGTGTTTGTGGTTGTGTTTGTTGTTAGGTTTTTGTTTTCTTTTGTATTTGTACTTGTGTTAGCGTTATGTTTGCGTTTTGTTGTTTTGGTTTTGGTTGGTTGTGGTTTGGGTGGGCAATGCCGGGTTTATGATGATTACTAAACACACAGGTAATGGTCTTTAACAGGAAGGTTTTTCACAGAAGCCAGAGCAGGGCCTGGCCGGCTAGTTAAATTATAAAATACATGTGACATCCTACATTACAAATTAGTAAATGTGTCAAATGTAATCTTCAGGGTGAAATTAGAAAATACATGACGTGATGTCCTACATTTCCGTTTCAGATAAAACTGTAATAGACAAATGTCTCAACTGTCAGCACACATGTATCCTGAGTAGACAGAATGGAACTTCTATCTGTCAGTGTGATAAAGGATATGTGACAGATCCAAACAACACAACAGAGTGTCTAGGTAAGGTACATGATTGACAGCTATAAATCTGCTTCAATCAACATTTTGACTCAACTTATATCAATAAGTTATTACTTGGAAATAAATATAATTTAATATTTCTTATTTTAATATAATTTAATGGAAATGTCTTGAAATTTCTACTGACAACATATATGAAGCTCACTTGATTAAAAATTACACCATCACAATGACCATAATGAAATAATGAAGTTAAATTTGTGATTATTTCAGATGTGGATGAATGTAGCCTGGCGAATGTGCCTTGTAGCCAAACATGTCAAAACACAAAAGGCAGCTTTCATTGTTCATGTTATCCAGGTTTCCAGTTGCTGACAGATGGTGTCTCATGTCAAAGTAAACATTGACTAAATAAAATAATATAACATATTTAATATCAAGTATTACATTTGTGAATCAAAACTAATTGTATATGCTGTTTAAATTAGTACTTTGAAAACATCAAACTAAATATAGCAGACGATTGTATACATTGTTTTCAGAATGTGAACTACCCAATTATGGAGAAAACTGTACAAGTAAATGTGACTGTAAGGGACGAGGTAACTGCGACACAGTAAAAGGTTGTATGTGTGATGATGGCTGGACAGGGGTCAGCTGTGATGTTGATGAAGATGAATGTGCTGACCATACAACTTGTCCTGAGGGATTTATCTGTGAAAACACAATTGGCTCTTTTCTGTGTAAATGTCCAGATGGCTACGTGCAACAGTCTAATAGATGCATTGGTATGTAGACCTACAGCTGTCACAGGTTTAGCTTAATCAAACTCTAAACTACAAGCCGACATCTGCTTACTATACTAACCTTCTGTACCATGGTTATTATGGTGTCCATAATGTATAACCAGTGGCGGAACTATCATGCTGTCAGACCCCGAAATGTGTATGTGTGGTTGAGGGGGGGGGGGGAATGGAGTCCGTTTAGGGCCTAATTCCGACCAAACAAAAAGTATAATGTTTTTCGTACACATGGATAGCGGTTTTGTAAAAAACAAGCCGGTCTACTATAGCAGTGATTGTTCTAAAGTAACCAACACACACTTTTGCGTAGAAAAATATTTTAAAATCTACATGAGCTGTAGTTTGACAAACGTTCACACTACTTCCATGACTTATTGCCGGGTGCCCATAAAGCTACTTTAAAATAGTTTTGTACTAAGTAAAATAAAAAGCAATTGCTTCTCTTAACAATTATTCAAATAAGACATAGGCCTACTGAAGAATAACTTAGTTATAAAAAGAAATGTATTCAATAATATAATATATTTAATAATATAAATTAAAAAATCATGAAAATAAAAAGAACATAAGACACCAATATACAAATCCAAATTATGTGTTTATATACTTTTGACCAGCATTACTGATATAAGAGTTTTCTTTTCCTATTTTTTTTTTTTTTGGAAATACATGAAATATTACACAAATATTTTTAAAACATGTTTATTTCACGCCCAAAATGAGTTTGGAAATATTTTGTCTGGGTTGTTGTCTCAGGATGGTTATACTTTGCAATGGCATAGGTTAGTTAAACTACTATATTAGGAAATAAATTAATTTAAAATTTAGTGAAGCAGGCTACTTATATATATATATATATATATATATATATATATATATATATATATATATATATATATATATATATATATATATATACACATATGTATATATAAATATGTATACATATGTATATATACATATATATATATATATATATGTGTATAACTTTGTGTATAACTTTCTATAATTATTAACATTGCATACAACTTTACAAGGATACAAAATACTCCAAATGGCATGCATGCTAATAAAAAGTTAAAAATAACACTAGAGCATAATAGTTTATTCTTTTATTTTACTTAATTAATGCTTTATCCTACGCTCATGTAAATATTAATATATTTTATGTTGTAATTAAAATTTAAATGTAAGTCTAACTTCATATTATACTAACTTTAACTAATTCAGTATTTAAAGTGTGCCACACAAAAACATATCTAATTAGAATATTTTGTTTGTGAAAACACTACAGACATAGATGAATGTGTGGACATTGGTGTCAACATGACCTGTGACCTCCGTGTGGAGGTTTGTCTCAACACTGCTGGTAGCTACAGGTGCGAGTGTAAAACAGGTTATGCACGGGATGTCAAGTCTTTGTGTCAAGGTTAGTAACCTATAATCTTGTACAGCTGATCATTATTTACTATATACATAATAATACATATATCTGTTCACTCATATTTAAATGTTCTTTTTCATTACATTTTTTGATGCCAAAGCTTGTAATCCCAATTATTGTTAGAGATTTTTTTAAAAATATAAACACCTACTTTAAATTTTTGCAAAACTAAAAAATGTGTAGAACTGTCCTAGCTCAAACTGATCATCAATAAATCTGCAGATATAGATGAATGTGCTGCAGATAAAACATTTATTTATCCACCACAGATATAGATGAATGTGAGCTTCAGATAGATGGATGTCAACACATCTGTCACAATGTGGATGGGAAATACAACTGTCAATGTCAACCTGGATACATACTGAGAGAAAATCGTCGAGACTGTATCAGTGGTAAGTCAGTGAATACTTATCACATCAAAAACTGTGAAATATTTTAGAAAAGATTATAAAAAACAGTAGCCAATACAAGAAGCTGTGTCTAAGATTGTCTTACAAATAAATATTTAAATATTTTGTTACATATTTAGTGAAAGACTTGTGTGCAGGAGCTAATCTAAACTGTACTCAGGGATGTAGCTTAGATAAGAACAATCAGCCGACTTGTATTTGCTATAGAGGATATAATAAAACTATTGAGAATGGGGCACAGTTATGTAAAGGTAAGCAGAAATATTGTGTTTTATTGACCTCTATTTTGGCTGCAGTATTTTTATATGTATATATATATATATATATATATATATATATATATATATATATATATATATATATATATGTTTGTATATCTGTATTTTTTATATTGTCTATAAACAATTTACCGTCCCTGAGTCCACCCAACTCTGATGGGTACCTAACTCACGTTAGGGAAAGTAAAGGCGGCTGGGCATAGTGCTGACCACGCTATCTCTTTATATGCCAAGGTCACAGAAACAAGCGAACTCTACTTCACTTGCCCCATAGACCGTCAGGTTTGAAAGGGAAACTTTACTTTTTTTTACTACTTATAAACAATTTAATTATATAAAATTTTAATTTGATAATAAGTGTAGGCTTGATACATTTTAAAATGATTTTATGACCAGTCACTGTTATTTACTCTATAAAATTAATGTCAAGTGTGTCTGTAAGTTATAAGTAGCTATAAATGGATGCTCATGAAATGAAACAAGCTTAGTTTTGATTGACTCTAAATGTTTGTGATCTCATGAGCAGATAAAGATGAATGCGCATCAAATGAAACAAACAAATGTTCTTACAAAGATAAATGTACCAACACTGAAGGTGGCTACACCTGTTCCTGTCCTGCAGGATTTAGTCTGGACAACAATGGCTGGAATTGTTTAGGTACTTTGTTTATCTATTCCTTTCTAATTTAAACATGTTTCATTAATTTTATTCCATAATAGTATACTGAATTAGGCATCACTGGGTATACTGAATACAAACAATGGATGACTATTGCCATGCTTTTGCAGAAATTTTAGGTTTTTCTCCTGGCAATACAATTATTAAGATTAATGGAATAATTGAATTGAATAAGATTTTAAATAATGACACAGTTTTTCAAAAACATTTTCAACCTTTTTTATTAGGGATACTTGAAACATGTATTTATCTATGTAATAAATTGTATCCCAACCAGCATGTACTGGCGACACCTGGGGCATCAACTGCCAGCACAGTTGTTCCTGTGGTTTAGGAGCAGAGAGCTGTAGTCCTGTGTCTGGATGTGTTTGTAAACATGGCTTCACAGGTAAAGTTTTGATTCACAGGTTTAGTCAGGTTTACAAATAAAGTTAGGTTCACATGTAATTTTTTAATATCAATCTATTTTTTGATAGTCAATCCTGATTCACTGATATTATTTTTCTACCTCTTGTTTATACACATTTTTAAAATCTTAATATCTCAAAATGTAAATGATAGTTGTGTATTTCATCTTTCCACTTTACAGGTTTTTATTGTGAAACCGATATTGATGAGTGTATAGAAGGATCAGTCATTTGTAAGAGTAATGAAGTTTGTGTCAACATACCTGGCAATGCTAGTTGTGTCTGCAAGAGTGGCTTTAAGATCAGTGACAACAATTCTTGTTCTGGTAATAAAAAGTGTATTATGTTTTTTTACACATTGTACCATTTATAAATAGGCTACTATATATATACATTCATATATATATATATATATATATATATATATATATATATATATATATATATATATATATATAATATAAGCGGGCAAGTAGTGTGTCAGTCCTTCCTTCCGTCATCGCTATAGCTTTTAGAACCATAAAAGTAAACATTCGCACCACGCAGTGCTTTTCAGTGCACCGCAGTGTCTTATTATAAGTATTAGAGTAGGGTTTGTTTATATAGTGACATAGAGCTATTTTATAATTTCCACTGTTTGTACAATTTTGCATAACTTAAAGAAAATATTAAATACACGCACATTGCTAAAACATATTAAAAGAATCAATGTCAAATATAGTTTTCGTTAATATTCATAGAAAAAGTGGATACATTTTAATAACATAATAACAGCAGGGTAGAAAAATCAAATTAATTTAACTCTTTTTTTCTAATTTTGACAAAGGAGGTAATTTAAAAATACATTAAACTCACGCTAATAAAAAATGTGAATGCAAATATACGTTCGTCATAGAAGGAATTAGTGTTGCAATAATATAATTAGCAAAATGTGAATGCAAATTATTCGGATGTGTAAGAGGAAATTATTGTTAGAAAATTATAATTAGCATGGATTGATAAAAGGCAATCTTTTATTTATTTTATTCACTGAATGTAGGCCCTACTATTTATTACTTATAATTTTTAATCAACTATTCAGCACTATTATAGGCGCGTCATCGCGTTCATTAGGTGCACAATGGTTTTAGTTATGAAACTCTATTGTAAATTTTTAAAATTTAAAGTACTGGAAAAAAAATGCGTGAATGGATAAAGTGAAATATAGTAGGTAAAACACGGATATTTTAAATACTGCCTATTATTTATACTGTTTACTAATTATTATTCTGTCGGTTTGCGGACAAGCTGGGGGTTTTATAGGAGAGGCGTAGCGATGGGGGGGGGGGGGGGGCACATGTCCCCGGGTGCCGACCTTAGGGGGCGCCAAAGTGGGTTGGAAAAATTTGCGAGGGGGGGGGGTGGAAATCGAAAGTTTTAGGGCGGGGGGGGGGGACAGGGGTGCAAATCGAAAGTTTAAGGGGGGTGCAAATCACCGGAAAGGGCGCGATTTGGCGCTAAGGGCTAGACTGTGAGCAATATGCCTTTATGATTGCATTTAAATTGTGTTTATGTTATGAGTGTTGTGTTTGTTTTTTGTTTGTGTTTTTTTTTTTTGCGTTCGTTTGTGTTGTGTTTAGTTTTGTCCTGTTCCCAAGTTGGTACATTTAAAAAAGATTTACCGTGGCGGAGCACGGGATGCAGCTAGTATATATATACAGAGAGAGAGAGAGAGAGAGAGAGAGAATGAGAGAGAGAGATGGTAGAATTGTATTAAATTTTGACATTTGAGATTTTTTAAAAACGTTTGGTGAAATAATTATCTCAAAATTATTTATCAAGTTAACTTTTCTTCAAACCATAATTTTTTAAAATATGGTTTTGTTGCTAATGGAAGATAATTTCTAGCATTGCTTTAACTACCAGATATTGATGAATGTGCTGAGCCAACATTAAACAACTGTACACAAGTGTGTAACAACACAGAGGGAAGCTACTCATGTTCTTGTCATGCTGGGTACTCTTATAACAGACCAACTGACAGTTGTGAAGGTAAATTCAATATCACAAATATTATGATATTCAAGATATCCATAACCTGTAAGTCTCGAGTTCGAATCCAGGTTCAAGTCAGTAGGACGTCCCTCAGTCCACCCAACTCTAATGGGTACCTAACTCGGGTTAGGGAAAGTAAAGGCGGCTGGGCATAGTGCTGAGCACACTATCTCTTCATATGCCGAGGTCACAGAAACAAGTGAACTCTACTTCACTTGCCCCATAGACTATCAGGTTTGAAAGGGAAACTTACTTGAAGATATGATTAAGGTCATAATTGATACTGGTATTTATTGTTATAATAAAACAGGCTTTAAAATTTAATTGAATTGAATTGAAGCATTCTTTCCACTTGTAAATATATATATTTTTAAAACTGATCTTATGTTATATAATAAATACATTGCTGAAAAACTAATCTTAAACAAAATGTGTATAAAGTAAATAATTATGATAATTTATTTGTTAGGAATTATCACTGTTTATAAGATTAGCTAAATCTGTATTTCCAATTTTCTTTTTAAATGGACAGTTTGTGTGAAGTTGGTAATTTTTTTATTAATATAATTTTTATAAAAACACAGAATAACTAGGTGACTCATAATTTGTTTAGTAACTGCAATATTTAAATTGAAAAGATCGCATGACTGTAAGGAGCAAAAACCTTTCTCTGATTTTAGATATAGACGAATGTCAAGCCAAACTGAGTAAATGTCAACAGATATGTGAAAACACAGAAGGAAGTTACCGCTGTAAATGTAATCGTGGGCTTTATTTAGGTCTTGATGGTGTGTCTTGTGTTGGTAAGATTGGACATAATTTCTTGCACATCTTCACTGTTATTTTCTTGTTATTGATAATATATAACTTGTTTATGCCATCAGTATGTTTTGCAAATATTATGTTAAATTATAGTCTAAATTACTTCCATTTTTATTTTATTGATATGTTATAATTAAATGTGATATATATATATATATATATATATATATATATATATATATATATATATATATATATATATATATATATATATATATATATATATATATATATAAAATTAGCTTTATAAAGTTATTTTTTAATATTTTTTAATTTGTTTTATATTCCTAAATATGTATTTAGAATTTAATTTTTTTACACAACTTTAATTCATGTTTGTAATGTTATACATTTTATACAACTTAAAAAATTAACCCATTAAATTTTTTAATTAAAGCTGACAAACCATGTAGAAATCAATCAATGAGCTGCAGCTATAAGTGTGCTAATATTGATGACAAAGATACCTGTTTGTGTCCAAAAGGCCAAAATGTTTCATCTGATTTGTCTACATGCATAGGTAAATAAGAATACAATTTGAGTTTTATTATAAAGTAAAGAATCCTCTTAGATCTAGCGATCTATTGGGCAGATGAAGAAGAGTTCAAATGTTTCTTGACCTTGGCATATGAAGGGAAGGTGTGTCACCACTTTGCCCAGCCACCTATACAGTCATTAACATGAGTTAGTTACCCATTAGAGCTGGGTAGACTCAGGGACTTTCTACAGACTTGGACCCAGATTCAAACTCGAGACTTTTGGGTTAGCAGCCTCGTGCTCTACCACTTAGCCCATGCCATTATAAATTCAACTAAAGTATGCATATAAGCCTCACAGGCAATAAGAAAGATAAAGTTGTATATGTTATTTTTATCTTGCAACTCTGGGCCAACTCTTAGTTTCTATTAGATTACTCCAGAGTGCTTTAAGCTTTCTAACAATAATTTCAAAATAATTTGTTCTTGGTACCAGAGGAATAGTGACCCATTCCGGTGCCCTGGGTGTACTATCCACTTTGCACCCACACCTCCATCATTTATATATCTCTATTGACGCAGTCACTTTCCCTCAATAATTTTTTTTTTTGGTTTTACACAATTTATGTAAAAATCATTTAAGTAATCCGTTAGTAATCAGTAAAGTCAAGTAAATTTGGCTGTGTATAATTCAGTAATTGGGCTAAAAATTACCTTTTTTTTCTTTTACCTAGTCCATTTGGAACCCCTTAGGGTCAGTGCCTGGTGCGTCCACCCCACCTAGCCTCCCCTCTGCTTGGTACAACATTTGTTCAAGTTCCATGCTTTTAAGCAGCAGAATATGGGATGTCTTGTTTGATTAGTTTGCAGTAAAAAAAAAAGGACTCTACATTTTTTCGAGGGCAAAAGACCTATAGACTTGAGAAGACAAGACACAAAGCTCAAACTATGACATGCAATTTGCTTTGTGATATTTAAATAGCATTTAGATCTGATAAACAATACATACTAAGTAACATGCTACAGACCTATAAGGAAGTAATTAGGTGGATAAATTATGGATACTGTAATTTTTAAATTAATTAAATTTTAGATTGCCTTGATGGTTACTATGGTGACAACTGTAAAGAAATGTGCCCATGCAACAAAAACAATACAAAAAACTGTGAAAAGATCAATGGAGTTTGTGAATGTTTACAAGGCTGGAAGGGAAGTAACTGTGAAATTGATGTTGATGAGTGCCTGGAGAATGCAAGTCTCTGCCTGACAAAGCCAAGGTCTCATTGTGTCAACATTGGAGGAACTTACAAGTGTGACTGTGATACTGGGTACATTCAAACAACTGGCTTAAGTGGGGAACAGTGTACAGGTATTGGCTATTTGTAGTTGTAACATCTATATTTCATTTATAATGAGTTTATAATAGAGGGTGAATATGTTGTCTATAATTACATACTACTATTGTAAAAATTATATAAAGAAATTTGTATTTAAAGTACCAAATACCTATGTTGGTATAAATATTTTTGAAATTATTATGGCCATTATTTAAAATTTAGCTCAAAAAGACAACAAATGTATAGTCTGAGAACAAAGGTAACAAAAAATAAGAATATTTAGATATTAACATTCTGTTAACCTTGATGGATTGGTACTTTAAGTAAGAATAAAATACAAAGATGTAGATCTATGGCAAATTTGAGAAATGTTGCTATAAACATACATATAACAAGTTTACATGAATGACTAAATTAATTAACATTCCTCACTGCTGATTAAAATGTTTTCTGTGCCTTTGAAATGATATATTTTAAAGAGCTATAATAACACAATTTCTGTATTTTTCTCTCCATCTATCAAAGAATGTGGCACAGGCCTGTATGGGGAGGGCTGTACCAAACCTTGTCAATGTGTGTCGGAGAACACAGAACATTGCAGCAACGTTGATGGAGCATGCACTTGTAAACAAGGCTGGAGGGGAGATCACTGTCAAATAGATATTGATGAGTGTGTTTTAGCTCCAAACTTGTGTGAAATGACACCTCACACTCACTGTTTGAACACTGATGGATCATTTCAATGTGTGTGTAACACTGGGTATAAAAATTATTCCCTGGTGTGTCAAGGTAAAATCCATTTTTAAATTGCTTATCTCTTTATTTCTTGAGGAAATAAAATATGATGTAGAAATCTAGTGAACTACAGCATTCTATGTTATACACACACGATAATAGAAGTATAATAATAGGATTCACGAATATAATCTTCAGAATTTTCAAATTAAGAAATAATACAAAAAAAAAATTAAGACTGGCATATCATTTTCCTCTACTGTAATAATATTTCTTCTGTAAGAATGTGGAGCTGGACTGTATGGTGAACAATGTAGCAAGACCTGTGATTGTGTACATAACAACACAGAGCAATGCAACAATGTTGATGGCAGCTGTAAATGTAAACAAGGCTGGAGGGGAGATCACTGTCAAATACTTATTGATGCATGTAAAGATAACCCAAACCTATGTAGTGAAATACCAAACTCACACTGTGAAAACTCTGATGCCACATACACTTGTGTTTGTGATGAAGGGTATATTCAGATGGATGGAACTCTTTGTAAAGGTAAAAATATATTTCTTCGCTCTCAACTAGGACCTATAAGATTTTAACAATTTATTATGTGCAAGTCCTCATTGTTTACCTTTTTAAAATAAAGAATGTCTTAAAAATATTTTAGAACCTTATTTATTATTTATGATTAAAGTTAGATCTAGTAATGTTTCCAATTGACATACTATGCTTTAGTAACATTTTGCTGATTATTGATATTACTTTATAAATATCTACAATTGTTAATGTCTGTTGAAACAGCACAAGAAAAGTATGAAGAAATTTTCTCTAAACTGGTTTTTGACTTTGATGCATCAAATCTTAATTTATCCAGTACATTCACGGCAGATTACATTCACTTAAAAAGTAATTTAGAAGTAGAGGTAAAAAAATGTTTTTTAATTTAATCTATAATTTGTTATGAAATAGATGTTTTTAAATACATAGGACATAATTATAATTATATATAATATACACATTCTTATATATACATATTTATATACATATATATATATATATATATATATATATATATATATATATATATATATATATATATATATATATAGATAGATATATATATATAGATATAGATATATATATATGTATATATATATATATTTATTTATTTATTTATTAATATTTATATATATAAACCTATTTTATTTGTATATATATTAAGCAGTAATGAAAATTTATTCTGACCGTTTGTAAGAGTTTCCATTAACTGGCTACATTTCTACAATCTGTTTACCCTTATACATTTTTTTAATATTTAAATAATAATATTAAGCATTATTTGTTCTAAATAAATTTGATTTTATTTGCAGCTAACTACTACTTTGCGACACCAAATCAGTGAAATTGTCTCAATAGAGGTCATTGCAATAAGGTTGGACATTTTTTAAAGTTTCATAATTTGTAATTTTAATGTAAGTTGTGTAGTATTGTTTCGTTAACAAATTTTTAACATAGTGACTCTTATTAGAATCAATTTTTAGGATACAGTACAGGAATATATTGTTTCTCTTGTAAATGAAGAAACTTGATGAATGTATTTTGAAAATAAATTCACAATTTACCTTGTTTACAATTAGGTGATAAAAATTAATATATTTTTACCTATAATAATTAGCATTTTTCTTTTTCCCTTTAGCATAGGCAGTTTGCATGTTGACTTTAAAACTGTGATGAAATCCAATGGTCAGAAACATAATGAAGTACAGTTAACCAAAGCTCTAGTGGATCTCATGAAAAAGAATCAAACTCTAATGATAGATAATAAGCCTGCTACCATATCTATTGTTATTTATGCTAATGATCAATGTGAGTTTGTTTTTACTGAACATAAGAGAAAATAGACATTATTTAAAATACCTAAGAAGTGTTTTAGAGACAGGTTTTGGTAACTAGCATGATTTGATTTTCATTAACTGCTATCAAATAATAATTGTTGTTTTTCTTTTCCATTACTTACGGAACATAAGGCCTCTGTCCAAGCTTGCTGCTCTCCACTGACTTCTTACACTCTTTTCAGCTGTTCCCAATTCCTTCCTATCCATTCCCCCCCCCCCCCCCCCCCCCCAGCTAGCTATGTCACCTTAGTCACTTTCCCATGAAGTTCCACTCCAAGGCCTGTCTGGCTCTATTGCCAGCATCTTTCCTAAGTGTGTGCCCATTCCTTTGCCATTTCCTCTCCATGGTTTGTCTTTCTATTGTTTCCTGTCCACCACACATCTCATATAGTTTTGTGATTTCTACCTTGTCTAATGTCTTGCCATTTAAAATAAAATATACACCTAAGGCACCTATTTATAAAAATTTGGATTCTTTTTATGGTTTACTCTGTTGTTCTTCGTGTCTTTGATGCAAGGAGCAGGACTGTTATATCATTAGAGTTATAGATTTTAGTAGAGTGTTTTAAAGATATTTGGTGATTTCCTGACTGTTCTAAGATTAGCAAATGCCTGTTGGTCTAGGTTTATTCTGTGTTTGATATCTTCGTCTGTTTCCCAGACACATTCCGTCCACTCCATAACGTATAATAATAGTTTTAATTTAGTTTGTTAACTCTAATTTATTCTTATAGTAATTTTTTATTACACAAACCGATTGATGAATAAATTATGTTATCCAACTGACAAAGCATGAAAGCTATCTATACTTTTATGGAAGTTTAAAAAAATATATGTGACAACACTGAGTTTTCAGATGACAAAAATGAAAAGTTCTGTGACATACGCAAGAAGTTGGAGCCTTGTCTTGCTACAGAGTTTTGTGTAGAACACAATCAAATAGCAATATGCAAGTAAGATTTATTTTATATAAACAAAAAAATTCTACTTGAATTTAAATATAATTATGTTATTTTTATTCAATTTTAACAACCATTTTAAAAATGAACATTCTGTGTTTTCAAAACATTTTATTTCACTGTAAAAGATGCATATGGTGAAAATGATAAGTGTGTGCAGAATATATAAAGAAGCCTAAACATTCAATTTTAACTATGTTATTTTTTTTTCAGATTGATTGAGGAAGAGAAAAGTATGTAAAATTATTTTTGTTAATAATAAAGCTAAATCTCTAAAACCATGTTATATACAAGGCCTTAGCAGCTAAAGCTCAAACCAGCAGAGCCACATTCTAATGAAAACATAAAATTAAAAATATAGGCCCTAAAAGTAATATCGTCTCGACTTTTAGCACAATCTACTTTTCTTTCAGATCTTGAGAACCTGATTGTGGGCCTGAGTGTCAGTCTGCCTCTTTTTGTACTGTTGACTATAGCCGTAGGGGTCATAGTCTGGTTCTGTACCAGAAGAGCTACAACACAACACCAGAAAACTGAAGAAGTTATTGAGCTCGATACCATGCATGGGTTTGTTTATATTTAAATCATAACCAGATTAAAAAAAAATATGTTGTTCTGATTAATGGACATCATACAAAGTAATAAAGATACATTTCTATTAAATCATGCATCATTTTTTGCAATTAGGCCTATTAATAATACAATTTTTATTTCAGACTAGAAAAATCAACATCTGTACAGAACGCTTATGATTCGATCTCTAATGGTAATTCTAAAGTGTATTACTAAGTTTTAGAATTTTAATAACTCTGCAAACTTTCTTGAACTTTTGTTGAAAACTAAATCTATTTATCCTTTTAAAAAGTTTAATACAATTGACTATTCTGTCCTTTGACCAGTACACCTTAAATTTAATTTCAAAACAGAAAAAAAATTAAGAATGCAAACATTGTAGTCCATTTCTTTAAAATATTTGCCAAATATATTGCCATTGTAAACGTTATGTGCTATTTTATGGGTCAAGAATAGTAAAATATCTGCTTACATTATGCTTGAATACTCTGTAAGTGTAGTCATAGTTTGCCAACACTTACACAAAGCTAATCACTAAAATTGTGTAATAAATAAATTTCAATAACATATTTGACATCATTCTGAAACATGGTTATAAATTATCTTAAATTTATATAGCTATAGACTGGCGGTGATGGGTACACTTTTCCCAAATTGTGGTGGAGGAGGGCTAGTGATAGGATGGGTATATGTGGGGTGCGGTTATTTACATGCTGATAATGGTATGCAGTTGTGAGATTGATCATATTGAATGCCAGATGATTAAACTTTGTTTTGTTTAATTTTAGGTTTAAAGTTTTAAGAATTCAAGTTACAAAAGATAAAAGTTTGATATGGCTTGTTTCATTAAGTACTGGTATGTATTGTTATAACAGAAGACTTATCTTTCCTCAGATGATTATAACGTTAGGAGACTTCCCAGGGTGAGGAATGATCTCACACCACGACATGGTGCAAATTTAAAAACATCAGCAGGTAAAATCGTATCTTAGAATAGATTGCATCTTCCAACGTGACATAACTAAATTTATTAAATACAAATATTATTGAATTCATAACTCAATTTATATTTGTAAACCCGTAGACTATGACATTTTAAATTTTATCTTTATTTTTAATTTTCAGAATATTTAAGGGCATCAAGCGGCAGATAATTTCATCATTGAAATAAGGGAAGATACGCCAAAAAGTCCCAATTTTGTCTGTTTGATATATTTGACCCATTTAGAAAAAATTAATACTAATAAGACTGAACAAAATGCAAATTATATACATTTATATACAAAATTACTGCAGTGCAATATAGGCACTAAACATTAAACTGAAATCAATTAGTAGTGATCCTTTTTATAGCAATGTCAACACCCATTGCCATCTTTTCCTTGCTAAAATTCCGTTGGTTTGTGGTACGAACAGTGTGTGATTTGCCCCTGTGACTTAAAGCACTACATTTTATTTTTAAAAATCAGTCATCATAAACATGTGTGACTTAATTTAATTAAATCTAGGTCTCCATTATACTAAAAATGCAAGGCTCTATTTCAATTTATTTATGGAAGTTTGATGTAAGCTCTTTAATGTTTACCCAACGCAATAACCCAACTAGTTTATCTGTAACTGTACTACATTTTGCTTTTAAATTTGTGATTGTCAATGATTGTTTATGAATAAACTTTGTGTTAAAAATGTTTCATAATATATTTTATATTTGACCAAAATAAGTAGTATTTTTATGGTTTTACCAAAAATAATCAACAATCAAGAACATACTTTTGGTAGACCTCTTTTGGTAGACCACTTTTGGTAGACCACCATGATATGTGTGTTGATATTTTTAACTTCTTACAGAAGTTTGAATATTCTACTCTCATTTATCTTAGCTTCTTCCTTGGTTATTTTAGCTCCCTAGAGGGCAGGTGGCCAACCCAATGGATTCAGTGTTTCTCCGGGGGGGGGGGGGGGGGGTACTTGAAATTTTCGGGGGGGGGGGGGCGGTAGACTGTTAAAAGTATATATTTTCTATATAAATTATATAAATTTCGTTCGGGGGGGGGGGGGGGGGGCGGTAAATTTCTTTCGAGGAGATGCCTGGAAGAAACTCTGAATGGATTCGATTGGTGGATATTTAAAACCAATTCAGGTTTCCATGTACACTCCAGGGCTACATTCCTGTTGCTGGAATGGCACAGTTAACACATCAATTAGCAGAAAAATGGCGTCATGTTACCTATGCTTAACACTTCTATTTTAATATGCATAGAACTCAGAGAGTAAATAAGCAATACACTACAAACACGAGTATCTTTTAACCAGCTAAGACTTTTATCACAAAGATGTCCAATTATAATAAAATAAAAACATGTATAATGTAAATTTACTGAAAATAAAAAATAAATAAAAATTTGCTTCCTTTAAGAAAAGCTCTAGGATTTCTGTTGCAAATTAATGTGCAGAAGAGTTCACGAGTTTTTATTTAAGAAAACAAGTTTGTCTTATTGTTTTATTTATTAATTTTTGGCATTTAAAAAAACGTATTTATTAAATTTTTAAATATCTGATTTATTTTCCACTTTTTAGTGATTCGTTCTAAATAAACAAGACCCCCACATAGGGTTCGACCAAAAAATATCTGCATTAGAACCCGATCAAAGGCTTGCAATATCTAAAAGATAATTTCGGTAACCGGAAAAATGCACAACGGGAAAACTGCGCACACATTTCTTCAAAAGGGCAATTTTGTTTCCTAAATCGGACTTTTATAGAAAATAACAAAGAATAAGCACATCCACATTGTAGCACTATTAAATATTTTTTTCCACAAAAATGATAAAATTAAAGTGTATTAGTATAATTGATTTGTATTTGCACCATTTTCGGTCGCGCAGTTTTCTTTTGCACAATTTTCTTCAATCGTGAAGAAAACAGTTCACCCTTATCTGACAGCTGGTGGAGTAACCGCTAGTAATTCATCTTGTTATCTCTCAGGTTTTTTTTTTTTTAAATTGATTATAAATCAAATTTTAATGACCAACTTGATTGCTAATTAAATTAAAAATATATATTCTTGCAATGCCATACATTGAGTGACGTCCACAGGCTATTGTAACTCAGAAGGTAACTGGTAACGCCAACTAAAATAAACATTTATTACACTAAGTGAACCTGTCATCTACCTCGTGTCGTCTTCACTGAGTTTGTGGGAGAATTGTGATCCGTCGTACTTTCTAACCTGATGATACTAGACGCCTACAATAAATGATATTGTAAGTCCACTCTAAATGTCAGTTATTGAACAACACCCACATACTGACGACAGAAATGTCAGTTATTCAACAATGAACTAGATCTACTTGCGTTAAAAATTCATTCAGAACTCAACTACTGTTTAAGATGCGATTTACCGAGCACACAAATTATTCCCCTTTTTACTTTTGATCAAATTAATGTTAAAATGTCGTTTAGCTTAAGCAAAGAAATGAATTCAGTTAAGTTGACATTCTCTATCGACCAGTCTATGAAAAATGACATTTTATCGGTCATAAAAGTACTTTATTTAAATGGCTAGTCAAATCTAATTACTAAATTCATTAAATGCCATTATCAAATCATTTCACTAATAACTATTGTAATTATGTTACCAGTAATCTCTGTCCTTAATCTAACCGGCGTTTATTTGCCTACAACTAGATGAGAACTATTTTCTGGATCAAGCTCTTGACGTAGAACTGTGTACATAAACTCTTTCATAGTCTATTAATTTAAATTACTGTCAAATATTCAGATTTGCGTTCCTTATTATTTAAATCATTGATCACTCTAACTTGAACTGCTCACAAACGCTAAATAGTCCATTAAATCAATTACACTCTAGGTATTAAGTGCTGGCATGTTAACTTCTGCTAGAATTACTACATTCACGACCTATTTCTCCCTGCGGCCTCCAGATGATTGGGGTGTAATTAAATGATTGCCAAAGGTTTAATGAACCTAATGCCAGACGATTGCTCACCCGGGACAATTATCTATGAGCCTTTGTCGTGAGTAGTGTTTGAAATGTTAAACCTTTTGTCGTGAGTACTGTTTTACATTTAATTTGGCCGATAAAGCTAGTGTCGACTTAGGACAAACCAACATGGCACATGGGGATCTACGCGGTATCTTATCACTAGCCATTCACTATTTGATAAAACTTGGCTGTTGTAGTGTAGTCTAGTGTAGTCTAGTGTAGGGAGGGCGAGAGTGGGTTGAGATGTTTAAAAATATAGGGTGCAGCTAGTTAAAAAATACATCAGAAATATTGTCTCTTGTTCATTTTCCACACGGTCTTAATGAATGAGTCATTGTAGTAGTGAGTGTCTATAATTTAATAAGTAATTTCATGTGATAAAGTTTCCTTTTTTTTAAAAATTCGTATCCGTCTCTTTTAAAATTTGAACGTTATAAAATGTTACAAACGCATAATATTTTTATTTATTCTGTTGAACAAGATGATAATTTAAATGTTAAATGCTAAAATCAAGATAAAATATGTTGGTTTTAATTATTAATATTCTGACTGCAAAAGCTAAAAGTGTATTGCATAGAGTGATGTTGAGAACCACGTGACGACAAGTCTACTCAGTGGCGTCGCTAGGTCGGGTGTCACCCAGTGCGGCATTTCGTGGTGTCACCCCCCAAGAAAAAAGTATATATATATATATATATATATATATATATATATATATATATATATATATATATATATATATATATATATATATATATATGTATATATATATATATATATATATATATATATATATATATATATATATATATATATGTGTATGTATGTGTGTGTGTTTGTGGGTGTTGGCCTACATAGGCCTATAATTTAGGCCACATACGGGAACATGTATGTGTATAAGCTTTAATCACTTCAGACGTAGTAATAACGATGTTTATATATAGTCTGTTAATAATACAGTTGTATGTAGCATTGTTTTCTTTATAGTTAGCACGTTTACGTCATGGTGTCACCCCCACCCTCATGTAATAGTTGTCGATTTCTACTTATACGGCTTTTTAATGGAATTAATCACTAATGGATCTGGTAAAAAGGAATTTTTCTTGTGTACATTTTCCAATTTTATGCCTTGGTGTCAACCCCCTAAATGGTGTCACCCGGTGCGGTCCGCACCCCCCACCCCGCCCTCGCTACGCCTCTGAGTCTACTTCATAAAACAATTGTCACATTTAACTAATGACATTAAATATGTTACATTTGATCGGTTACAATTAACTGAGTTAATGAAGAATTTTAATATTTTTTTCACAGCAAACTAATTATTCCATTCATTGAAGCTAATGAAGGTTTTTAGTCATGGCATGAAACAAGTTCCTTTTTGTCTTGTGCAAATAATTGACCTAATGAAGAATTTTAATATTTTAACATAAAACTACTAATTATTCCGTTAACTGAAGCTAATGAAGGTTTTAATATTTCAGACTTAAAACTTCTGGCTATTCTGTTCAAACAGATTGTAGTAAACCTTATTGAGAACATGGTGCGCACCGCCGACCCAAGAGATGCTCTCATTAGCCAAGTCGGACAACTCGTCACGGAGATTGTAAATTATGTTTTCCTAGGAGGGAGTTTGTCGGTGTTTGGTATCGTGTCTAACGTCATCAATATGGTGGTGTTCTACAAGCAAGGACTTAAAACTACAACAAACATCAGCCTGTTCGCCTTGTCATTATCTGACCTACTGACTCTGGTCACTTTGTTCGAATACTCCATCTGGATGAACCCGTTGGTGGAGTTCTCTAATACACCAGTCAACACCAGGGAGGTCCAGTACCTCATCACTGGCTGGCCCAACGTCTGCTTCACCAGGATCACGTGTCTTATCATGGCCTTCATCACCGCTGAAAGATACGTCTGCATAGCTTTTCCTCTTAAAGTAAAGCAGATCATTACCCCGAGAGTAACAACAATTACCATTTGCATCATCTTCGTCGCCTCGATAATTATGGTACTGCCCAGCTACTCCACCGTCTACTACGACTGGAAATTTTATCCGCGAAGCAACATAACAGAAATCGGAATTCACGTGACCAACGACGGCAGTGTAGACAAATATTCCTTCCTCATCAACGCTTTCTTAGGCCTGATATCTTTACTTCTCGTCATATTTTTCACAGCTTTAATTATCTGGAAGCTCCAGCAGAAGTCTCAGTGGCGAAAACAGAACACCAGAGAAGCGAATGATTCTACATCAAGTCGAGACACTAAAGCTATTAAACTGTCACTGATGATTTCTATCATTTTAATTGTTTGTACAACACCTAGCATTGTTTTCTCTTTTGTGTCGCTTTACGTTGAAGGTATCACCATCATTGGATTTTACCAGAATTTATTTTTCTTTATTTGGTCCTTTAACTTCGTCCTGGGCGGGTTTAACTGTAGCATAAACATCTTTCTCTACTACAAGATGAACTCTAAATACCGGAAAACGTTTCTAGACATCTTTTCTTGCTGTTGTAAGAAAGGAAAATAACTAAAAGATTATTATCATCTTAAAGATTTAAAACTAAAACAAATTTACTCATAGGAATAATTTTATTTAAAACAGAACAAGTTATTACAAACTTCTTAAACATTAAAATAAAACACATTTTGTAGTATGCGTATATTGTT